TCCCACTAATGACAAATCTACCTGGCTCATCTCAGCAATGAAACTATTAAACTCAAGCATATCAGATACACTAGTCACACCCACCCCTCCCTTCCTCTCAGACTCCTGACACACAAAGTTAAAGTTACCAACTACACACCACAGAACGTCACCAAAGTCTCGAGTTGACATAACAAGATCAACCCATAACTTTCTCTTATCCAATAGGCGACATGAAGGGTACACATTGACTACAATACACCGAACACCACTAATTCCCCAGCTCAAACATACACCTAAGTAACCCAAACCAGAAAAAGAGAACTGTAAGGTATCTTGAGTCGAGTCCCAAATCGAAATAAGCTCACCACTACGCCCCTGAGTCAATCAAACCCAGACGAACCACAAAGTTGCGAGCACAATTGGCGGTCACAACCTTCCAACTTTGACTCTTGTAATGAAATAAAATCCACACATTCACATCTAATCAGCTCGAAAACACGACAGCATTTAACACCCGATCCCAGACCCCTACAATTGAAAGAAGTTATCTTCATGGATGAACATACTCTCCCCTCTTTTCCTCCACCAATTTTCTGTCACGGGTTTCCATAGCCACTAATTTCTCCCTCACCTTATCTGCCACCACCTCATCATTTGCACGTAGAGGGTCAACATCCAAAGACACGTCAATCTCATTATCTAACACAATATGATTGGGCACCATCAATGAGGCCCATTCCACCACAGACACACCAAGGTCACTCTTTTGGCACCTGAGATTCCTACGATGAGCTTTCCATAATATATGCCGCACATTGGATCGCACGACGAAAACTCCCAATTTGGCTGGAAGGGAGACCACAGGAACACCAGTGTCATGTGTCGCCCTCGATACTTTTTGGACATGCTCTAGCCAAAGAAATTGATCCAACCCGAATGGGTCACTACCAAACCCATTTACCTCACCCACATGACACAACAGCTCCTGCGTACTCACCCCCTTAAACTGTACACCACCCATACTCTCCACCTCACCACCTTGTCCAACATCTCCAATTGACATATGCATTCGGTCAGCACCATCCCACACTACTTCCAAATCACACCCCTGTCCAATGCTAACAACACCACCCTCCTCTCCAGATCCTCTCTCCATAGCATACTCGCTTACTACCAACTCCTTCTCCCTCATCGCCTCCAATTTTGAATCATGTAGCCTCGCTGAAGGCAACACTTCCAGGATTCTCTCAACCACCGTCTCCACACCCCACTCCCTTCTTACTAGGAGACAATTGCTCCTCCATAACAGCCCCCACACTAGGCATGCCAACCACCGTCCCAGACCACACCCTCTCGAATGCGCCTTCTTCCTCCGACGAAAAATTGTCGACCTCATGCAAGTTAAGAGACGCACCTTCCATATAATCAGAGTCATTCGAGGATGCATCATCAACAATATCTGCATGGAACTGACCGCCATGCTCTTCCACCATATGTATTGGAAAATATAAATAATTAATAAGTACTTTAGTCCCCTCATTTATCAACGTCGATGCCGATGTACGCAATTGAACACGTCCATAATCCAATATCCTCCTCCGCTTCGTAACAGCATCCACTTGAATAAAGTCCCCTAGGCATGACACCATCTTCTTAAAAAACGTATCAGACCATGCATGTAACGACACCCCATAACAGCGGACCCAAGTTTCCCAATGAACACACACCCCTGTCCTTGGATGCCACCAACCGATTTCATAAAACCAACGCTCACAAAACTTCATATTCAGCAACACAGTATCCTCCAAGTTCACCCCTGCATCCGACTCAATCAAGACTTTATCATCTCTCATCGTGGTCAAGACAATATCTGAGAAGTCCGCTTGTAACACCTCCTTCCTAACCGTAGCTAAGTCTTGTTCGCGATGGAGGCAGCCAACAAGAGTTTGGCAGCACTCCTCAAGAAAGAACTCCTTCACTACATAGTGTAAGAGACACCAAGGTTGTTCTGGCAGCTTTCCCTCAACCCTAACCACCGTCGGGTTTTCCTCTGCCAACGAAGCCTGAGGACCTCGCAGAGCATCTGCGTATGAAGAACCACCCACACCTGATCGCCCAACCACTCCTCCCTGAAGCGATGTAATTTCACCGCAGCCGCAGGACCCCTAACATAGCGGCTCAAATGCACCTTCAGTCGTTTCGTATCAATCACAATTGATCTCAATCTTCGGTCCAACGCCTCCGCATTACATACATCTGCGAAACGGACAAACTCAAACCTCCGACCTACCTTATCAAGTTTCTTGGGTAAAAACACATCCACTACCTTAGCCCACCGCCGAAAAATTTTTCATAGAACACTGATCTCATGTGACTCCGGAATATTCGTGAAAAAATACGATGTTGAGGAGCTGAAGACATGCCCAAAATCTCTCGTTTTGATTCCCACGTCGTAGCTCGACCGACTGTCCTCCACCGACACCTCTCTCCCAAACTCCCATTGAACACCTATTACTCTTTATGTACAATGTATTATTTTTGTTTTTTTACTATTTCAACCCATTTCAAAGGAAAAATGTAAAGATTGAACTTAATTTTATATTAATTTGCATATTAAAATTCTCTTAGCTTTTCTTTTTACATTATTATGAATATGGTTGAGAATTATATATGTATTTGTTTATGTAGATAAGTTAATTACCATCCTAAGCGTTAATTAATAATTCTTGATCTTTATTAAACTTGATGTCAATATGAACATGATTGCAATGCTTTTTTAATGCGGATTGCTTTGTCTTTGGAACGACCTTGGTAAAAAATCACTGAAAGTAATTTGAGTAAACTATTTCTTTTTTACACTTTTGACTCTTGTTTTGAAGAAAAAGCCCACACATTGGTCCTGGTTATGTTAAAATAAAGAGGTGGATGAATGTTTTCTTTGATGAACTAATATCTTCTGATGACTGATAAGATGTTCGCATTTATTTTGATGGTGAAACACAGTGATAAAAGAAAGGAGGTAATAGAAGAAAAGTGTAAGGAAAGAAAAGCTTTAGATTATGAAGATGGACCTACAATACCCTACGCGCCATGCATTGAAGCCACGTTTATTTAGTCTTATCAAGCCAAATGGCAAGGGATAGATAATGTCAATGTGGCAATCATTTTTTCTTTAATTTCTTATTTTAACATGTATTAACTTTTTAGCCACATTGCTTTACATTATCTCTTGCAACAATTTTATAGTGGAATTGTTGCGAGGGTTGGTGGTGCATTCGATTCCACGGTGTAAAGCATAAATAAAGGGATGGAGTTTTGCAATTGTTTGTTTCCCAATTGAAGTCCCATACGCAATGCCATGCATGTAATATAATATGATTTTACTTTATCTTTAGCATATTCCTTTTATGTTTCCCTCCAAGTCACTGCAATATTTAATGTTCTGAAGCTCCAACAAATATCCGTCTCATAAATAATATTACATCTCTTTTTTTTTTTTTTACTGATAATAGATAATATTTTTTTTTCAAAATCCTGACTAATCTAATTATTCGAATATATATATATATATATATATATATATATATATATAATATTGAAAATGCATGCTGTTTACTTTAACTAGTTTGGTGTGGTATTTATCCATGAGAAGTTGACTTGTTAAGTTTATATAATACAGAAAAGTCATTAAATTGGTTATAATTAATTAGGTTAATTTCTATATTAAATTTGAATTGTATTTATTATAATCACTCGATTTTTTTTAACTCAAAGAATGCAATATTTGATTAATTATTCAATCATTTTTATATTACCAAATATTAAACTTAAAAAAAATATTATTACTTTGGGTCTTTTATGTTATTTTTCATTTCATTTTGATTTTTGAATCTTATTTAGTGTTCCAAGTGTCTTAATTTGATCATGCTTATGATGTAATTTTATTACATTTTAGGTAAAATAAATTAATAAATAAGGATATATAAAGTAATATTTGCAGAAAGCTTCCTCACTAAATACAAATTATCAGTGTTTACGAGACAATTTTTTTTACCTTACATTAATATAAAATTAAATATTAAAAAAAAGTTAGAACTTTAAAATATAATTATTATAAGATGTAACAATTACCTCATATGAAAGTAATAGGGATTAAGTTATAATCAAATTTAAAGTTTTCTCGTACGCTCTTAAGTATGTATTATTTAATTTGAAAGCCGGCGTTTACCCAGATTAAACTTACCATTTGAGAATCGCTACAAACACAATCCTCATTATATTAGTATTGATCATAATTTCATAAAACGAAGCACGTGCATGTGTCACGTGTAATATACAAAAAGAAACTGTATGTACTTATTATTATTATTATTATTATTATTATTATTATTATTATTATTATTACAATTAAACGTGGACCATTTATCATGAAAAGCTTAATTTCATTAAAAAACCATGCGGACGCATTAAGAGTTAAGATATTGATTGGTATTGAAAAACTTGGTAAAATCCCAAATGTTTAGATTTTCATTGAATTTATATGTATTTATAAACATCATTCGAGGTGTAAAATTTAAATATGATATAGGTTGGTGTCAACATTGAAAATTTAAAGTGTTGAAAGGTACGTAATTTGATATTTTTAGTATCATGTTTCGAATAAGTGTTTGAAATTAATAGAAAGAGGCAAGATAATAAGAATTTAGAGGGAAGATTGAAGATCAAAATTAAAGGAAAAATTAAATTATTAACATTGACATTTAAAACATATATAGAAAATGTAAGAATTGTCCATTGGGGATGAACATGTAGATATGTGATTAATTTAATTTAATTTTTTATTATTGTGATAAAAAAAAAATTGAAAAAATGGAAAAGTGCGTTGGTGATAGAGTGAATGAGATGAGATGGTTTGTGAAGCAGTGAGTGGCGAGTGGTGAGATGAGATTGGGTTGGGTTGGACCACTTTGAAAGAAATGAGGGGGGAGAAGGGGGACCATAGAATACAGGTGAAGCACAGCACGCGCCTTCAATTTGAATGAATAGGTGATGATGTGGACAATGCAGTGGGGACCACCCCTCGTTTTGACTTCACTAACTCCCGCCGCCTCAATCAATACTACTACTATTCTATTTCTGGTCCCACCCTCAGTGGACCCCATGGGACCCACTTTTCCGCTAATTTGTTCCCTCTTCACGCCATTTTGTCCTCCTCTTCTAACAACATCAAATCAAATCTTCTGGTCCCCCATTTCTTTCACCTATCCAACACAAACAAAACACTGCTTACTAATTTCATCATTTTATTCTTCAACATCAACCTTAAACACCTATTTCTTATATTTTGTTTTTCTTAAAAAATAACAATCAATTATTATTATTAATTTTCAATAATTTAATAAAATAAGAAAATTATACTGGTTAGTAGTAGTAACAGTATGATATGAGTATTGTTGGAAGTTTTGGGAGGTAGTGGTGAGCAGAGATACCGTCACCACGACGCTAAAGTACGATTTCAGTGTCTTACGTGATTTACTTTGATTGCGCATGTCAATTAGTATTTTTGGATAAAAGTAGTGCCCAAACAAAACAACTCCTTCCCTAGGGCATTCCTACAACACAACTCAACACAAATACCGCCACCATTACAAAAATATCTAAAAATACAAACATCTTCTATCTTTCTTAATAACGTTTTACCAACTTTTTTCGTAACTACTTTTTTATTTGAATTAACTTATTTATAAGTTTAGCATTACATTCACAATAATTAATAATAAATAATTTCAAACAAATTGTCCATCAAAAATATTATTTTTCCCTCTTTCAATATTTACACAAAATTATCCATTTTCTTTTATATATATCTGTAAGAGACTCGTCAAAACTAATGTAAATAAAATATTAACCTTCTGTTTGTTTTTATGGTTGATATTCCGAAAGTGGAATATATGATTTATGTCAAAATGAGTTTTATTAATCATATGGACTCTACTACCAGTGCTGTATGTGTGGAATGAGAAGATTATAAAAAAAAGTATGGAAAGAAAGACCACGATATGGAAAAATCTTAACTATTTTATTATTGTAATTTCACTTATTCTTTATTAGGAAAGCGACATGACCGATTATACGTTTAACCCATAATATATATATATATATATATATATATATATATATATATATATATATATATATATATATATACATATATATGTAATCTCATTGAAATAACTTAAAAATATTATAACAAATTCGTGACAATTCCACCAAATATAAAAGAGTAACAATTTTATAATGAAATAACTAACTTATTTGAATGAATAAAATAATAAATAAATAAACTTAAAAATATATTTGATCATGTAAAAAGGGAAATATTTAAAATAAAAGGTAAATTATTTTTTTATTAAATTTAAGTATGATCTTTCTTTCTAAAATTTCTCAATCAATACTTAAATTTTAAAAGACATGTGAATTTGGTATTTTTATAAACTTTATATTAATAAAAAAATACTAAATAATAAATTTTAGTGTAAATAATTAAGAATTAATCGTTTTATTAACTCTATTAAAATAAAAACTTTTCACAAAATGTTAATTCACTACAAGAAAAATACCAAATAGTGACCAAAATTAGTGATCGAAAAATTCGATCATCGATAGTAACTTGAATCAATGATCGATTTCCCTTTTTATATTTAGTGACTAAAATTTCAGATCACAGATATCAGTCACTCGATTCAGTCACTGAATCGGTCACTGATTCGATCACTACTAGAAAAATGGTTAATAGTGATCGAAAGTGGTGGCTGAATTTTTTTTATATTTAGTAACTCGATTTAGTGACTAAATTTTCAGATCACTAAAAAAATATTTTTTAAATTGATAACTATTTTTCATTTATATAAATATTTTATTTAAAATATTTTAAATATAAATCTACTTAATAATTTAAAATAAGTGATAACATTGTTAATAACATTATAAAAATTTAAAAAAATAGTTTACTAACTTATTAAATAATTTAGTAATATAATTATTTAATTTTATTTTTTAATTTAGCATGTGAATAAAAAAATTAAAATTGATTATTAAATTAGTCACCGAATCGATCACATCGAATCTACTAATCGATCACTAAATCAATAATTAAATTAATTATTAATTTAGTCTCTTTTATATATATATATATATATATATATATATATATATATATATATATATATATATATATATTACTTGTATGTTAATAAAAATGTATTTCAATATATTTATAAAAAATTAAAATTATTTTAATTACTGAATTGATATTTTAAATTTATATTAATATCTTGGATAATTTAATAGTTGGATATATATTTTAAGTTTATATTAGTCATTTTTATATAAAAGTGTAAAAATAAAGTGAACTTATTTTAAAATTTAATTAAACATAATAATATAATATAGTATTAACCATAAATATGTGAAGATTTAGTTAGAAATTAATTTTAAGTTTTATTGTTTTTATTTAAAAAAAATCGTTAAAAAAATTTAAAATAATTAATTAAAGTAAAGAATTTTAATTTAATAAATGTGTTAATATTATTAGAAGAATTAAATTTATATTAATAATTATATAAAATTATAGATATATTAAAATTTAAATTATTGGTAATTTTTTTAATTATTAAGCTAAAATTTGATAATATTAATAAATTAAAAATAAAATATATATATATATACATATATATATATATATATATATATATATATCACTTTAATTTTTTTAATTAAATTAATTTCATAAAAAAATTAATATTTGAAAATTAAAATGCAAAAGTATATATATTTATCTTTTATTTAATTATACTTTTACACCTAAAAAAAGAAAAAAATAATAAAATTTTCTTTTATTAATCATTTTTATAAAATAAAAAAATATATAATAATTACTTTTATAAAAAAAAAATTTAACGTTCTTGATTCTTTAACAAATTTGTTTTAACTGATACGACAACGTTTATATCAATTAAAACACTTTACAAAAAATCTTCTAAGTTGATTTAATCGATTGTTTCAGCGATTCAATCGATTGAAATATCTGCAAAATTTTCTCGTAAAACTTTTCAAGTTATTTTAACTGATAAAAATAAGTTTTAATCGATTAAAACGCTATGCAGAAATTGTTTTAATCGATTGAAACGAGATTTAATCGATTAAAATAGTTCTGATCGGTCATAACTAGCATTCTGATCGATCATAATTGAAACGATATAATAGCGGTTCCAGGTTAACCGCTATCTAAGTGAGCTTTTAAGAGCGGTTCCTGTGTAACCGCTATCTAAAATGTATCTCGCTTGAGCGACACTCTTCTCGCTCGAGCGAAACGCCCCTGCACAAAATTGGCATTCTCGGGTTGTATTTCGCTTGAGCGACTCTAGTATCGCTTGAGCGATATTTGATTCTGATCGATTAGATTTTAGAAATGATCGATCATATTTTATAATTTTTTCAAATAATTAATTATAATCGATTAGTTTTCTAAATTATTGATTAGAATTGATTAGTTTTTCAAATAATAGATTAGAATTGATTAATTTCTGAAATATATACTAAAAAATTATAATTAAAAATATAAATTAGTTAAGAATATTGACTATTGTAAAGATAAAGTAGAACATGGGAGGAGATGATGATGATAATATAATGATAGAACTTACAAAAATGTAGAATTGAGAAGTTTGAAACAAATAAAATTAAGAAAATAGATATTTAATTACACTTTTAATAAATTTAAGATAATACTAGTTTTGATTTTTATTTTTAAATATTTATTTTAATTATTTAAAACAGAGAAACTATAATTTTAGTTTCTAGCTACTGAATTTAAAGAATTAAATTTATTATTATTTAATCTTTTAATTTGTAGAATTAAACTCAATATAATTGTTAAAAATACTTTGTAGAGGCATTTGAGAAAGCTTTTGTCAAAATACTTTGTTTTTAATTGTTAAAAACATTTGTAGAGGCAATTTGCAAAATCTTTTAAGTGAAGAAACCTCATGCAACAGAAATCTTTTAATTTTAGTATTAAAAATTTAAATTATATTTTATTAAATTAAACTAGTTACAATATATTTTTTTACTTTGAGAATGAACAATATAATTAAACTCAAAATTGACAATATTATAATACATTTTTGAACTCTTTTGGATTAATTTTTTTTCCTAATTTTTGATAAAGTTAATTTTAATATTTAAAAGTATTTAATATTTTGAATTCTGAAAGGTTTTCTCTAATAGCAAATTTAAAAACATAATATTCAAAAAAATAGTTAATGTAAGTTTTCATAAGAAGATATGATAGCGGTTCCACAATAACCGCTATCTAAAGTATAATTTAGATAGCGGTTAATGGTTAACTGCTATTAGAAGTGCACTTTTAAGAGCGGTTCTTGTGGAACCGCTATCTCAAATGTATTTCGCTTGAGCGACAATATTCTCGCTCGAGCGAAACGCCCCCTGCACAAAAATGGCATTCGCGGGTTGTATTTCGCTTGAGCGACACTACCCTCGCTCGAGCGAAATACGATTCTGATCGATCATAACTTGAAATGATCGATCATAATTGAGAGGATATAATAGCGGTTCCCCTATAACCGCTATCTGAAGTGTATATATAATAGCGGTTAAGGCTTATACGATATCTGAAGTGTATTTCGCTTGAGCGAGATACTATCGCTCAAGTGAAATCCGATTCTGATCGATTATATTTTCAAAATGATCGATCATATTTGATAATTTTTTCAAATAATTAATTATAATCGATTAGTTTTCTAAATTATTTATTAGAATTGATTAGTTTTTCAAATAATAGATTAGAATTGATTAATTTCTGAAATATATACTAAAAATTATAATTAAAACTATAAATTAGTTAAGAATATTGACTATTGTAAAGATAAAGTAGAACATGGGAGGAGATGAGGATGATAATATAATGATAGAACTTACAAAAATGTAGAATTGAGAAGTTTGAAATAAATAAAATTAAGAAAATAGATATTTAATTTCACTTTTAATAAATTTAAGATAATACTAGTTTTGATTTTTATTTTTAAATATTTATTTTAATTATTTAAAACAGAGAAACTATAATTTTAGTTTCTAACTACTGAATTTAAAGAATTAAATTTATTATTATTAAATCTTTTTCTACTTTGAGAATGAACAATATAATTAAACTCAAAATTGACAATATTATAATACATTTTTGAACTCTTTTGGATTAATTTTTTTCCTAATTTTTTATAAAGTTAATTTTAATATTTAAAAGTATTTAACATTTTGATGTAATGAGCATGATAATATAATGATAGAATTTACAAAAATGTAGAATTGAGAATTTTTAAATCTTTTTCTAATATTTTTTTTAAAAATATAATATTATTTTTAAAATTTAATATTTTTTTTCAAATATATAAATATATAAAGATATAAATGTATAAGGATATAAATAAATATATAAATATATCAATATATAAATATATCAAAATATAAATATATAAAAATATAAATATATAAATATAAGTTTCTTGTAAAACTTTTCAAGTTATTTTAACTGATAAAAATAAGTTTTAATCGATTAAAACGCATGTGCAGAAATTGTTTTAATCGATTGAAATGAGATTTAATCGATTAAAAGAGTTCTGATCGGTCATAATTTCATTCTGATCGATTATAATTGAAACCATATAATAGCGGTTTCAGATTAACCGCTATCTAAGTGAGCTTTTAAGAGCGGTTCCTGTGTAACCGCTATCTAAAATGTATTTCGCTTGAGCGATACTCTTATCGCTCGAGCGAAACGCCCTGCACAAAATTGGCATTCTCGGGTTGTATTTCGCTTGAGCGACTATAATCTCGCTCGAGCGATGGTGCAACCGCTATTAGAAGTAAATATAAACATATAAATATATATAAATATGTAAAGATATAAACATATATCTTTAATATTTTGTAAATGTAAATATAATTTATATATATTTTTAAATCTTTTTCTTATATTTATTTTTAAAAATATAATATTATTTTTAAAATTTAATATTTTTTTTAAATATATAAATATATAAAGATATAAATGTATAAGGATATAAATAAATATATAAATATATCAAAATATAAATATATAAATATATTAATATATAAATATATCAATATATCAATATATAAATATATAAATATAAATATATATATATATATATATATATATATATATATATATATATATATATATACAAATATATCAATATATCAATATTATCCCCTCATATATTAATATACATTATTAGCATAATTTTAATTTAATTAAAAATTAGAATACAAATATACTATACTATACTAATATACCATTATATTATTTTCATTGTATATAAATTACAAAATTAATAATTTGTATACTATACTATACTAATATATTATTTGTATACTATACTAATAGTATAATATACTATCTTATAATATTATTTGTATAGAAAACTAATATCTTTATATATAAATATGAAAATATATAAATATATGTAAAAATATGAAGATATAAATATATAAAAATATAAATATATGTAAAAATATAAAGATATAAATATATCAATATTTAAATATATCAATATTTAAATATATATTAAAATATATAAATATATTTTTATTTATAGATTTTATATTTATATATTTATACGGATATACATTTATTTGTATATAAATATAATTTATTTGTAAGTTATTATTAAAAGATCTTAGTAGACCTCGAGTGGTTGGAGTTTCAGCTTTACCAACTTGAAAGTATCTTAGTAGTTCGAATCCTGACATAATGACAGGTGAAACCACTAATAAGTTAAACTTCTAAAAAATATAATATAATTAAGAGATATGGAGTAAATAAATAATAGATATAATAAAATTGTAAATAAATAAAAACATATATTTTTTTTCTTCAATAAATTATATGAAAAACTATACGTGTAGTTTTCTCATAATAAATCATGCGTCCGATGATTTTAACTATCTTCTATTAGGATATGTGTGAAGTACGATGGATTTGTTTTAAAATTATATTATTTTTTATACAAAACTATACTTTACAACTTTCATTTTTATAATTTTTTTTTTAAATTCTGGTTAATATCTTATTTCATTTTTATAAATACATAAAATGAATATATATTTTTAAATTAATATGTGATTATTATTTCATTTAGCATTTAAATGCAATTTTGTATAATAATAAGAAAAAGATACATATGTTTCGACGGCAATATAATTTTCTCAGCTTTTGTATAAACGTAAAAGGCAAATGTAGTTTCGGAGTGTAGAAACGGTTTGGTGATTCGTGTGACAACTTTTCTGTTTTCATCCGCAAAGTTGAACTCCATGAACATATAAGATTGCTATTAAATTTTATTTTTTAAATCTTAGATAAGATTTCTAATAATTTACAATTCAATTATAAAAAAAAAAGTTTTTGGATACACATAAGAAAGAAACTGAATTACATTATGAATTGTAAATATTCCCCCTTAATAACTTTTCATAAAATTCACTAATATAACTGTGAAAATGCATTTATATATTTTTTTAAAAGGAATAAAAAAAATGGAGAAAATGACAAGGAGGAGGAGGAGGGTAGATGAAAGTTTATGGTTGAGTGATTTGTCTTGTTTACATTGTAGTTTCCACCCACCCCATTTATGTACGGCAACCACCAAAATGGTCGGCAATATTTGTTCGATTTCGCACCCTGCTTCTTATTTTGGGGGTTACAAGCGATAACAAAAAAAAAAAAAAGGGTCTTGGAAGCTTCTTTCGTTGGCATCCATTTGCAAAGATAGGATCAGAGTTGTTTTATCGATAAAATTAAAAAAAAACCATTAATATATATCAATTTATACTTATTGTTTGTATTTCAGTTAAGATATTTATTTTATACTTTCACCAAAAACAGCTCATTGGTGGCTGATAAAGCAAGATGATACACAACACATGTTTTAATTTTTTTTTTCTTCTTCTTTGTTCTGCTCTATTTTTTGTCAAATAAGGTGAAAAGTTCAAACTTTTATTATGCCAATTAATTTCATTAGCTTATACTTTCCTAAATAGTTTATTAGTTAATCATGTAGATAGACAGTGGTTTAGTATTTAATTAAGTGGACTGTGGAGATCTAAACTAGATCTCCGTCATTTCTTGGTGATGAAAACTGTTACAGTGATATTTATAATTAAATAACAAAGTTAAATTATTTTACTATGGAAATATATAGTTTATTTTCTCAATATAATATTTTTGAAAAATCTAAATATTTAATTTGGTGTCAACTTCCTCCTCTGAGATCAAATCGAAATTTTGAATACTTTTTATAGAGTACTATGATGTTGAAATGTTGTGTCACACGTGTGAACTGTAAAGCACGGAGACTTATCGTTCCTCCACAACATGTTTTTATTTGCAAACATGAATACGCAATTGCGTTAGGTTTGGTATTACTTGAACATGCATAATTGTACTTTTAGATCTCAAGTCTTGATAGAATGAGATTCAAGTTTTTTTTTTCAATTCCAGAAAATACCCCATTATCAATTTCAGAAAAAAAGGTAATGAAGCATATTTTGGAACAATTTAAAAGGAAAATAAAATAAAACTTTTATTGTCTTGTATTTAATAGTGTGTATTTTTACCATTGTATATGTTTTAATGTGATTTTTTATTAAAATTTTATAAATAATTAAATATATTACTTTTTACTAATTTTAATATGTAATCATTTTATTTGTGTAGAGTGCTTAAATTTATGTATTATTATATGATCAGAAAATTATGGGAAACAGATTGTTGAAACAATGATAAATTATTATGCAAGTGATTAGTAGCCGTTGATCATGAATATTTTCAATAACATTGTTTACATTTTGTTTTGGTTGATTGGACTGTGGTTGACGTTGGTGTGATTGACGTTGATAAGGTTACTATCCGTCAAAGGAAAGGAAAGAGGCGTAGGTTCCGTGGAGCATCCGCTACGTGCTTCTCATGGATGAGTTATCCTTTACAATTTTTTAAAATATTATTATTTTTAAAATTAAAATAATAATATTTCACATATTTATAATAAGTTGCTAGTAAAAAGAAAAAATCAATATTACTTTGTGTTTTATTCTAAGGGTGTTTGTGATAAAAAAAAAATCCTATTAATGTGGTTTACTCCATTTATGTCTCATTTTTCTTTTCTACTCTTTTAAATGATGTGTGAATTAAAGGGGCATTGTGTCAAGCATAATAAAATAGTGTGTTTTTTTCACTTGAAAAAGTGTTTCAATTATATGTAAAGCTTTATAGAGCTTAATATCACATGTCCTCTTAAACTACATATAAAACTAAAATAAATATATTAAAAAATACTACTCTATCTTCTAACACGAATAGCAAATTTGTGGTATTTAATAATATTCATTAAAATCTGTTCTATTGAATCAATCAATAAATTCATAGAATAACATCAGTGATTGAAGAGGTGTTATAAAGTAACATTATGACAATTAATGAGAAAAATAGACAACCATTTTATCAAGAATTCAGAATTAATTATGTAGTTAATTAAAAAGATTATAATTAATAATTTAGCTAACCGATTTAATCTTTAATAAATTTTGCTCAAAATTTTTGGCACAAAAAAATTATAATAGAATTTCACTAAGAAGATGTTTTCTCTAAACTGTTATCGTAATAAACTTTATATATATAAAAAAATCTTAAATTACAATTATTGAAACATGAGAAAGATTATAAGATAAAATATTTTTTGATGCATGTAAATTTATAAAACATTAAACATGTTAGTCCAATAAAAAAAACTGTATTTTTTTTAATTTAAATAAATTTTGAATCCAATGTTTATTATGATTTCAAAATATTAACTTATTAATTTAAAGAACGTATCTAATATTACATTCAGTAATTTATTTTATAACAACTTCATTCTATCATACCAATACTGTAGTATTTTTTTTTTACTATTTCATTTATATATTAATATTTAGTTTATATCTAATTAATGGATATGGTTGTTTCCATAACCAAAATATGAATGAAATCGAAATGATTAATTATTAGGGCTAAAGATTTGAAAATAAACATAGAATTATGGATGGTGGAGTTTCATATTGTCATTTTCCACAGTGCAAAAGACCTCAAATGTTTATTGGAATAATGTATCCCTTCAATATGAATGGCAAAACGAAGGAATTAACACTGGTTTTAGTAGGGAAATTATGCATGCTTACAAAATAAGAATAATTCAAATTAATCAATTTTCAACCATTCCCTGAATCAGGTAAGGAGACTAAAGAAAAAATTATAAGTTCCTGTAGCAAATTGGGTCTCAAACTAAAAATTGATTTAATTTAATTTCTGGCTCAAGTCTTAATAATGATGAAGTTGGAAATTTATATAAAGCGTGGGTTTGACCAAAACTATTTCACGCCAAAAATAAACAAACATGTAAACATCAAGAGACAAATCTGCAATTAAAAAATGTAGTAGTCCTAGAAGAGTTGGGTGACGTTAGAAATAGAAGAGGGCAATACAAAGTTTGAAAACTCACGCAATATATTGAAAGTGGATAGGAGAAAAAGTAGAGCAGCTTTTCCAGTGTGTTGGAAGATTCGTGATTATAACAGGCTTTAATTGATGCTCTTCTTATGGAAGAGTTGAAAGAGAGGATTGGATGAAGAGTGAGGACAAAGAAGTGGTTACCATCAAGAACTTTGGACTGCACTGTTTGAAAGAAACCTAAAATCTGTGGCAAGTGTGGTAACATTGGATGAATGGGCATTCGAAATGTCTCAAAGTTTAGGCGTGATGGTGGAATGTGTGGTGGTCTTATCCAGATTATGACCCTGCTTGAATCTATCCATATTTTTGGTCTTCAAAACTTTGCATTACCTCCCTCTTTGTTTTTATGCACATTTCCGTGTACGCCTTTTTTGTGCACTTTGTCGTGGAAAATGATTGTTGGTGTCAAAGCAGTGAAGTGAGTGCAATGCAATGCAAAACGTATATGTATGGAACAATTACGAGGAGGGAATTTGAATTTGGATGAAAAAGTAGTATCCAAATAATGGTGTTTGTTTGCGTGGTTAAAAGAGACTTCCATTTTGTTCTTTTATTATTACACCACCCATTTGCAAGATGCTTCCTATGCCTTATCCTCTACATGTATATGTCTTATTCCATACTTGGGTCAAAAATTACTTTTATTATGTAACTCTCTTTTTTCTTTCTGTTAATTTTTTTTTTAATTATAGAAATATTTTCTTTTAATTAAAAAAGGTAAAATTATATTATATTATTTATAACTAATTTTCACATTAACAAATTATATGTTATAATAATTATAAATATAAATCGTAATTTTAACTTATCTTAAAAAGATATATAATTAACATAAGTGTTAAAACAACATTATTTTATTATAGTTGTGCAACCAATAATATATTATAACAAAATAAGTATTCTTTTATTTTATTTTAAAAATATTATAAGTGTTCAAATAACACTGTTTTATTATATTTGTGTAAAAATTAATATATTATAATAAAATAATAATTATTATATTTTATCATATTTAATACACCAAACAGACTCTCGTGTTCCTACGCTTTCCTATTTTATTTTATTAATATCTTTAATGTTTTCTTTACTTACACTGATATATTTTAAAAAAAATTATATAAATATTTATAATTTTTTTTAAAAGTAAAATTTATATTTTCAATTATTTTTCTATTAAAAAATTATCCTTTTAAATTTTTAAAATATCATTCTTACATTCCTAAATATTCAATTATTAAAAAATAGAATATAAATGTAATTTAATAAAATACGAAGAATAGAAATAATTTCCTCTAATATTTCTATTACATCCTGTAATAATATTGAATAGAGTTTGATGTATACAAAACCTTTCTCATATACAGCGTATTAGAGAAGATAAAATATAATTTGCATAACTAAAATTTGTAATACATACATATATTAAATGTTTAAATTATATTAAAATTAAAAATAACAATAAATAAATATTTTTATATAAAAATGTATTTTAGATGTATAACTTTTTCAATGAAAAGTGATGATGTACAGTTTTATTTTATTATAGGTAGGACAAATTGTTTATGTTTATCGTATAATGCAACTTTGAATTCAGCGATGGAAAGATAACGATGTAGAAGCATTAATATTTTGTGAAGGTTTCTTAGGATAATTGATTGATGACATGATGGATGAAAGTGTGTGATAAAACAATTTACAATGGAGGTGATGGAATAATTGAAATTTGATAAATTAAAGAGAGTGGATAAGGTAATAATGTATGGAAGCTAATTAATTGGTAGTGTGGTTTAGTGAGTGAGTAGTGTGGCTTACATAACCAAGGCCCCCCTTTTTCCACCATCTCATGTTCCTTTGCCCCCCTTCACCTGCCTCCAAATTAGGCTTTCCTCAACTCATCAATTCCAGGACCACAAAACCACTCACAATCACTATTTCCTTCTCCTTCTCTGGACCACTTTTTCACCCTATCTACTCATTTTCTCTCTTCTCCTCATTTTTCCTTCACACAAGATGCTTGCATACCATGGATAAAACTCCCAATATATAAAATTAAAGCAAAGAACACAAACAAATACGAGTGTGTAGTGGTGGTGACTCCAGTGACGGAAGGAGGTTGAGATCTCCAAAATTTTGTAACTTGTAATGTAATTTATGATTTTGATTCTTCAAATATAATGAATATTTAATATATTTAATTGTATATTTATAATTTTATTTTCTCTAACTCCTCTTCAGTTTTGTAACTCTCATATAATTTATGATTTTGTTTCCTCAAACTTAATGATCATTTAATATATTTAAATATATATCTACCATTTTATCTTTTCACTCTTTTATTTTTTTTTTTATATTTATTTATTATTTATTAATAATATATTATTTAACTCTCCCAAAAATTAATGATCAAGATGTTCGACTGTATGCCTCTTTCGTGAACAAAACCTACAACCCACTGACTAAATATCATAAGTGAAAATAAACAACACAAATTCATATATGACTGTTAATAGTTATAGTGTTGTTGCCTCTAAAACAAGGACTTGTTAGTTACAGGCGTGGAAATGTAAGATACAACACGAAGGATATAATAGTATGTGTCAAAATTTGTGAATAGTAAGATCCATTGGAATAGGTAAAGGGGTCAAGTGTCCCCACCAAGATAATGTAGGTGACATGATAGATGAGGAAAGAACAGCATCAGAGGAGTATTTATATTTGACGACCATTCAGACTACACAGATGAATGATCGTGTATGGTCGATGGAATTTACTGTTTTATTTTCTTCTTTTCAATTTTGTTTCTGTTTTTGTTGGGATCGCTGGAACTGTACCAATTTTGATGTTCGTGTTGTTGCATGTTTTCTTTCACGTCTTGTCACACCAATCTGTTCTTTGTTTTTCTTTTCATTTTTGGGTTGTTTTGCCTGATTCATGAAACTGGAAAAGAAAAAAAGTTGACATAAAATAAAAAAGAAACAACTCTGTGAGAGAGAAAGAGGAGGTGGTGGTAAAGTGAAGACTTGGTTGGGGTTAAGTTGCTGAATGTTTCTGTCATTTGAAATCAATAGTTTGGAGGGTTTGTTTATCAGGTTCTTGCTCCTTCAAAGGAAAAGAAAATAAACTGTTCTGGAACATACCTTTGACTAAAAATTGAGTATCTAATTAAAAAGTACTTTTTAAAAAAACTTATAAGACTGTATAATTTATTTTTAAAACTGTAATGAAAGAATATAGGCCTGTAAATTCCTTTTGACTTGTGTAACTTTTAGAAGAAGAAAAATCCAAGAAAACATTGTTTATGTCCCCAAAAAGCATTATAAACAAATGAAATGGTGTGCACCATTATAATAATCAATGCTCTTTGGACCATTCTTACGGGAAACCAGTTAAGGTGAATGTGAAGGCAACTGGTCAATGTGAAAAGGATATTGAAACAGGGTCAATGAAACGGAGTCATGTGGTTGGTGGGTGACATGATACAATAAAGTATAGTTTATGAAATAAAAAATAAAAAATAAAAAATAAATAAAGATATAGATAGATGTAGGTTAAAACAAGAGAAAGGTCAATGTGAAAATGGGTGATTCCTGATTTGTATAAGCAACTAGAATAGGACGAAAATGGATGGTTGAAAGGAAACAGTTTAAATCCTGTTTATGCTTAAGGTTTGGTGTTACACTTATTAGTACTAACTATGCATTTCTAGGGTCAATTTGGATATTCAATCACTTTCAAGGGTGTGCCAAAGTACACCATATTTCCTATATTCTTTTGGGTCACTTTCTTTCTTCCATTTTAGTTATCATGCCCTTGTTTCCCTTCTCCCAACCACTCTACAAAGAGATTTAACTCATTTCTAGTGTCATCTGTCCCACCACCAAGGTCCTTCTCCTTATTTTAATCTCACTAATAAATAAATAATAACAAAAAAAGATTATGAGTGCACCCAACACACTCAAGGCCCAAATCCATTAATCCAGCCCATCAAAAACAACAGTAGAAGATTAAGAGTATTTTGGTAGAAATAGGGGACAAACTAAGTGAAGATGAAAAATTTAGTGGATTGGATTAAAATTATTTGATAAAATTGGCTATTAAATAAATTAGAAGGATTGAAACTAACTTAAAAATCTTGCTAAAAATGCACTCTAACACAAGGAGATTAAAGACAGATAGATGGTTTTGTTGCATGGTAAAGAATTTTACTATCAGAATTCAATAAGAGTTTTTACACTTTGTGCTAATTCATTTTCACACTTCCTTTCTGAACAAGAATTTGGCCCAATAAGGAATCAATAAATTGTCTACATAAATGACCATGCAAAGGTTAGAAGAATCTTAGAAAATTATATATTTCTAATGATTTATGTCGGCACATTTATTATAGAGTAATTATATTAGTTTTTATTGCAAAAAAGACTTTTATTTAAGTGGTTAAAATTAAATTCATTAATTATTAAAGAATTTGATATCAAATTGAGTATACAGTAAACATTTGATTTAAAAAAAAAACTAAGTCAAATAAATATTTCACATTTTAATGTTTTTTTCTATTATAAATTTATTAAATGTATTATAATAAAATAATTATTAACTAAAAAATATATTATAAAAATATCATATATAATTAACATAATATTTATAATTTTAATTTATTTTTATATACTTCTACATTTATTTTAAACAATAACAATATATATCAAATTATGAGAAATTAATGACTCATTCAAGTTAAATATTATCTTATATTTATATTATAATTTTGGTTAAGTTTGATTTGATTCGTGATTATAAAATCAAAATTGAAATGAATTAATTGATTTAAAAAAAATTGTTCGATTTTCAATTTTATTTGTTCATTCGTTCAATTTTAGGTGAAGAATTGTGAAATCGAATTATTGAAGATAGCAAATTACTTTGAATCCCTTCCTGAAAAATCCTATATCTTAGTTTCTATTTTTTCTAACTTGCTAGATAATCTTTTATTGTATATAATATGTAGTGAACAAAAAAAGAGGGGATTTAGAAAATTGATTAAACAAATTGAATTTCTTTAATTTGAACTTGTAAAAAAAAATTGAAATGAAAATTTTTGAAACATCGGAAGAAGTAGTCATTTATATGAAAAAAAAAAATAGAATTCTTAAGAACTCAAGGGGATCCACTTATCACAATTTAAAGAAAACAAAAAAAAAATTTATACATTCATTGACAATAAAATAAAATAAAAATATGCAAACTGGAAATTCATTGTAAAAAATGTTGCCTCAGTCTGAGCCACTTAATTAAAGAAATCCGTTTATAGGCAGGTCCTATTCAAGAAAAAACAAATAGCACCATTAAAAATTGAAAAAATGTTAATATATCCAGAAAAGTTATTTTAAGGAGTTTGTTACAAATGATAATAAATTAACAACTAACTAAATAGTAGAAAAAAAAAATCATCTTTTTAATTTGCCGAAGGAGATTGAGAGAAGTATTTGGAGATTTAAAAGAAGTTGAGTCTAACCCGAATAATCGTGTAAAAACAAATTTCGCATCAAAGTACCTTCGTTTTTACAGAATTTATGATCAAAACAAAACCTTCTGTTCCATGTCTAATCACACATGTTTAGATGCTTCATCTGAAAATTAAGATATTTTCATAAAGTGGAGAAAGATGGGCTTTCATAATGATTTTGGATTGTATCGATTTTAGGTCCATTAATAATTCAACCAAACAAGATTTGGGCCAAGCAATCAACTGGACTGTAGTCCATTTCAGGGAACGATTTGGTCCATTAGAAAGTTCATTACTATATTGAAGCATATGTCCGTATTTATTATTATTATTATTATTATTATTATTATTATTATTATTATTATTATTATTTATACCTACTTTTCTTCCAAATGGGGAATTTTGGATAGATACGAAAATGTTGCAAGTTAATTAGTTTGTTTCTTTCAAACTTCTACCTACTTCTACCTACACAATTGTGTTGACGTCGAAATAATGAACAATGGGAGCAATGCAAAGAAAAGAAACAAAGGAAAATTGAAGGAAGTAGGTTTTATTTAGTAGTTTGACTTTGAACAACAAAGTTTCGGCTCCTACCATGGTCCACACATTCACAACCACTTTTCTAATAAAATAATTATCACTAAATTCAAATATAGCCAAAACAATTTTTATTTATTTAGTTTAATGATATTACTCTTCAAATATTTTTTTATCTACTTGCATTTTTTTATTAAAATTTTATTTTTAAAATGAAAGTAATGAAATAGATAATGTTAACTAACTTCCTTAATTAGTATAAAGTTAAATATTTTTTCTATACAAAATATAATTACTTGTTGTAAACTTATTATTTATTTGAATCATTACTTTTTTATCTAATGACCAAAATAATACCTAATCCAAATCATTAGATTATAAAAAAATTAATAACGAAAATGAAAAGTAACTCTGTAATTTTTACTAATTAGAGTATATTTTTATTATATTTCTTAAAACTGTATTTGGATGTAACAAGAAGAAGAGAAAAGAGGAAAAGAAATTGCTACTACTTTAAGACACTTTATCAGTAGCAGCAAAGACAGAATTGAACGGAGAAGCACCTTATGAGGTTCTGGATTTTGTTGTCATGGAAGACATCACAACACAATTAATTGATTGTAGAACCTCGCATTTCTGTTTGTTATTTAAAAGTACACCTGTAAATCTTTTTTCCTGGAAATTGCTTAGAGGCAAAGTACTATACTCGCTTCGCGGCTGACGTTGGGACCCATCATAACTGCAATCAGCAAAACTTAGGAAAACGGCAATCCTGATCTGTTTTAACACCTCTTTCACCCCTTTCTTACATATTGTTTATGATGATTTTGAAATAATAATTTATAAACAAACAATTTCAAAAAAAATATCGATTTTTTTTTTAAAAGCTTCACATCATCCATCACATTTCTTTCTTCCTCAATCATGATTTACAATGAATGTTTTATTTTAAGTATCCCATAAAATAAAAATTAAATGACGTTTTTTGAGGATTGGGTAGGGTGTAGTAGTAAAAATACTTGTGCACATGAGGGTCGTTCTTTTTCACCGGTAATAGCAGGTAAATGTCTATCATAAAAATGAAGTTACTAAAATAGGTCTAAAATTGAGTAACTTAAAAATAGAAACACGATAATACCAAATTATTGTCCTATGTTATGTCATGGCATTGATCAAAATTAGTGACAGTGCCACACAAGATAAATAGTTAGCCACCAATTTCTAAATATATCATTAAACTTTTTCATCATTGCATTTTACTCAATAATGATATTTTGATAACCAAAAAAACATATCACCCTTCAAATTATTCACTTTTATTAATATAATAATTTATAAAATGATTTAATAAAAATAAAAATAAAATAAAATTATTATTATAATATTAAAAGAGAATTTCTCATAAAAATTGTATATATTTGAATTTTTAAAGTATCATCTTCCAATTCATAACGAAAATAATTATGCAATGATTGAACTTACAACATTTGTGATTAAATCACACGTGCCTCGTTTTCAATGACTACAATTTATAGCGTCGAAACCGACTTAATTTGATTTATAGTTTTGGACTCATTTTTCACAGAAAATGTTTTTAAAAGATTTAAAAACACGTTTTCAGTAAATTTTATTTTTTCAGTAAAAATAAAAATAAAAATTAAAACAGAAAAATGCATTACCCAAAGAAAACTTTAAAATCTAGCTAGAGGCCCTATTATGAACTAAAGGGTGGTTGAAAGTGAATATATAAAAAGATCTAACCTAATGAAAAACCTTAGTTAGGTTAGGAGTCCTCTGTACTGCAGAGTATAGGACCACTAGTGCTATGTTTATCTGGTTGGATGCATTGCCTTAATCCCTATTGCAGTGTCCTGGAATTCTAAAATTGTTTGGACATTGAGGGTGAGTCATTTATCAAATACTATAATACACGGGGCCAGGATCTTGTGTTCACCAGTCACCAATAGGATGAGCGAATCTAGCACACCATGGCAGTGCCCAAAAATCCTACAAAAGGCCATATTCTCTCTGTCCCTTCAACTTCCAGGAGAGGCATGAATCTCACACAACACATTCTAAAACTAAGAAACATCCTACTTTATATCATGAATTTGTAGATAAAACAAGTGAAGGAGCAAGCAATGCAATTGATGAATAAAAATATAAAATTGTAGATTAATTTTAGATACCTTCTAAGGGGGAATCCAAGAGAGATTTAACCTACAAAAGAATGGTACATCTTACAAGATTGAAGAATTCCGAAATCGGAAATACCGAGGCTTCATAAGAAATTTCGGAATATGAGGAACCTGCGACCTTAGCATATCTCTACTCTACAGCCTAATGGCTAGAACTACCCAAGAAAATTTTCCCATATGTGACTACCAAATTCTCTTCTATTCATAGGAACTGGTAGTCACACCAAGAAACGTCTCTGGCGCACCACGTTGTCCATTGGATTCTATTGGATAGAGCCTTCAAAATGGCCTGTACATTTTTTCAGGTTTGATTCCCCAAACACAAACAACTGTTTCAAGAGTTCTGCGTTCTGAACAATGAAAGCAAGAAAGGTCTCAACTCATTCAACATAGAGCGTCAGTGCAAGAAACATCATCGGATGGCATCATATTTAGATCTGGTATCAAGAAAAACCTTTCCCCGGTTGATTCTATCCCGTTTGGCCTAGATTCTGATGTTTGCAAACGAGTATCATCTTGAGTGGGACGTACGAGGGCCTCCGGAGATACTATTCTCTGATGGGGTTGACCAGCAACCATACACTGTGGTTCAACAGACGTTGAACTTGGATTCTTCTGAGATTTTGATCCGACGCCAAGCTTAAAAAAAAAAAATTGAGGTAAACTTTAGCCCAACAAATACGGATGATTCACTGTAAACATAAAAAAAGTATTGAGGACATTTGAACATACCTTCATCCTCTTCAAACTCTCATTTTTTGCTCTTTGTGCCTCAAAATTTGCATTTATAGTTGCTATTTCCTGCAAAAAAATTGTGATATATTAATGTTCACGAATCATCACTCCCATGTTCATATATGCCAAACTAAAAGTTATAGCACTTGAAAATACATGCGAAGTCCTGGTAGATACCTTTCTCAAATATATCCTTTCCTTTAGCAGGGAGCTTTCCTCTTCCTTCAGTTCAGCAAAGGTCTGGAAAATGACAAAAAGGATAACGATCAACATTCGTACACAGTATTCACCAGCTAAAAAAAGGTCACTGCCAACGGCTTCTCAACCCAGAAATCATTCACCACGAAGAAGAATATTCGATCTTTGAAAAGTTTCGAAGAAAAAGAATGAAGGTAGCAATTACTAAGAAAAACATAGTGTATTCTACCTTTTTTCTTCTGCACCTCTTGGTAGAAGCAGAATTGCCAGTGTATCCACTTGTGGCGGTAGCCTGAAAAATGGTTTGAGATCACGAAGGATTAGGAAAAATAGAGACATGAGATGCAGAACAAATCGTAGTGGTAACAGGTTTAAAGGAAGGGGAAAATGGGACCTGTGTAAATTTGAAAGAAAAGAAAAATACAGAATTTGTGGCTAACTCATAAATGTAAAAAGCAACGAAGAAAAAGAAAAAAGTAGCTGAACACAGACCGAGCGTCTCAGCATCAGAACAGCCCAAAGCAAGGGTAAAATAATAGTGAAGACATTGAGCTGGGATCCAGCTAAAATGAAAATATATTAGCCTACAAGGGTTTGCTTGAGAGAGAGTTACACTATGTAATTATTAAAATCATGCACTCGCTCGCCCTCTTTACCACTGCCATCTGTTTGTGTAATGGGACACGTCTCAGGGCGTTGCCCACCCATCCTCTCTCACCCACCCTCGGGCCCACGTATAGCCCATACATAATTCATACTTATTATCGCACAAAACTCATCACCCAGCAGGACAAATCAACTGCGTACTCCTCACACTTCAAGCTACGTCATCGTAGTCACGCACGCGGCGGCACGTGATGATGATCCTCATTTGAATGGTCACATGACCTAGCCCAATAGCCCATCAATTTTAAAGTTAATAATTCAATTTAAAGTAGACGGCTCTTGAGTTTCTTCTTCTTCTTTTTTTTCTTTTTTTTTTTTTAAGACAAGAAAAACAAAACATTCGGGTGAGCGGCATGGAGCACGCCCTCGAGTGGAGTGGGCCAAGGGCCGCAGATCCTGCGTGTCATCCCCATTTCCCACCCAACTGAGTCCTAATGTTTAGGATTTAATTTCCCATTTAAGGCACCAACTTTAACTACCGTCACCCCTTCACTGTCACCCCCGTGATACAGATACCCCATCCACCTCATAATGGCAGTGTGCCGGGGTGTACGCTCTGTCTATCACATCTCATCTCAGCAGGCTCCAACACGAGAATCCCTCCTCATCCACACCAACAACTCTAACCTCCCCCTCTCTATCTAACGCCTCGTTCCTAATGTAGCTAAATTTTCAGTTTTAAACACCTTCAAAACATTAATTAAAGGATAATTAACTCTACGTTTTAATTATTTTACATAAAAAGTACCGGTGCTTGTAATAAAGACACAGGTGAATTTTACAGTCCAGACCCGAAACAGGAGCAGATGCAGAAGCGACCGGAAATTATAACAAGTTATGACACTAACTTCAACGAATCGCAGGCCCATCATCTATCCATAACCTGACGAAGCAAACCTTCCACAGTTCACAGACGGTTCGGTCTTTTCTGAACCGTACCCATCCCCATCTAAATCATGTGGGGCCCACAAGCCCACATTTACATTGACCAAAATACCCACGCTCTCCGTGGCCATTTTTAACGAATTTCGTCCACGTAATAAATACTAAAAAAAGATCCGTGACTCTTAACTCGGTTAACGCTGCCGGAAAACTGGTGTTAGTGGTCAAAAGAAAAAAAAGGTTGTCAGTGGAATATTGGTTGCACCTAGGAAGGGCGTTTTCGTCAATCAATCGAGAACATTGAGTGACAGGCGAGTACCCCAAACAAAAACAGGTGAGAACAAAACGCCGAGCTTTTCTTCCAGTGCTGACCTATGCCCCCACAAACATTCCAGGGCATTTCCGTCACCACAATTTCAAAATGACCACCGAAGATACCCAAAAATAATAAAAAAACAAAAATAAGAACGGAAAAACCGGAAAAATAAAACATCTCCACGACGAGGAGTAATCAGCACCAGTGAGTGGAAGATAATAATTAAAATTCGATTTAAAATTAAAAGAAAAAATAAAGCGAGAAATTGACAGATTTGCCGTCAGCGTCTGATGTCAGCGGAAAATCGAAAACGATGCGCGATTGGGAAAAGAAAAAAGGGAAAACAGTTAAAACTTAAAAACACGACTGGCCTTTGGCCTGTGAATAAGGAGGTTAAGGGCAAAATTGTCATAACCGAAGGAAACGTCATGCAGAAGGCAAGAATGTTTCGTGAGGCACGCTAAGCCATCTCAACCACCGCGAACAAACACAGCTCTCCGACGGAGGAGGGAGGTATGCGCACGCACAGTCGTAACGGTGTGCCGACGAAAAAACCGAACTCTGAGCACGCAACAGAGATCAGAAGAAACGGAGAAAGAGGAAGAGGTATAGAGAGAAAGAAAGATAACCTTGGATCTGGCGGCATGATGTTGGCGGGTGGAGTCTTCGTAACCGTCTGCGGTGGCGGATGGCGAGGCGGCGCTGCTCCAAGAGAGTGGCGTGGTGGGACTGCATCTGGTTGAAACGGCGGCGTCGCAGCGAGAGACGGCGGCGGTTAGCCTTGATCTTGAGCGCGGCTGTCTGACCCCCCAGGAGAGAGGAAGGGGGTCATGAGATTTGGGCGAAACGGTTTGCTTGAGGCGCAGGAGAACTTCGACGACGACGGTTTCGTCCGTCATAGCCGCCGCGACCCAGTCATCGTTTAGCATGTTGGCGCTTGGGCGATAACAGTCATGAAAAGGAAATAGTGCGGTGCGAGTGCTGCGTTGGTGAGGCGTGTGTGTGTGTGTGTGCGCGTATGTATAAGAGAGAGAAAGAAAGGGGTGGCGGAGGTATTGGAGGAAAAGATGAAGAGTGAGGGGAGGATAGGTTTATATATAATTTATAATAAGCGAGAATTAAAAAAAAGAAATAAATAATAATATTATTAAAGGGGAGAATGGGTGAGGATATTGTGTGGCGGTGAAGAAGGAGGAAGGTGGAGTAGATTCGAGTTATTCTTGGTTCGTCGTTGGTTCTTAGTTAAAAAGGAAGGGTTGGGTTGAGTCACGTAGGGCGTGGCCACTGTGGGGTCTCCCTCTTTTCTGCTCTTTCTCCCTCTCTTTTCCTCCCCCTGACCCCACCTACTCTCATCTGGCATGCCAATGCCAATTTCTCATTTTTAACATTATTATTACTGTTGCTCATATTATATTCCCTTTCCCTTTCCTTATTACCCATTGCTATCTACACATTATCAAAACCTAATTTTTGCATTTTATCCATCCCAAACACATCTATACTTTCTCCCTATTTACATTACACTTAAGTAATATCAGTTTCAAAAATCAAATATTAAATATCTTATCAAAATAGTTTTAAATAAACTATGTAGCCAAATACAAAATTTAATAGCGTAAAATAACCGTGTCTATTTTTTAATTATTTGACAAGGTTTGGTACTTACTTTTAAGTAGAAAGATTACAAAGTTAATATTAAATATAGAAGTTCTATGTTAATAATTTATTTTTTTATCACATAATAAATTATGTTTTTAATTATAAACAAATAATCTAATTACAAAATTTCACCAAAACAAATATAATCTTATTCTATATATACTCCAATTAAATATATAACATTTTTGTGTTCTAATTATTTAATTATGTGTATATGACTTCATTCTAATATAACATTTTCTACCGCATCCATTATAAAAGGAGGAAATTGTTATAGGTGAGAAAACAACTTATTTGTTGGTCGTTCATATATTTATTTGAAAGTAATTTTTTTTCCATTTATTCAATACCTAATCAAATCAAAATCATTAATCTTATTATTTAAATCCTTTAGTTAATATGCATTTATTTAAACTTAATTGATTTGTCGTGATAACTTTTTAAATCTACCTTTTTAATTTGTATTGTATTAAAAATAGATTAATAATATAATTTAGAATTAAATTTATCCAAATCATATTGTGTGAACAACGAGTATTTCAACTAGTATTATCCTAAGTGAAGGATTTCTGAATCATACCCCAAAATTTACATATTGTGTGTTACATGTTTAGTGTTTTGTAGGGAAAGATCTTGCGTGTGGAAGATCATCTGAAAGACTGAAAGAACAAGTTATTCCTCCTGCACTCAGGTGCATTGAATTCATCGTCATTTGTTGGCTACTCACTTATTCCTCCTCTACCCAATCTCTCTCCACTCGACAAGCTTTTTAATTATTACTATTAAGATCGTAATCGGAACAAGTCAAAAACTTCAATACCGTCAAAACCTGTAGACTGGGACCATGCTTTCCAAACTCAAAACACTTGTTATTGCAATTCCAATTACAGTTCCAAAATGCAATACTTTGAAGGTAACAGAGAGTTTAGGTGAATCTAGTTTCGAACCTCACCATTGCAAATCTTCACTTCCACAGTTAAATTAGATTCTGTATTATCGTAAGATATAATTCCGATCGGTAATTTCTTACCATTTTGAGAAACCTTAGTAATCGATTTGGAGCCATATTTTTTAAACTCTGGCCAGGACCCAAGCTGTCCTTCCATGAGTCCGCGGCATCAATCAACGAGGCCGTGACGTGGGAGGAAATCAAATAGAGTGAGAATATGGAGAGTAGTGGCAAAATATCAAGAAGAAAGGAGAAACAGCGCCATTACATTACAAGGTCAGAAAAATCAACTTATGTTTAAAATATATAAATTATATTTTAAATTTGTAATTAATAATTTCATAATTACAGGTAGTCATATCATTCTTTCTGAGCCTTCCATCACATTCCTAATTACTTTTACACTATTCATTATTTTCATATGATTGTAATTAATTACACTTTTAAAGTTTTCAAGATAATTATTGTTGTACAAATATTTTTATGTATGTGTAATGTGTTGAGGATTTATAAACAAAATTTATGTTTTAATCATAATCATAATCACATTCAACATATCAATTTATTATTATAAAAAATATGGAGTGGAAAAGACATGAAAATTTTGAGATTATAAGAGATAACGTTAATGCAAGTGATAAATGAATTTTGAAAATGAGAACATTCAATGTTAATAGTGGAAAGAGGGAAGTATTTATTATCGGTTGAAAATGTATCTGGACCTCTTTTATTAAGGTTTTATTTTTATACCAGGGTTCCGAAATGATATGGGAGAGATTAAAGTCCTACTATTTGTAGATATTTCCTCGGTTATTTTGCTTGCTTGTGCAATTAACATTAGGGTTACTTGGGTCCTGCTTTTGGACCTTATTTGTCACTAATTGTAGGGTGTTGGAGACGTTTGTCCGATTTCTCATAGATGCTATGGTATTTGGTTAAAGATAGTTCAGTCACTCTACAATCACTAATCTGGAGTAAAAAGAGGAAGAAATTTACATGATGGATATTCAAATGCGAGTGTGATATAATCGGATTGTATAGATTAGGATGATAAGTACATATATTATTATTATGCGTGTGGGTGTGAATAATTTTCATATTATAAGAAATAAGTTTAATGATAAGATATTAGAGTATAATTGTGAAAAAATAAAATAAGTGTAGATGATAAATAAAATATTTAACTATAAACATAAAAATACTGATTAAATAACATATAGAAGAAGAATGAGATCATTTATTATTATTATTATTATTATTATTATAGTTAAATTTCAATAATCTAATATGTTTCATTGTTAAATATTTTCAGATTATTATCAACTTAGTCCATTAATAATTGATTAAAAGGATAAAATATATTTTTTATACTATAACTATAAAACATATTTGCATTTAATATATAATTAAAATAATTATTTTCATGTTTCATTTATCTCTAAATAATATATATATATATATATATATATATATATATATATAATACTATATAATTATTAAAATAATATTTTTTTAATAAGTATAAATAAAAACTTAATAATATAATTAATAATACATAAAACTAAAATGTGATCTATTATAATGAACAGACCTAATTATGATAATTCGCTGGTAAAATAAAAAGTATATTTGTTTTCTGTAAGAACTTCAAAGGGATTTTATGAAAATTCGAAATCTGGCTAATTTAAGAAAAAGTTATAAACAAATACATAGCGGTTTTTTTTTTTAACTATTTATTTGAATGATTAGAAAAAAATTACATGTATTTGATATAGTTTTTTAGTAGAAATTAAACCAAAAACATCATTACCCTGAATAAGACTAATTGAAATTTGTAATATGTAACCTTTATATATATATATATATATATATATATATATATATATATATACTAAAATTAAAAATATAAATAATGAATTTAATTGAATATAGAGGAAAAAGAGTTTGAGATTAATCTCTTGTGTATAAATCAACACATAGAATAATCTATTTATAATAGAGAAAGATATAAAAAGTAACTGAAAGTAAACAAAAAAATAAAATATATTGTTTGATATTGTGGTTAACAATATTTAACAATATCTTAATAAAATCTAAACAATATCTAACTCTTCCCCTTAAGTTGGAATATATAAATCGTGTATGTGTCAAGTTTGTTACAAATATAATTAATTTTAGACCCCGTAAAGACTTAGTAAAAATATATGCTAACTGATGACTTAAATTAACAAATTCCAATCTTAATGTCCCATACATAATCTTTTCTCGAATAAAATGACAGTTAATCTCAATGTGTTTGGTCCTCTCATGAAATATAAGACTAGAGCTATATGACTGGGGCGGAGGTGGGTTCGGGTTTTTCCCGCTTTAAAAAGTCGGGGCGGAGGCGGGGATGAGTAATACAATCCTCACTCCGACCCCGCCTCGACTTTATATTTAAATTTAAATTTTAAAATATTAATATTTTAAAAGTATTTATTTTTCTGTTTTTATTACATATAAGGTCATTTTTTTATATTTCACCTTTTTTATTTTTCTTCTACTAACTTTTTAATTTTTTTTATCTTTTTTAATCTTTTATATTAATTAATTTATTACATTATTCTCTTTTATCTTTTTGTTTTTCACAATTTCTTAATCTCTTTCATCAATGTGTTTTTTTTTAATATTTTCAACCAATTTGATGAATACAAAGTTATTTTGTTTTCTTCTTTATCTTTTTCTAAATATTTTACATAAATCTTAGTAATAACTAATATTATTTTATTTATAATTTATATTTATTAGATTTTATTATGTCATAATTTTTTATCTTATTATTCTTATTTATAATATATCAAATTTTATCTTAATAAAAATAATTATATTTTAAAATATTAAAAATAATTGATAATTTAAACTTTTATTACAACTTAAAAATGAATTAATTTATATATCTAATCAAATGTTTAAATATAATATTATAATAATAATAATAATAATAATGTTATAAGTATTCAAATATTTGAATACGAGTGTTATAATAATAATAATGTTATAAATATTATATATATATATAAATAAAAAATAATTAAATATTTCTTTTACATACTTATTTTAATATAAATATAATATATTAATAATAATAATTATAAATATTTATTTATATATAAAAAATAATTAGTAAAATTAATTTATTATAAATATAATTATCTTCTTACAAATAATATAAATCGGGAACGGGCGGGAACCCAAAATCCAGCGGGGACGGGGATAGAGACTTAATTTCTAACCCCGCGGAGATCGGGAGCAGGGACTGGGATGGCTAAAAAATGTCGGGGAGGGGGATAGAGACTTAATTTCTAACTCCGGGAGCAGGGACCGGGATGGCTAAAAAATGTCGGGGGCGGGGATCAGGGAGACAAAACCCACCCCCACCCCGCCCCGTTGCCATGCCTAGGAAGAAGTCATGAAGGGCGGGAGAACAAACCTTAAAAAAAATTCCAAAGTAATCCAATCAACCCACGAAGCACATATCCAAAACGAGAAGACCAAAACAAGTCTATCGAGACTAAATAGCAGAAGACAACGGATGACCAACTCTGATAATGGTGATCTGAATGACACGATGGTTGCCTGATCAAGACGAGCAAAATTGTATGTTGCTGGTAAAAAATGAAACTCCGACGACGGTTCCAACGGTGGGGGGGGGGGGCGGAGATTACGGCATGAAGTAGTACATCACGTAAGTTCCCATTGGCAGAACTTTCCTAAACATGCATTTTTACACTACCAAATAATATCTAGTAACAAAAATAACTCTTTTCTTATGTGGAAGATCAGTTTAACCGACAACGACGGTGGTGACGACTCCAATATTGAATAAAGGCGACAAAATTTCAAAATAATCTTAAGCTCTATATACCATGAATACAGAAGAAATATGGTTTGAGATTAATCTTTTTGTGTATAAATCACACATAGGGTAATTTATTTATAATAGATAAAGATACAAATAAAAGAGTAACCGAAAATAAATAGAAAATATTGTTTGTTAATGTGGTTAACAATATTTAAGAACATGTAACAAAACAAAATATATAATGATAAGTTAAATATTATAATCTTAAATTTTCAAAAGTTTTATTTTTCTAAAATAATATTTTAACTTTATCATCATTGAGTTTTTAAAGATAATTATATTATGGGTTAAATTATAATTTATCTAATTTTATCATGAATTTTAAATTAATTATTTTACATCCATTTAGAAAATATGAAATGGTAGCTAAAAGTAAAATAACCATGTAAAATTTAAACAGTATCTAAACATTTTTTTATCTATTTGAAATGAATAAAAAAATTCCAGCCTTTCAAAGTTTTAAAATTATTGAAAAGAATTAAAGAACTAACCCGGTGTATGCGGCTTTTAGCTACTCATGGATTTTAAGTTTTTTTTTTCACATCAAGAACAACCATTTAGCGCGACAAATACAGTATGTGTATTGAGTTGTTATTTTTTCTAAATCTTGATAATTATGCATAAAAATTAATTCTAAAATACTTATAATAACTTTATATCATAAATATATAATTTAGTTTAAATAGAAATTATATTTTTTTATTATTCCGTGAAAGTAAATAGGTGAATAAAAAGACAATATAAATAAATTTATATTAAAAAAAATCATAACATGTGATATCGGGGAGAAGAAAGAAATTGGAAAGAGACAGATAAAGAGAAGGTGAATGATTGGAGTGGAAGAGTGCATGACAAGTCTCCTTTCGGCGACTTCACGCCTCCTTGTCAAGGTTGGGATTTGCACCCCAATACAAATTTTAAACCCTATCACTAATTCATAATTATAATATTATTTTATTTAAAAGAACTTAAAGTCATAATTATTATTATAATTAATAATATTTAAATATAAGTTTAGTTACTAATTCTATTGTTAGAATAAAATTATTTTATTTGATAACAGTACATGTTATTATTAAGAATATTATTTCATAATTCTCTTTCCCCAAAAGCTATATGTTCGTTTAATATTTTGAAACATATTTTTTAGTTTTTTATTTTTTAAATTTGAAAGTCTAATACTTTTAAAGTTTTTTTTTACTTTTTAGTTTTTTTTTTAAACAAACAAAACTAATACAAAATATTTTATTTCAGTTTTTTATTAATAAGTACCATTTTTTTTTCAATTATATTCCATTAACTATTTTTATTATTGTCAAATTATTAAAATTATTTTTTTTCAAGATTTTTATAGTTATTTATGTTATTTTTATCTAAGATAACTTTTAAATATTAAATTATTAAACAAGTTTTTAAAATTTATTATTAAAAATATTTTTTTTTCAAATAATCTATAAATTAAAAGATAAATAAGATCAGAAAGTCAAAATTCTTAATTCATATATTTGTGTTTTTGTCATTTATAATAAAATAAATGATATATATATATATATATATATATATAATTTGAAATATTATTCTAAATTGTTTATATTGATGTATGATTATAACTATTACTATAATATTTAATTCTCACATGAAATTATGTCACGTTTAAATTTAAGATATATTATAAAGTTATATTTTATGTAAATTAATAATATCTGTTTAATTTTAAATTACACAGACAAACCGGTGACTTAATTTATTATTACAAATAAATAATAATAATAATATTATTATTATTATTATGCATAATATATATATATATATATATATATATATATATATATATATATATATAATCATAAACATCATTATACAAAAATATATTATAAATGTATAATGACTATCAAAATTTTAATAAATTGATATTAATGGTTAATTATCGATAAAAAATTTGTCACGAAAATAATCACTTAAAAATAAAAGATTTATAGATTATATGTATTTTGTGAAAATTTTGTATTATTGATAGATTATTTATCAATAAAATATCAATTTATTACTAAAAATTCAAAAATATTAATAGAATGATGATAAATTTTTTTATTTATGCTACTAAATAGATAAGTTATCCATCCATAAGTATGTTCTAGAGTAATATATATATATATAAATAAAAGAGAGGTAAGTTCTTTTGATTAATAAAAAATTATTTTCATTTTTTATCTTTTTATCACAATAGTTATGTGAATCCTAAATCGCATTCAATCTTATTACTCTTCTTCATTTTTAGCTCATTATAAAGTCACTGTCACCTTCGCATGCCATTTTCGCCCAACTACTACTCTCACTCACCATCACAACCACCTAAACTGCCTAGCTACTTACCATCGTGCCACCATCGTCGTATCATATTGCCTTCAATACCTTCATCGTTCAGCTTCCCCCGCCAACCCCGTCGTGAGTTCACCGCGCTTCACTGCCTCCACAATGAGCTTACCACCCACTCTTTTTCTCTCATTGGCGAGACACCCTTGCACCATACGTTAAGCCACCCCCAAGACCACCACGAACTCGAAATCACACTCTATTTCATCGGTCGCCACATGCCTAACTTCGATTTCCCTTCCACTCGTCTCACCCACCATCTCCAAATATCCTCGCTGTGCGACCAAACCCTCCTCCTCTAACCCATGAGCTCAATTGTTATCTCAACCCTCATCAGAACCTCAAATTGTCTTACCAGTTTGAACCGCTACACCAACTACCAAACCATTGCACGCCATCTCCTATTGCTCTCACCCCATAGACTCATTGTGCATTTTTCTTATATTAATCCCTCTTTCTTCAGTTTAATTTCATTTTTTGATTTATCTGGATTAGTTTGCTTGGAATTTGTTATGTTCGCTTGGATTGATCTACAATTTTTAATTTGATTCTATTAGTTCTAATGGCTTGGTTTGGTTTTATTCGAGTCTATGTCCATTTGTTGTCTGTTGGGACTATATTTTGGTGTTGTGTTATGGTTGTCTGGCTTTGTTGGATTCAGTATAGTTGGTGTTTGATTGTTGTTTCATTTTGTTATGATGTCTTGGTTTAATTTAGGTGGCTTGTTTTCTTTTGTTAGTTTGGTCATGGACTGAAGTGGATTGTTAATTTTGGTTTGTTGTATTTGTGATTGAGTTGTGCTGAATTTAAATATATTGTAGCAATATTAAACATGTTGTTTTGTTTGTTTTAATATAATATTATAAAAAAAGACATTAATGTTTTGTTTGGTTGAAGTGATTTTAAAGCGTGGAAAAGGAGGAATTTGAAGAAAAATGAAGGGAAAATTAAAGTTGTCTGATGAATGGAAAGTGAAAGAAAAGTTTATGAAAAATTGTGAATGATTTGATTGATATGAGATATAAAAATTATAATTTTAATTGATTATTTAAGAAAATTACCATTTTACCCTTGTGTATAAAATAAGGTTCAAATTATTATAAATATAATTTTTTAATTAATTATCTATATTTTAACATTGATTATATATTTAAAATAAAAAACAAATTTAAAAGTGTTTGTAATTGGAAACAAATTTAAAAAATTAACTTTTTTTAAAATAGTTATTAAAAATTATATAAATAAACAATTACAAAATTATGTACATTGCATATCCATAAAAAAATAATTTTGACATATTAAATAAATTATTTGACTAATAATTAAATAATTATAAAATATAAAATAATAATTAATATTGACTAATAATAACAAATAATTATGAAAACTAATAATATAATTGTAAATTATTATTTTAAATAAATATAAAATACAGTGAAAATAGAATAATAATTAAATGAAAAAATCATGTAAACTTAATAGTAAAAATATTTTATTATTTAGTTAAAAATTATATTAATATATATTTTTGGCATACTTTTATAATTTTTAACATAAAAAAATATATATATATATATATATATATATATATATATATTAGAATTACATGTCATTAATTTTTAATTATCAAATAATATTAATTAATTAATTTTTAATTATCAAATAATATTAATTAATACAGACATTAGATATTTGAATATATTTTGATGTAAAATTATAAATATATATATATTCTAAAATATAATTTATATTAATTACTATAATATAAAATATATATTCCACATTTATATATATATATATATATATATATATTATAGAAATTAAAATAAATTATATTTTAGAATATATAATTTTTCAAATGATCGATTACTTTTCCAAATGATCGATCACTTTTTCAAATAATCGAGACTTTAGATAGCGGTTAACGTGGAATCAGTTATCATATGTTCAAATTTAAGAATGGTTCGGATGTTAACCGCTTCTTAAAAGTGAACATATGATAACGGTTCCACGTTAACCGCTATCTAAAGTCTCGATTATTTGAATATATTTTGATGTAAAATTATAAATATATATATATATATATATATATATTCTAAAATATAATTTATATTAATTACTATAATATAAAATATATATTCCACAATATAACTTATTTTCATTTATATATATATATATATATAGAAATTAAAATAAATTATATTTTAGAATATATAAATTTTCAAATGATCGATTACTTTTTCAAATGATCGATCACTTTTTCAAATAATCGAGACTTAAGATAGCGGTTAACTTGAAACCGCTATTATATGTTCACATTTAAGAGCGGTTAAGATGTTAACCGCTCTTAAAATATGATAACGGTTCCACGTTAACCGCTATCTAAAGTCTCGATTATTTGAAAATATTTTGATGTAAAATTATAAATATATATATATATATATATATATTCTAAAATATAATTTATATTAATTACTATAATATAAAATATATATTCCACAATATAACTTATTTTCATTTATATATATATATTATAGAAATTAAAATAAATTATATTTTAGAATATATAATTTTTCAAATGATCGATTACTTTTCCAAATGATCGATCACTTTTTCAAATAATCGAGACGTTAGATAGCGGTTAACTTGGAACCGCTATCATATTAAAAGTAACATATGATAGCGATTCCACGTTAACCGCTATCTAAAGTCTCGATTATTTGAAAATATTTGGATGTAAAATTATATATATATATTAATGAAAATAAGTTATATTTTGGAATATATATTTTATATTATAGTAATTAATATAAATTATATTTTAGAATATATATATATATATATATATATATATATATATATATATATATATATATATTTTAGAGGAGGCACTGTGTGTGAATTTCATACACTGTGTCTTCACATGGAGGAGATGGAGAAGGATAAATACGTAAATTATCATTTGATGATGTGTGTTTCTCTACATATCTCTTTGTTTAAGCGAGTGACATTTCCTCCCACTCTCCCTCAAATCATCGCTCGCATATCCTCTCATATCAGTTGAAACAAACGAATATCATACTTGTTTTTCTATCTTTTTGAACAATAAATCACTCCAACCAAACACAGTGTAAGTTATTCTTTCATTTGTAGAAACCTTTAACTTTGTTTAAGCGAGTGACCTTTCCTCCCACTCTCCCTCAAATCATAGCTCTCATATCCTCGCAAATCCTCTCATATCAGTTGAAACAAACGAATACCGTACTCGTTTTTCTATCTTTTTGAACAATAAATCACTCCAACCAAACACAGTGTAAGTTATTCTTTCATTTGTAGAAACCTTAAACACATCTATAAGAGAAAATAACAATTTATACGTAAATTTCTCCCTATAACAACCTGTTGTAATATCCCATGTATGAGCAGTATCATAGATATTGAATTGCGCACTATCTCTATAAACTTATAGGAGAAATAGTATAAGTCTTAATAAATTATTAAGAAAGTTACTTTTATTTTATGATTATTTTTATATTTTAATAATTAAAAGCAGCTACAAAATATATAATATTTATAATTATTTGAAACTTATTGAAGATTTAAGAAATCACCAAAAATTATTTAATTACTAATATTTAATTATTTTATTAATAAATCAAAATTTTAATTATTATTTACAAATAATTTTTTCAATCATTTTATAATTAATAATTAAAATACTTATTTTATTTAGAATTATTTTAAAATATCATGATAAGTGTAATAATATTTTTATCATTATAATAAAATTCAATAATCTAAATATATGATATATAAATGAGCTAAATTATTTATATTAAAAGAACTTAATGATAGGTATAATATATTATCATTCTTAGTTTTCTTAACTATGCTTTTAAAATAATTTTCTATGTGCATCCGATAGCTCTTCTTATTATTAACTTTAAACTTATATTTTTATTATCTAATAATAAAACAACAATATAAAATTATCTGAGAATGATAAATGGAGAAATGATATTGACTTTAACAAATACAAATCAGTCAAAAGTTGACAATTACTTTCCAATTAGTTGCCGGAAAATATAAGAACCCGCTTTAAGAATATTCAATCACTAAAAGGAATGGAGTTTAGAGAAAGAAAAAAAAAAAAAAACAACTTACATCGGATTCCTTGCTTTTCACCTTGATTTTTCTACCTACAAAATTCACATGCATGGTAAGTTTTATTTATGCAACAAATTCTTTTAAGACAAATTTTAAATGTAGATTGTTAGTTATATGTAAAAAAAATGCAATTGCATATAAATGATTTAATATATTTAAACATATATTACAATAACTATAATATCATTCAATAATCTTTTATTATATATTAAAAAATCCTATTACAAAGCAAACCTAATAGTATATTAGTTTGACAATATAAGTTATTGTTACTAGATCATTATATTGCAGACAATTTTATTATTTATGATGAATAAAGAATCTACTAAGAATGAACATAACAAAAGAAATAAATGAGGTGAAACATATATTACATCACAAGAAAATCACATGGAAGACTTGTCAAAGACTACCTCTTAAAATTACATTTGACTAATTCTGTTCCAAATGAAATACAGAAGTGACACTCGACTGGTGAAAGAGGTGAAAATCATGGAGGTGAGCATTCAGGAGGCCTCCTATTATCTATATATAGCATAGACGACCCCTAGCACTAGCAATAATCTTATGAATTTGAGTACACAACATATTTTAGAGTTTGAAGAACACTAAGCCTATGTTTGTTTGAACTGATTTACTGTTTACGAAGATAGAAATGAGAGATTCAATTCGTTTGTTGCAAGTGATTTGAGAGGATTTGCAGGCGCGGATTTGAGGGAGAGGGGAGAAAAGCTCACCCTGAAGATTTGAGAGGATTTGAGAGGATAGCAGAGAAAGACACATAATCAAATAATAAATGACTTATTTACCCTTCTCCATCTCCTGCATGTGAACACAAAGTGCATTCACGCTCCCTCGCGATGGTTGTATATGATAGCGGTTAAATATTAACCGTTATTATAATAGCGCTTCTAATAGCGGTTAAAACTTAACCGCTATCAAATATATATTTTAGATAGCGGTTAAACCATAACCGCTATCTAATATATATTTTAGATAGCGGTTACAGAGGAACCGCTATTATATCCTCCAATTATGATCGATCATTTCCAAAATCTAATCGATCCGAATAAAATCTCGCTCGAGCGAGATATAGTTGCTCAAGCGAAACACAACCCGAGACTTTAGAATAAAATTTCGCTCGAGCGAGATATAGTCGCTCAAGCGAAACACAACCCGAGACTCAAGAAACTTAAAATATGGTTGTATATAGGGAGCTTATAATAGCGGTTAAACCTTAACCGCTATCTAATATACACTTTAGATACCGGTTACAGAGGAACCGCTATTATATCCTCCAATTATGATTGATCATTTTAAATTATGATCGATCAGGATCGTATTTCGCTCGAGCGAGAGTAGTATCGCTCGAGCGAAATACAACCCGAGACTGAATCTTAAAATATTTTTTTGAATATTATGTTTTTTAATTTGCTATTAGAGAAAACCTTTCAGAATTCAAAATGTTAAATACTTTTAAATATTAAAATTAACTTTATCAAAAATGAGGAAAACAAAATTTATCCAAAAGAGTTCAAAAATGTATAAGAGTATTATCAATTTTGAGTTTAATTATATTGTTCATTCTCAAAGTAGAAATTTATATTGTAATTATTTTAATTTACATTTTGTGATCTTCTTAAAATTAGCATCAATAACATTAGACTTTACATTTGATTCATACCTAACTAATTATAGATTAAAAGGAAAGTGGTATAACCATGCATTTTACTTTTCTATTTACCTTATTCTTTTAATTATTTTATATAATAATAATCAAAATATTCACATTCATATGGGCATTTTCGAAAATAATATTATTGTATTATTGTTAAAATTAGCATCAATAACATTACACTTGATCTTCTTAATTATATTGTTCATTCTCATAGTATAAAATTATATTGTAATTATGTTCAATTTATTAAAAGTGTAATTAAATCTCTATTTTCTTAATTTTTTTTGTTTCAAACTTCTCAATTCTACATTTTTGTAACTTCTATCATTATATTATCATCCTCATCTCCTCCCATGTTCTACTTTATCTTTACAATAGTTAATATTCTTAAATAATCTATATTTTTAATTATAATTTTTTAATATATATTTCAGAAATTAATCAATTCTAAGCTATTATTTGAAAAACTAATAAATTCTAATCAATAATTTAGAAAAATAATCGATTAGAATTAATTATATGAAAAAATTATCAAATATGATCGATCATTTCGAAGATCTAATCGATCAGACTCAAATTTCGCTCGAGCGAGATATAGTCGCTCAAGCGAAACACAACCCGAGACTCAAGAAACTTAAAATATGGTTGTATATGATAGCGGTTCCACTGGAACCGCTCTTAAAGGGAGCTTATAATAGCGATTAAACCTTAACCGCTATCTAATATACACTTTACATAGCGGTTACAGAGGAACCGCTATTATATCCTCCAATCATGATCGATCATATCAAATTATGATCGAGCAAGATCGTATTTCGCTCGAGCGAGAGTATAATCGCTCGAGCGAAATACAACCCGAGACTTGAAAACTTCTTTGTATCAGTTAAAATAACTTGAAAAGTTTTATAAGAAAGTTTTAAAGTAAATCAATCGATTAAAACGCAAATCAATCGATTGAATCACACTTAGAAAATGTTTGTAAAATGTTTTAACTGATATAAATGTGGTTGTATCAACTAAAACAATTTTGATAAAGAAACAAGAATGCATTAATGGGTTGAAAGGACTTATAACAGATTATAACGGCTATTTCAACAGATTAAAACAAACTTTCAACAGATTAATTAATGCAGCAGTTTTGAAATTACTCTTTAAAATCAGAGTTGCTTGGAACTTTTTAATCATTAAGTTTGTACACATCCTAGGCAATCAAATTCAAGCAACTATTAGCATCCTTTTCAAGAAAGATACGCAACTGTTTTGTGAAGCTTTTTGAAAATCTTTCTTGAGGCATATTGCATTCTTTAAAAGAAGAAACTTACAGTGGATTAGCGTAATCCGGTTTGAGCTTTCTAAGTCTCTTCTTTTCAATTACTGTTAATTCTTTTGTATTGTGTTGTACCTGGAATTTGGGTACAAGTTTTCTGCAGTTGGTAGGTGGTTGTAGAAGTTTTCAAGAACTGTAATAGCGGTTATTGCTGGAACCGTTATCTAAAATCTGCATTATTTGACAAATTATATATTCTAAACACGACAGAAGGAGGTAAGTCATGGACAGAAGTCACGGGCTGTACATGCAGAGGTCACGGGCTGTACATGCAGTGGTCACGGGCTGTACAGCCAACTTCACGTGTTCACAACTGATAGAAGTTATAGGACTTATTCTTTCTTCTCTAGTTACAGCCGATAGGGAAAATTATTGTATTATATAAAGCAAAGCTAGTCTCATAAGACTAGCTAAAAGACTCTAGCAAAGCAAAGCAAAGCAAAGCTACTCTGTTGTAGGTTGGATCTTCGCCGGCGGCCATTAACTTCGGTGTGACCTTGTCCCACCAACAGCTTGCTTGGTATATTGTCGGAGGAACACCCCAGGTATGGTTCTGTGTCTTCTCTGTCATGGTTGGAACATAAAACTTGGTTGGTACGTTTGTTTTTGGAGTCTGTGTGCATGCATAAGAGTGTGTGTGACCATTCAGATTTGAGGTATAAAACATGGCCAAACCTCCTCCACTCCAACAAAAAATGTGCACCATACGACCATGGTTTCTGACTTGTGCATTGGTTATGTTGTTGTTGCAGGCTGTATCTTAGAGGAAAAAATGAGATTATTTTTGCTAGGTCAACTTCTGTGATTATAATCCTGTCTGTCCATGCATAATGCAATATTCGAAAGACTATCGGACATTTGTTAACACCGCTCGTCGTTGGACTGAAAGTTTTGCCAAGGAATCGAGTCGCGGGATTGAAGACAAGGTACCAAGCTTGTTGTCCCATTCTATATTATTTCTAAAATCATAATTATACTTATAATAAATAAATTTTACCATATTTTTTATGTATTGTTTTGTATACATATATAAATATTTGTAATTTTACAATTTTTAAATTATTATAATTATTATTATTAATTGAGTATATATTTTAATTTATTATATTTATATTAAAATGTGCATGTAATAAAATATTTGATCCTTTTTTAAGGAACAAAATTCAGTTTTATTTTGTTAAACTCAAGATCGTGGACCAATCGGTCACATGCAAGTGGTAGATTTAATTATCATCCTTAATTAGATATAGCTTTTATGGAAATTGTATAAGAAAATGATGAACCCAAAACTTTCATTTATAATCAATCACAACTGTTGATTTTATGTATGTTATAATTGTATACCAAAATTGTGTTTTGAATTTGAAGAATGATCTCGTATTGACATGTATAACCTCGCTTAAGAATATTGCCGTACTTTTGATATGGATAATGCAAAATTCTGAAATCTAAGCATTTAGGTATAAGTATTATGACAATACTTACATATGATAACTTTATGACGCTTGCAATTTCTTTTTAATCTGGTACAATAGGTACTAACCTACAACAACAAATGAGAATTTGTTGTAAATAATTATTAGTAAAAATATTAGAGGAAAAAAATTAGAGGAAAAAAATTATTAGTAGTTTTGTAAATAATTTTTGGTTTTGTGATACTCGGTTTGCAGATGGCAATTTTGAATTACTTCCATTAAACATTAATTAATTAATTAATTTTATATATATATATATATATATATATATATATGTATATATATATTTTGCAGATGGCAGACAAAAACATTGATGTCATTGGTTTAGACAATGACGATATAGATACTGGTCTGGATATAAACATGATTTCACATATACAAAGTGAGATAAAAAAGCGAAGCGAAATAGGAGCGATGACAATTCTTTGTTTGATAGCTTATGGATTAAATATGTTGTCTATGGTAACTTGTAGTAGCAGTAACATTAGGGACTTTATTTCTGAAAAGAACGTCGTCGAGCACGAGTTGATGTCATACCTTATTCATACCTGAACAATCTCGTCACATTATTCGCATGGGACCGGAGGCGTTCATTAACTTGTGTCAACGAGTAAGGACAACTGGATTAGTAAACGATGGGTTACAATCAACAGTGGAAGAACAAGTGGCTAAATTTCTCCATATTATCGGACATAACGTTAAAAATCGAACTCGTTTCATTTTTTTTCCATCGATCGAGTGAAATCGTTAGTCGACACTTTCATAACGTGTTGAATGCGATAATAATGTTGGACGAACAATTAATTGTTCAACCATCAGGAAGGGATGTGTGTCCGTATATATTAAGCAACAACCGATTTTACCCATACTTTAAGGTAATCTACTTACCTCCTTTGTGTCTATATAACATACACATAGATTGTCTAAACTTTAATGACAATAAATTTTTTTACCAATTAGGATTGTTTAGGGGCAATAGATGGAACTCATGTTCGAGTTAAAGTCGCAAGATCAGATGCCCCTCGTTTTTGTGGAAGAAAAGATTGGCCAACACAAAACGTATTTGCAGCTTGTGATTTCGACATGAAATTCACATATGTTCTAGCAGGGTGGGAAGGAACAGCATCTGATTCAAGAATATTAAAGGATGTTCTTACGAGAGAGGATCGCCTTATCATACCACAAGGTTTATTATTTATAACATGCGGATTTTGTGTATAGTCAACTAGTTTAAATATTCTAATTAGTATAACTTCAATGATTTTAAATAGGTAAATACTACTTGGGGGATGCTGGATTTATGTTAAAAGCAAACATAATGACCCCTTATCGAGGCGTTAGATACCACCTTAAAGAGTATTCTCGACGAGCTCCACAAAACCCCCGAGAATTGTTTAACCATTGACATTCGTCTCTTAGAAATGTCATTGAAAGAACATTTGGAGTTTTGAAGAAAAGATTTCCTATAATAGCTAGTGGAACAGAGCCTCATTATTCATTTGATACAATGACGAATATAGTCCTAGCATGTTGCATTCTACACAATTTTCTTCGAGGGATAGACAACGATGAATCACTGTTAGCTGAAGTGGATCGAGAGTTGATGGAACAAGATGTGGATAATATGTCGACTCAAGTTCGGGAAGAGGATTATAGGGAAGGGTCAAACTTAAGAGATACTATAGCAAATCAAATGTGGATAGATTATCAAAGTCATTAGATTTTGTATGTAATAATATATTTAATAAGATGTATTATTGTTATTGTTGAAATACGATTACATTATGATTATCTATTTATAATAATTATATGTTGGTATCGTAATTACATATATTATCTTTCCAATAGGTTTAAAATGAACAGAGGAAAGGATATTGCACCGAATTCGTCAACTGTAGTGCACGAGTTTACAAAATGGACTGATGACATGGACTTTCGGTTGTTGACTGCTATGCTTGATGAGGCAAGGTTGGGTAATCGGGTTGATGGTAGTTGGACAACCCAAGCATATAATAATATAGTTGAATCCCTAAGACAGTCTGGATTAATTGGTATAACTAAAAATAATGTTAAAAATCGACAAAAAAGTCTTAAGGATAGATGACGGGAGGTCCACGATTTGTTTCATGGACTTAGTGGATTCGCTTGGGATGATATGACAAAACGGTTTGTGGCTGAGGAAGAAGTATGAGATGACCTAATTAAGGTACTATTATATGAATTATCATTTGTTGATATAGCAAAACATAACAATTACGAGTGTTAACCATTTTCATTATTTTGTAGGCGAAACCTTCTGCAGCTAAATGGAAACTGGCAACTATAAGACATTATGATTTGATGGAAGAATTGTGGGGTGCTGATCGAGCCAGTGGACATATGGCAAGAACTTCGCGTCAGGCCCGAATGAATATCAGTTCTCGAAGGGCAACAGTCGACTTGAACGTTGATGTGGACCCCACACCAGAGGAGCAGCCATTTCACTTTGGCTTTGATGCGGGATTTGATACAGCCTTATCGATCACCTCCACGCATGGGTTCCGACAGTCCTCGCTGAGGGTGCTCACTCAATTCCATCTGCGTTGCGTCTCCTGGTTCGGGTGGAACCTCTTCATCTCGGGGCACAAAAAGAAAAGCGCCTATGGTTGATGTGATGGAAAGTCAATTTGACAAACTAACAACGAGGTCGGACACATTTACAGATTACCTCGGGCAAGGTAATACATTGACCCAACGATTATCCGGCATAGCCGAAAGACAGTGGTCGCCATTGAACGCAGAAATGATTTAATTAATGAGCAAGTTAATGTGATGAGACGATCATCAACATTTCAACATTCTGAGTCAGATATATGGGACATGTTAGTCGGCATGAACCTAAATGACGAGCAACTTATGCTTCAAGTGTTATAATCATTTGTGTACTCACGAATCACATGTTAGACGACTTTTTGGCTTGCCCTCACATCTTCGTCTCTCCCAGTTGTTCATGTTCTTGAGTGGAAGTGATTGAATGATCTGAACTGGAGGACTTGACTGCAAAAGATGGATAACATTATAATTATTTGTTTGAAGAGCATTAGTGTGTATAGGTTTATAATTTGAGTAATGTTTCATTTAATTATTATTCTATTTTCACTGTATTTTATATTTGTTTTAAATAATAATTGACAATTATATTATTAGTTTTCATAATTATTTGTTATTATCAGTCAATATTAATTATTATTTTATATTTTATAATTATTTAATTATTAGTCAAATAATTTATTTAATATGTCAAAATTATTTGAATATGGATATGCAATGTACATAATTTTGTAATTGTTTATTTATATAATTTTTAATAACTATTTAAAAAAAGTTAATTTTTTAAATTTGTTTCCAATTACACACACTTTTAAATTTGTTTTTTCTTTTAAATATATAAGCAATGTTAAAATATGGATAATTAATTAAAAAATTATATTTGTAATCATTTGAACCTTATTTTATACAAAGGGTAAAATGGTAATTTTCTTAAATAATCAATTAAAATTATAAATTTTATATCTCATATCAATCAAATCATTCACAATTTCCCATAAATTTTCCTTTCACTTTCCATTCATCCAAACAACTTTAATTTCATCTCCATTTCTCTTCAAATCCCTCCTTTTCCACTCTCTCATTTTCACTCTCTCAAATCATTCCAACAAAACAAAGCCTAAGTAAAGGGGAAGCGGAAACAAAGTGAATACCAAAGAAACAATTAGAGAAATTACCTTTTATGAAGAAACAATAAGAGAAATTAACTTTCATGAAGAAACAATAAAAGAAGATATGGTGAATCAATGAAATTAGATGCCACTTACTTAGATGAAGTGCTTGTTCCTCAAAGCGAAGATCAAAACCAAGACATTGAATATTCTGATTCTGAAGCGAAGGTCGAACGACTATTGATCTATACGTCACAAATGCATACCATAAAATGTTGAAAAATAAAAAGCACGGAGAGGGATACCCTGACTGAACAAAACAAATTTATTTCATTATAATATATACTAATTTCTAAATTAGAGAATGAATAATTGTAGCAGTTAATTTTTTTGTCATAATTGTTAAAGTTGTAGCGATTTATTAAAATGATTAAGAATAAACCTCTACTAAATAATATTTTATTTGTAATGAATGATGAGTTACAGGTTAATTCATCGTAACCCGGTTCAAACCACTTAACTCATGAGTTGAGTTCATTTTTAACTTATTATAAGTAGAAATAAAAAAAAATTGAACTCAACTCGGCTCGAACCTGCGATGAGCCGAGTTGGCTCTCGGACTCACGAGTTTATAATCTATATTGACACCTATCCTTTATCGATGATAAATGTTATCATTCTCAATCTCACTTTATTAATGAATGTTCTACTTAGTAATTATCGACAGATTGATATCTATCAATAAATTTTGACTACTTTTTTTACGAATATATCCGTCGATAATATTGTCCAATAATATTATTACTAATAGATTTCTATCATTATTAAAGAATTCTAACGATGAATAATATCTATTTTTGTTATAATGTATAAATAAGATATTAAAAAAAAAATCAAAGAAATAATTATTATTTAGACTTTAATAAATGATGGAAAATACTATTGTTTTCTGTAAATGTTTTATGGTTTGTTTTTTTTCAAAGAAATATACTGTCTTTATTTTACTAAGTGTTTTGAGATTTTTTTATCATTTTCTTGTATTTTGTTTTATGGTGTTCTTTGAAGAAAATGGAGAATTGAATTCAAAAATAACAATCACATTCATATAACAAAATTAAACAAATGTTACAAATTAATTTGAAGGTATCAAAAATATATATATATATATATATATATATATATATATATATATATATATATATATACATGTAAAGGATAATTTCAATAAATAACATATTTTCAATAAAAAATAGCATAATAGTTATATTTTTAAATAAATAATAAATTAAATACTAAATTAATTATATTACACAATCAGTCAGTTATTATTTTAAATATGCAACCACAAATTTAGTGCATGTCAAGTATAATCTATGAAAAAAGGAGAGTAAATTATTACACATAAAATTTTAAAAAATCATGCCATCAATCATTAAAAAAATATTCAACAATATAAATTATAACAAAAAGTTAATTTAATTCAAACGGAGTGTATAATCAACGTAAACATAATCAAAACTGCTATAATTGTCAATGAACGAATGCAAAATCTTAAGTATTAATAGTTCTCAATTTTTTTATCAGGTAAGTGTTGAAAATATATTTAGAAGTTTGCTAAACAAAAGTTTTTAGTTAAGTATGTGATTTGATATATATTGTATAAATTCTGAGAACATTATCGAGTAAAATGTAGTTTTAATTGATGTAATTTGAAATCCATAGTTTTTTTTTTGTTCATAATAATTTAATGAATTCAAATGAAATAAATTATTAAAAAAATTATTATTTTTAAAACTTCTTCATATTCATTTTTTTTTGTCATGGCAATAGCATGAATAACAATGAACTCATGTTACTTAATTAAAATGATTAAAATATCGTAAAGACAAGACGATCCCCACATTGTTGACCCATTAAGACCCAAATGAAGCCCAACATCATGACCTATTAACACACCTTTCCCTTCGTTTCTGTTCGGCCCAACTTGATTTCATTTGTGAGAGTTACTTTTCTAACCCAATTTCCTCCTGCAAGGATACACCCTCTCTTTTATGTTTTAGTAGATTATGGTAAAATATAATGGGAAAATAATAAAGATTTTTTTTTAAAGGAAAGAAAAATATAATTGTTTAAATAAATATATAAATAAATAAAAAATAGAAGAATTTTCCCAGATGAATGAAGAAAAAATTATAGACTAAATATTTGTAAGATCATTTTTTTTAAATTTGGAAAGGATAAGAAAGTTACAATCTCCCTCTCATTTTTAATCAGTTAGGAAAGAAAATATTTTCTAATAAATCTTAAAAAGCAACATCTTTTTTATTTTTTCTCTCATATATTAAAAAATAATATTTTTATTTTATCATCTAAGAAATCAATCAATGTTTACCTAGCATATTTGAATTTTATAATTTATGAAAAATAACCAATCACTTTATTAAATTATATGTGATGTACATTTGTCTTCCATCTCATTATTTCTTTCACTTTACTTCATTTCTACGCAGATGGGGTTTGTGAAGTTTCCAATAATATCTCTCTCTACCTTGTAGATTTCACACATATATTTATGAAGCTCGGCTTAGCACACATTTATGTTTTGTTGTCGGATTCATGTGACAACACATGTACGTGCATTCCTCCCCTTTGTCCAATTTCTCTCTATCTCATCACTTCAGCCAGTAAGAGATGAAATCTCGAAGAAAAACAATTCTATAATCTGTGACTTGGAGATAAAGAAACAAACACTCACAAAAAGAATGGCAGACCTCTGATTAAAGAAAAACATAATTTGAAGTTTTGGGTCATAGTGGACAGAGATTTTTTTGCATCTAGAAGTGACGAAGGTCAATATAAAGATGATGAAATTACTCAGGTGTGCTCATGTGTCTGCGATGATAGTTGCTAGAGTCCAATCAGGTTTTATGTTTTTCCAAAATCTGGAAAGAATATATGAATTATCGAGCTTCGATTATGTCTTTCTTCTGAGGAGGTCCTGGGAAAACTCTGGATTTTAATGAACACAGCCAAAGACTGAACTGATTTTGAATTTATGGCTCGATTCTGAAGCAGAACGTTGTTTGTTATACCAAATTGCATTAAAATCTTATACCAGCCTTCTATTTGTTATAATAGCTGATCATAACTATTATTATGACTGATGTATATATATTTATAGAAATGTCTGCAACACACTCATTAATACATTTTTTTTTTCTTATTTTGTATTGTTAAATAAAATTAATCTGTCCCATTACATAATATATGGAACTCATTAAAAGGGGTAACATTATATCAGTAAGTCCTATTAATCTGTAATAGTTGCCATTGTGCTACATAAAGATTTCTATGTATAGTGTCACTTAATCTCCTTGTAGTTTGTTTTTGAATTTGACAGAAATATGCAATGCAAGTCTAACTACATTGATGATTTTTGTCATCGATATTTTTATCTGTCTGTATCTGCATCTAGTTTGTGTTATTAACTTCTTTTGTTTGTTCTTCCGAAGTATTCAAATAGATGAGAGTTCTATTGATTATGAACTGTTTACTGATAGATTGGTAGCCTATATATATATATATATATTCGTATCATATTCACATACATGTTTTCTGCTGAGCTTTGAAGTTACTCTATTTGACTGTTACTGTTGTCACTTTTTGTGAAGACATATATCATGACATTGATACGTGAAAACTGCACAAGCTTATATTACTCAACCATATATAAAGAAATACAATGCTAGATGGAATTTTAATATATTTTCTAGTATTGAAAATTTCTTTAGTTATAGTCTATTTAGAGCCACTAGATACAGATACATGGCACAACGTGAATATATATAGTATACATGCATGCCATATATATATAATGAATGATAAATAAAAATTTAGCTCGGAGTTTAGCAATGTTTGAAAACATGACATGACGTTAGAGCAACTTTAGAATAGAAACGTGTATTTTGCTAGTAAGCAACACAGATAACAACTGTTTTAAATGTTAAATATGTTATCTTAAATTGGCAAGGAGAATAATATGCACGAAACCTCGTGAGGAAACGCTCAAGTATCATTATCATTCTTTGAGGTTGAGATTAATTCAGTTGCGGATATTACTTACTTTCACACGAAGATCAGAACAATGAATACTTTTAAACAAATGGGCACCTAATTTCTTTTACTTTTGGAAAAATAGATAAAATGAAAATGATTATAGTTTATGAAGAGTTTCTTATAAAAGCTTAGTACAGAAAGGAAATGGGCACTTAAATACTTCTATACTACTTATCGGTACACATTAGTGGGAGTAGAAGAACACCTGATTATAGCTTTCATACCGAAACTAATGTATATGAGTAAAATAGTGTTGAAAAAACTACCTACCTTAATCCCTATATCTTAACACCTACATTGTCCACACTAATTTCATCTCAATGTTTATCCAGATTTTCGTACAGAAATTAACTATTGATACATATAACAAATAATATATCATGAGCACAAATACCACATCTATTATTACTCTTAAAAGCTGAAGTACTAAAAACATAAACCTTGTGTCAATATTATGAGGTTGCAGTCATCCTTTGCCATCTAATTTTTGAGTTGATTGAAAATGAATTTGACCTAAATTTCAATCTGGATGTGAATTTTAGATCACGATGTTTTGATTTTTCAGGTTGGAAACCGATTTTAATATCTCCAGCTATAGTATTCCCATGGTTGCTGGTCAGTGGTCACGAGCTTGTAGTTTAAGAATTGTTAGTTAAAGACGTACCCAGCCCAACCGAACCCTTCCTTATACTTCCCGCAATAAATTCAAATGTTTAATTTCTTGGTATGAAAAAAACACTAGACTTTGCTTCTCATCTCTCACTGTCTGTCTCTGAATGTGCCTTTGTGTGTGAGCTAAACAATGAGTGACACCAACCTCCTAACCTCTGAAAATGATTCCACCACCACACTATACCATCACCTTCCACATCCTTTACACTGATACAAATTTGCTTTCCAACGTCCCCTCTAATCAGTTTATGCTCTTTCATAAAAAATCCATCACAGCATAGACTGAGAAGCAAAGGGTCAGCGAGAGTGAGATTTTGGTCCTTGAGCATAAGGTGGACCAGAACCAAAGATGATGGACTCCGGAGCTCACTTCTGCAACTCCTGTGGTGAACAAGTTGGACTTGATGCTAATGGGGAGGTGTTTGTGGCTTGTCATGAGTGTTATTTCCCAATTTGCAAGGCTTGTTTTGAATATGAAGTCAATGAGGGTCGTAAGGTCTGCTTGAGATGTGCCACTCCCTATGCTGGTAACCCTCCAATGTCTATTCCTGCTTTCACTTCATATCTCATCTAGTGAAGATTATACTGTCATACTCATAACTCAATTTTAATATAAAAAATAATATAAAAAGTTGTACGCATACTTGTTCATCACATGTTATTTTTGTTTGAAATAGCCTAAGATTTGTCTCCTTTTGTATATTTCATAGATAGAGCAAAAGATAACGATGAGACCAAGGCTTATGAAAATCAATCCACTATGGCTGCCCAGATCAATGTTTCTCAGGTAATTAATCATTGGAGGTGCAAATACTAATTAATTAACTATTTTTAGTGTCAAGTTGTTCATATTTGGACTTACAATCTCTGCTGGCATGATATGTAGGATGTTGGGCTCCATGCTAGGCATGTCAGTACTGTATCCACAGTGGATAGTGGTAAAGAGAGACTTAGCCCATTCCTTCTAGTACAAATTCTTTAGGACTGCCTATTGATAATCATGATCTTTTTTTTCCTTGTAGAACTGAATGATGAATCTGGGAATCCAATCTGGAAAAATAGAGTGGAAAGCTGGAAGGAGAAGGATAAAAAGAACAAGAAGAAAAAGTCTGCACCCAAGACTGAAAATGAGGCACCAATTCCACCAGAACAGCAGATGGAAGAAATACAGTAAGTTCAACGAGATATGTAACACATTTTCGAAAGGGAACAATACAAGATGTGTATTGAAATAACATTCTTTTTGGAGAGCTAAAAATATTTTAGACCTTAACGAGGTTAGTTTTAAGAAAAGCGATAAAAGAAATTAAAATAGTTCCTTGTAAATTCCAGTGAGGATGGGGTCAAGTTATTTGGTCACACACATATCAGACAAAACAAGGTTTAGAAAAGTACATATAAGAACTAAAATCAAAATATGGTTTAAGTTCATTCATTGATTAATTTCTTAATCCTGTGAGTCTTCTTGCACTTTATTTTTTTGGAATGCTAGTATAGGCAGGATTAAGAATTTAAACACCTCAGCATCCTAAATTCATAGTGAATGAGGAATAACAAGCACTAGTTTTTTAGTTTAATCGCCAACTTTTCATCAAATTATTATAATTCATCTGGTTGTAGCTGGATTAGTAATATGATAATGAATAAATTCATGTGGTTATTAATTTTAGTGGCCTTGGCTCTATCATTTCAAAACTCGCCCAAAAAAATTCAATCATACATATATGCAGGTCCTCAGAGGCTGCAGCTGCGGAGCCGCTTTCAACCATTATTCCAATCCCAAAAACGAGAATCACACCATACAGAATTGTGATAGTTGTGCGGTTGATAATCTTGGGTCTTTTCTTCCATTATCGAGTTACAAATCCTGTTGACAGTGCTTTTGGTCTGTGGTTGACATCCATCATCTGTGAGATCTGGTTTGCATTTTCCTGGGTATTAGATCAGTTCCCTAAATGGTATCCCATCAACAGGGACACTTTTATTGACAGGCTTTCTGCAAGGTAAATACACAACAAAGTTGTAAAACATTTGGAAACTTTGTTCCTTGTACTTTAAGATTTTAAAAGAAAAATCATATTGAAGTGGATTTAATAATGTTTCAGTATTTCTTTCTTTCCCTGTGTAAAATTTGAGAAAGGTAATCTATACAAATGAAATGAATTGATATTATAAAGTAAAATAACATCTAAGTTGAATGTGAGAATTGATATTCAGTTAGTTTATATTTTAGATGCTTGAATGCTCACTTCTGCACTGTATATGCCAGATATGAAAGACCTGGTGAACCCTCTCAGCTTGCTGCTGTGGATTTCTTTGTTAGTACAGTCGATCCTCTGAAAGAACCGCCATTGATCACATCTAATACAGTGCTTTCTATTCTTGCTGTGGACTACCCTGTGGATAAAGTATCATGCTATGTGTCTGATGATGGTGCTGCAATGCTGACATTTGAGTCCCTTGTGGAGACAGCTGACTTTGCAAGAAAGTGGGTTCCATTTTGCAAAAAGTTTTCAATTGAACCACGCGCGCCTGAGTTCTACTTCTCTCAGAAGATTGACTACCTTAAGGACAAAGTACAGCCTTCTTTTGTGAAGGAACGTAGAGCAATGAAGGTAAGCATTTGAAGTTTCGTATATTTTTTTTTTACTTCAAAGTCAGGACAACCTAGATGGAACAATTGGAACATACCTGATATGCTATACTCACAAACTTTTTTTACTCAAAGAGAAACCTCTTCATGGTTATCTTTCCATTTCTTCCAGAGAGACTATGAAGAGTTTAAAGTGAGAATTAATGCTTTGGTAGCAAAGGCTCAGAAAACACCGGATGAAGGTTGGACTATGCAAGACGGAACCGCGTGGCCAGGAAATAACTCACGTGATCACCCTGGCATGATTCAGGTACATCTATTCATTTTGTGTGCAACTCAAAGCTCAATTCTGATATATTCAGATGCCTGATTTCTGCAAATTGGCTACCAAATTACTGAAAGAAGCAAATGTGGAAGTTTAAAATCCCAGTATTATAAAGCTAATAATATACTTTATGCAGAAGCAATTCAACACATATTCACCTTGCTTTAATATGATTAGTTTTTAAATTAATTGTGATCCCACATAGACTTCATCAAGTTAATCCTGTTGTTTTTCTTTGATGTCCACAATATTTGTTCTTACTTTGTCTTTTGTTGAAAATCAGTGCTCCTTTTGAACATTCATAGAAGCAATTGGTTGTTCTATTCTAGTAGTCATCTCCCCTCTATTTTTCATTCTAAGCAAATAATATGAAGAACCTTTTTGAATGATTGTATGGAAAAATGGAATCTTCCCTGTTTTAGTGAGATTGACAAGTTCTATTGATCAATTATTGAAACAAGTGCATGGCATACTTCTAATAAGCATCTTCATTGAAAAAAAATAAAAAAAGAAAAAAAAAAAGAGAAAATGAAATTTAAGCAAATTTTCTGTTGCCATCTGTAGGTTTTTCTTGGACACAGTGGTGCCCATGACATAGAAGGATGTGAACTTCCCAGGTTGGTGTATGTTTCAAGAGAGAAAAGGCCAGGTTACCAACACCACAAAAAGGCTGGTGCTGAAAATGCACTGGTATGGTAGATACTTCATATTAACATTCTATATAAGGTCATTAAAATTTTTTAATGGATGATGTGCTTACTTGGATTTATACAGGTTAGGGTGTCTGCAGTTCTCACAAATGCTCCCTTCATTCTCAATCTTGATTGTGATCATTATGTGAACAATAGCAAGGCTGTTCGGGAAGCAATGTGTTTTCTGATGGATCCAGTAGTTGGTAGAGATTTATGCTATGTGCAGTTTCCCCAGAGATTTGATGGTATTGATCGTAGTGATCGATATGCCAATCGCAACACAGTTTTCTTTGATGTAAGTTTAAAAAAAATAGTTTCAAAACTTAATACATAATGTAGTCTCGGTGTGGAATAAAATTGAGCATCAAACAAGTATTCACAGCTTTGGATCTGTTTTGTTTTTGTGAATGATAGAGTTCAATTAATTTGGAATTGTATTTGCTTTTTTATTCAGAAATTGTTTCGTTGTTGAACAATATTAAACTGGTGTTAATAAAGGGCATCTGGTGGTATAACTTGCATGAAGTAAAAATCATGACACAACATTTACTGTTGTTTCCAACCTTGATGTCTTTCAGGTTAACATGAAAGGACTTGATGGCATTCAAGGACCCGTATATGTTGGAACTGGATGTGTTTTCAACAGACAAGCACTTTATGGCTACAGCCCACCTTCCATGCCTAAAATACCAAAATCATCATCCTGTTGCTGTTGCCCCTCAAAGAAGCAAACAAAAGATGTCTCGGAGCTTTATAGAGACGCAAAGAGAGAAGAACTTGATGCTGCCATTTTTAATCTCAGGGAGATTGACAGTAAGCACAGTTAACTTTGGGAATCAGTTTTACTAAGCATATAGCAGAATCTTGAATGAGGAAAATGCTTCTTGTTTCTTTTTTCTTCCAGATTATGATGAATATGAGAGGTCAATGCTGATTTCACAAATGAGCTTTGAGAAAACATTTGGTTTGTCCACTGTTTTCATTGAATCTACACTAATGGAGAATGGAGGTCTGCCAGAATCTGCTGACCCCTCAATGCTGATCAAAGAGGCCATTCATGTTATTAGCTGTGGATATGAAGAGAAGACTGCATGGGGAAAAGAGGTTAGACTCAAATGTCAATGCTCTTTACCAGTGATGATATTTTTACTACCACTTAAAATATCATTCTAGCTACATTTACCACCTTTCACTTATTACATATTTGATCACATGTTTTCTTGTTTATTCAGATCGGATGGATCTATGGTTCAGTGACAGAGGATATCTTAACGGGGTTCAAGATGCAATGCCGAGGATGGAGGTCAGTTTACTGCATGCCCTTAAGGCCTGCATTCAAAGGATCAGCACCAATCAATCTTTCTGATCGGTTGCACCAAGTTCTTCGATGGGCCCTTGGATCAGTTGAAATCTTCTTCAGTAGGCATTGCCCCCTCTGGTATGGTTTTGCAGGAGGTCGCCTAAAATGGTTGCAGAGACTTGCTTACATAAACACCATTGTCTACCCATTTACGTCCCTTCCTCTCGTTGCTTATTGCACTTTGCCGGCAATTTGTCTTCTCACAGGAAAATTCATCATACCAACGGTAATTCCTTGATCGTATTTTAAAATATATAATAACACGAAGTGTTAAAAATTAATAATACACGATAGTGTTGTAAAGGTTTTTTACAAATTGTTATATTTGTCAAAGTTTATTGACTTTCATGATAACTATGATAATTATCTTTAAAACAGTACTAACAGTAAATATCTATTGAACTCCAAAAAGATATATTCGTTGTTACTCATTAATCATTCATTCAATCCATACGGAGAAGTGTCATAATTATGTGTAACTACACAGCCAATGAAAACAGTTTTAGCAACAGATCGGTATATCCATAGATAAATTAAGGTCATTGCACTAACATAAACATGCTAATTTGATGCAGCTTTCCAACCTTGCAAGTGCCCTCTTTCTTGGACTTTTCCTGTCTATTATAATCACTAGTGTGCTTGAGCTGCGGTGGAGTGGTGTGACCATTGAAGCTTTGTGGCGTAATGAGCAGTTCTGGGTGATTGGAGGAGTTTCAGCCCATCTGTTTGCTGTGTTCCAAGGATTCCTCAAGATGTTGGCTGGTGTTGACACTAACTTCACTGTCACTGCCAAAGCTGCGGATGACACAGAGTTTGGTGAGCTATATATGATCAAGTGGACCACGCTCCTAATTCCTCCAACCACCCTTATCATTATTAACATGGTTGGTGTTGTGGCTGGATTTTCTGATGCACTTAATGGAGGATATGAGTCTTGGGGACCACTTTTTGGAAAGGTTTTCTTTGCCTTCTGGGTTATTTTCCATCTCTATCCATTCCTCAAGGGTCTCATGGGTCGCCAAAACCGTACTCCAACCATTGTGATTCTGTGGTCAGTGCTGTTGGCCTCTGTCTTCTCTCTGGTGTGGGTCAAGATTAACCCTTTTATCAGCAGAGCTGACAGTTCAAGCCTCTCCCAGACCTGCATTTCTATAGATTGTTAAGTCACACACTACCTTCATAAAAGTTTTGACCATATGTTAAAATATGGATGATGATTGATGATTGGTGATGATTTGAGCCGCATTAGTTCTTTGCTGAAATGTGTAAGCATTTTAAAAGTAAGGTTGCAAACCACGTTGTTAATTCTTCTCCATGGGTTGGACGAATTTCCCGTGTAAAGATCAAGCATTGACTGATTGTATCAATGTAAAAAATAGTGATTTTGCTTTCCATTTAGTTATTGGAATGACATGGAGAAAATAAAGATTAGAAAAAAATGTTCTCAGTCTCTTATAAATATGATTAAAATTTAGTCATTCAAATTCATTTTCTTTTTAGTTTTCATCGTAAATTTTGATGTATTTGAAAATACTCTCGCTATTTCTTATTAATAAATAAAATGCATATCGACACATATATATAATTACAATTTTCATAAAAATTTAACACTCAAAATTACATGTAATATGTTCGAGTAATTTGTACGAGGTAATATGTTTAAATTATATTGTTGTTATAGTAGTAATAATAATAATAATAATAATTTTTAATGCTGTGGTACAATGAAAAAAGAAGTAAGAATGAGTTTTTTTAAGTATCTTAATCATCATTGGGACACTTCAAACAAAATTTGGTGAGAAGATCCCAAGTGTTTCATCCTATTTAGCTCATATTCTACAAACAACAAAGATCTAATATTTTCTTAATTATTGATTATTCAAAGGTCATTGTCTCATTTTATGTCAATAAAAATGTTACTCTTTCTTTTAGGTTTGGACTCCAACCTCTAATTTCATAACCAGTACCTCAAATTTTGACTAAAATAAACACAAGAAAGAGTGCATGCAATGCAAGTGTAATGTCTTAATTGCTGGAGTGGTGGAACCCAACCAACTTTCCATATATAAATACATGATGAACCACTTGGATATCAATCCACCTAGAGATGGACCCTCCCATTTGAGGGCTTTTTGTTGTCTCTGTTACAAGTCACAACAATTTAAGGAGGAGAAGTACAATTAGTAGATCTCGTCTTCAATGTCTTTTTTTTTTCTCTAAGCCCATTTATCAGATGATGGTAAATAGATATCTTGTTAAACATTGCAATTATCATTATATTTTATGAAAAATAAGCACTTCTATTTTTCATCATATGCGCGCATAACTTTTTAAGACACTTTTTTTTTCCTGTTCTTTTTAAATAGCATTGGTGTGAAAGAAAACGGCATAAGAGTCATCAGCACTTGATTACGAAGGGGTATAAATCGACATTACCTTAACCCAAATTTAGTTTACATGTTAAATGCAAGAATGAGCTTATCTCTTACAATTGAACTTGTAAATTCTGTCATTTATTTCTTATGATAAAAAGGATTAAAGAAAGAGGTAAAATGTAAGTTACAATGTTATTGAAGGCCATTGCCTCCGAGTTTTGGTTGTCAAAAGAGGAATTTGAATAAATTTAGCTTACCTACATTTCTAAGCTCGATTATACACGAAACTATATTAGAGTGAGATAGATCCAACAAATTGTCCAATCATGAAAGGAAGTAAAACAAGTGAAAAAGAGAACAAAAGGAGGTTCTTTGTGTTTATTTTGCAGCAAATTCTTAATTTTTACAAGATTATTGCCATCAAAAGTAAAATATACTCTCTTCTGTGTATATTTGCCTCAGAACAAAAAACACTCCAAAGAATGCATCTAGGAAATAGTTTGACTATACCTTGTCAAGTTGGTAATTTCTTTACATGGAAGCTTCACATCTTCAGGGCACACACCCTCAGAATGTCCACTTGGACATGAGTTTTAAAGCATTAACATCACACTAAAATGTAATGACTCCTCATAGCATGTATGCCAGAAACCAATCATCCACTCACCATATTAGCAGGATGAAGAATTGAATATAAGAATTACAGGGTTTGATTCACCAGCTAGAATATATTTACACGAAAAAACCATGGCAGAACAAACGCTATTACCAGGCATGCCATCAAGAAGTTACAAAATGGCTGTCCTCGCCAGCATCCAACTACCCTGGGGGATGAGTTACTGTCGTCGTCCATGAATCTTCTTTCATTCCACTCCTCCATAAATCCATTACTAGTAACACCTGAAACATTTTTTGCAGGCTCACCGCATATTTCACATAACCTGTGGTTCAAAAAGGTGGCTAATATCAATAAAAGGTAGCACCATGACACTCGCTAGCTTGCAAGGGACCATTTTTAAATTTGGTACTATATAATAGAACTAAAACAGAGAACAAAAGAACCTCAGTATTATGGAATGAAAAGTTTTGGAAGTTAGAAGGAGCTTTTACAGAACTTATTTGAATGTAAGATTAACTCACGTTATTCTGTAAGTTGTTTATTTTATTTCAATACGTTTTAGAGAGAAACTTGTCAAAACAAACTCTTTCCAAACTAACGAATAGGCTACCCTGTGATAAGCTCTTACTGAATGAGTGTTCGATTTGGTTTTTCATCCAAACAAATCCTTTATATGATAGAATAATTAGTATTTGCAATGGTCAGTTAATACTAGATTGTAACACAATGGCTCTCGCTTTGAAACCCAATCTCCGTATTTTTTCTCTAACAATAGACCTGACTTGTACAAAAAATAAACCTTATCCAATGGATTGTATGCAAAGCTACTTTTATAGGACAAGGGGGTTGATCAATATGTCCCTATTATATCGAATGAAAATTCATTTTGTGGCTGATAAGACTAACATTTCCTAAACTACGCCCCATATGTCATATGGACATAGAAACATTATCCAAAAGGATCTTGATCGGGATACTGTTTCAAACATCTGAAAAAGAGCAATTTTTCAAATATCAATGACAGCCAAATGCAATAATTTACTACTAGACAAACTGGGTCTTGATCACTTGATACATCTTGTGGATGTCATGTAACTTCAATTCACAAACAGTAGAAGAAAAATGCTAATAATGCTTATGTCTGATCCATAATCTTACATTCTAAAGGAGGAAACTTCACTGCGGGTTTGGATGCATTTCTCCAATTTACTCATCATATAACCCCATATCAATATGCAAGGAATGGCGAATAGAAGTGAGCTACACTACCCAGTTCACTAATTATAATGATGGTAAGCAAATTTAATGCTAAAAGCTCAACCAATGGAGTCTTGTAAAGAATAAATCAAGCATAAGCCCAGTCATGAATCTGGAAAGGGTTTGAAGGAATACTACTGATATTGAAAAGTCCTACTTCTAAAATCCTGTTCTAATTTAAGAACATTTTAAAGGATGCCACAGACATAAAAAGATTAAGTCATGTAAAGGAAGGATTATAAATATTCCATATTATCAAAGTAACTGCAACATGGAGTAACAAAAGGGAAGAGGAATATTTGCTATCAGAAATTGTGCAAAACTGTATAATTAAGTGACAGGAACTTATAATTTAGGAATTCAAAATAAGTAGACAACATCAGGAATGTGATCGTTAAAAGCATCAATGCAAAACCTCAAAAAGCACACAGATGTTATTGTTGATCCACAAAACTAAAATAAACTGATTCGGCAAGAACAAATACCTGTTCCCCTTGAGCTTGAACCAGGCCTCAGCACAGTGAACGTGCGCAATGCCTAGCTCATCTTTACACGAACAACCAAGCTGAATCAAATCTGCACTTGTAGCACTATTAGCAGTGCCAATAATTGTTGCATCCGAAGACTGACCAGAAGTCAGATGGCAAATCCTACAAATCGTTTCACCTTCAGAATTCTCATATAACTTTTTGTGGCTGCTGCACTTTATATCAATCACACACGAACTTTTATCAATTTCAGACACCTCTTTTGGTGCTTTAGTGGAAACCAAGCTCAACCCTAATTCATCATCTTTCACTTCCAATTTCCTATTATCTTCATTGATGTACTCAGTCTGAACGGACTCAATCACAACCACAGTTTCAATCACTTCTTGATTAACCAAATGGTTTGAATTATAACTGGTTCCCTGATCAACCCCGGGTAATTTATCACCGGAATTTTCCCGACCATGCTTGTCTTCGCCCTTAACTTCCTCCTTTAGCTCCTTATCGGACCCCAAATTCTCATCCACCTCTCTCGATGTTTCAGCTTCTCCACTTATACTATCTCTTGCAATTGCAACTCCTTCAACCAAATGAATCAAATTCCCATTATGAACCGGATCCAATACCTCAACTCTATCTTGATCCATTACAAGTTCACTCTCAAGACAATCCTAACAATGCCACAGTATGAATCCTACCTAAAAAAGCTCCATCTTTTTTATTTTTTTAATTACAGAGGATGAAACGGATCAAATGAAAGAAGTAACATACGTATCTTCAAACAACCCACTACTTTATTGGGGACATAATCTCTTAAGATATTCTTTAAAATAATCAAACTTAAAAAAATAAAAATAAAAAATGGTAACCTGGGATATCACCTATGAGGTGGATGACCTCACTGTCCAAGGAAACAAGCCCCCAAATAGCCGCAAAGAGATGCGCTGTACCTCAAAATATAAAATTCCACACACAGTTCTAATCTGACATGTTTCAATCCAACTCACGCCAGGTAAAACCTGCGTGATTAATGGGGAGGAAACAGGAGCAAGATTAGGTGAAGAAAGGAACCAGCGAGAAAAACCAACTACAAGACTAGGATATTGAGTGCAATTGAATCATTAGATTATTTAGGTTAGTGATTAAAGCAAAGGAAATAAAAAAAAGGTGACTTTGTCATTATTTTGGAAATTTAACAGAAACCCTCGTACTGTTGTACTAAGATAGATTCGGGTGACTATGTAATTACAAAAAGGCTGAGCATTTATTCACTTTTTATCGATAAAACTAATCTAATTGCAGAAATTTAGCGATTGAAGATTATCTAGAAAAACAGTTTGCAATGGGCAAGTGGTTGCATAATGTGAGTGGTGGGTGGGTGATGTGTGTCTACTTTATGCGACAGTGCCGTAAGCAGAAACTCCAACTAAAGGGTCGCCTCCTATATGGCTGTGGTTTAGTCTCAGAATTTTTCATGGACCTTAAAAAATGGCAACTCACAACAAAACATATTTGAACTCGTTCATCTTTTTACATAATAATGGCGACTACTCATGGCCACTGATCTGTTAGCCACACACCAAATATTATCCATTAATTTGTTGTGTTCCTTATATCTGTGTTGTTGTTTTTTGTGTGTGTTCGTTGTTTGTGTCTGCGTTTGTTATATTCATTTGTTTATTTTATGATATTAGTTTGAAGGATTATGAAAAGAACTTGTACTATTTTTATTCATCCAAAGAGAAATTTTCACTTTTGTTTTCTCCACAGTATTAATTAAACTTGGTATCCCAAATTAAGTGGACTTGTCCTACGCAATTCGAAAGAGATAAGAAAATCCTTAAATATATGTTGTAGGATGAAACTTTCGTTGTTACGAAATTTCATAACGAAAGTATTTAGTTGTGAATATTGCGTGAATGGGACCATTTTATAATAAAGTTATACGTGTCACTTTTCTGTGGTTTGCGTTAGGTGCAACACGAGTTTGTTCTTCTATGAGAAGAGAAGCTGAATTCTTCTACCAAATGCAAGATTCAAAACTTGAACACGTTTCCCTTCAGCACAGTTTGGATGTTAACAGCATTTAATTTTTATATATTAATGGCAAATTCTTATGAATTATGATTGTTGTTGATAGATGCTTTGTAAAATTATTTTGACTGTGAATTTACTTTGCATTTAATGAATTTATGAAACAGTTGATTTCATTGAAAAGAATATTTTAGCTTACGACTAGATCATTTTTCTTTATAAATAGATCTTCCACTATGAGCAAACAACTACTACTTATTCACGTGATTTCTCTTTCAACATTATTAAGTGGTGGACCAACGTGATTTACTTCTTTTACATATTCAATGTACGAAATATTAATTAAAAGTATTTGAAAAGAGGATACAATAGTTTACACAAAATTTGAATAGATTATAAAGAGATTAATAGTTAGTTAAATTATTTTTCTTTGTATTGATAAGTAATTTATTTATCGGTCTTCTAAAAATCTAAATGCTAAGAGATATTTTCATGTGTTTATGAGGATAAGGAAGATAATTATTATGTTTTAATTATTAACTTGTTTTTTAATAAGATAATAGACTTTACTTAGTATCTTTTTATAGTTTTTATAAAAAGTAAAAATTTTAACATTTTTTTAAGAGTGATTATGTATTGATAAACACTTCGAAAAAAATATCTTATAAATACTCTGATATAATAATATAATATTAGATTTTACGTTATATTATTATTATTATAAGAATGGTCATAAATTATAAAGTTTTAATAAGTTTATGTTATTTTTCTTTTTTCTAATTTATTTTCAGTTTTGTTATATTTATATATTATGAATTAAGGGCATCTTTAATAATAAATATTTTAAATTTAAATTTTGGGTCTAATAAGAAATTCATATTAAAACAAGCTTATGTGATATTATTATTATTATTATTATAAGAATGGTCATAAATTATAAAGTTTTAATAAGTTTATGTTATTTTTCTTTTTTCTAATTTATTTTCAGTTTTGTTATATTTATATATTATGAATTAAGGGCATCTTTAATAATAAATATTTTAAATTTAAATTTTGGGTCTAATAAGAAATTCATATTAAAACAAGCTTATGTGATATGGGTTGTTAAAGTTTACTAACCCCAACTTTGAAAATGACAAAATAAATTTTTAATGTCAGCAATTATCATTTATCATCCAAACATAAATTTTTATAACACTGGAATGATTATATTGTATAAGAATAAAAATAAATATTTTATTATAAAATTTTAATAATAAAAATATATATTTATAAATAAAAATATTTATATGAATAATTCTGATAAAATTTAAATAATTATATATCAAACTCATAATAAAATATTTATTTTTATTTTCAAACCATTCTTATTCAGAGTTTTTATTAAAAATGTACTAAAATTTTATTATTCGTAATAATTACTTAAAAATTAAATATATTTAAAATAATATATATATATATATATATATATATATATATATATATATATATATATATATATATATATATATATATATATATATATATAACATAACGGAATCCTGCGTGTTAGTGAAATCAACTATAGTTCCTTTAAAAATGTTGATGTATATCTTTATTATTTTACATACATTTTTTATTATTTGTAAAATATTAAAATATAAAATAGGATTTTTATTGAGAAAAAAATTTTAATTTATAATAAAAACTATATTAAAAAATTATATTACATAAATTGTTTCTCACAGTTAAGAAAAAGGTTCTGTAATAATTTTGTAGCCATGGAGGTGAAGAGTTCAACCAGGGTATGATGAATTAAAAACAAAAACAAAAAAAAGTCAAAGTTACCAAATTTGACCGCACTACTCCTGACAGATTATGTCTGACTCCACCAAAAGCGAGGTTTGAACAACATTTATGGCTTTCAAATCTGCATTATATATTATTAAATTGAAGTTGTAGAGTATCTCAACATATCATAAACACATTCACATTATTTGAAAATGAGTACATGTAAAATTATAGAAAAATCACTAACTAGCCACAATTTTTCTAATTTCCGCAGTAAGGGAATAAATCTATCCTTAAAGACAGTAATAAGTACGGGGATGGAAGGATAAACAAGTCAGCCACCTTTCATGTCAGGGAGGTTCTCACCCTACATATTGTGGGGAAATGGGATTATACTTGTTCCCTCTAGAATTAAATTTTTCGTTTGTTTAAACTGGTAGAAAATTCTGACCCCTTACCACTTCGGCAACACCTGTTTGCTAGTAGTATATTTCAAATGAAAAATAATTGAATAAGAATTATGGATTACATCGAGTTTAACTCAGATTGTAAGAAAAAGTACAAGCAAGATCGCTCGCAATATTTATAAAAAAAAAATTATATATAAATGTTGCATAAAAATCCCGTGTAGTCCCTAAACTGCTAATTCTTTCAGGAAATCAAATTCAAGAAATAGAAATGGAATTTGGAACATTAGAAAACGGCATTGAAGAAAACAGATTGATAGCATATTACATTTCACAAGGAAAGGAACTGGGGTGTGCAACATTGCAAAATGAGGCACATATTAACATGAGGAAACCAAAGCAAACCCAACCAAGAACCCAAACTCTTGTGGACCCTCCTCCCCTCCTTCCAGCCAAGGCTTTAGTTTTCCCCGTACAGTTCAAGCATTCTGAGTTCTGATATGACCATTTCAGGTCAAGTATACTCTTACTATATGACATGTAGACTTTGACAATAAACAAGGCTATATTTGCCTGGGGAAATAAAGATCCACCAGTAGCAATAGAGAATCCAAAGGTAATACATATACTGACGGATCAACTGCAGCCATCCGGCATCCCAAATCTTAGTCCCGGTTCAGCTTGAAACTACATTGGTCAGGCCACAGAACATGGTATTAGACAAAAATAATGGTATCCCACTATGCCCTCCCTAAGCTTATCATCACGATCCTCCCAAATGAATAAATTGTAGCCCCATTTGCCGCTTCACATGGTCAGGTATCAACTTATTAACAAGCTCAGGAGATGCTCCGGTTAACTGCAAACAGAGAAAGTACAATATAGTTGCCATCAGTTATGTTTAGCTTGAATGTTTACAGGATGGTACAAGGAACACAGCACCCACACACACATATATATATAATGCATTGCTCTGTGTAGCCTAATAGACAAACACAAAGAATGGCAGTAACGATAACACCTTAAAAGTTAATTTTGTGGATACAGATGGGTTCAGAATGAGCATCACTTGCTCAATGGAAGAGACAATATTCAGGATTTCAGATTACCAGGCAGCCCTAAATGCTAAGAAAATGGATTTGCCACTGCACAGACCTCTATCAGGCTTTATACTTTTTTCAACTTTTTTGAAAATATTATCAATTTGATTCTTAGTCTTGAGTTTGTCTGTACAAATAATTTACTAGCAGAGCACAAATATGACCAAGAAAGATATTAAGGGCTTACTTCCTGTTTGAAGTTAAATAGAGGGGGGAATGGACGACCATTTGGTAGGCGAGCATTGGGTTCTCGGAGTTCATCAAAGAAAGGATGTGCACATGCTTCAAGCTGCATAACAAAAACAGATTTTTCTCAAATTGTTTTGCAAGTTTTCTAGATAAAAACGTTCACCGGTAATCAGACTCAGGAAAAATATAGGATGATGTACATAATGAAATACTTCTTTAATACAGAAAGAGAGAGGGGGCAAGCCAGCCTCACTTACCGCAGTGCATCTAAGACTTGGGGAGTATTGCAATAGCCGGGATGCAAGGTCAATAGCTTCTGGAGGCATCTTTTTGTGAAATATCTACACACAATTTTGATAAATTAGAATGGCAGCAATATTTCAACGCTAGTAACATCTGGTCATCTGAAAAACCAACTGTATGAAAGGAGAGAAAATTATAGACCTTGTGCCATGGGTGTGCTTTTATCTGTGGAAACCTAAAGTCATTGTAATTGGGATTCATACAGCGTACTTCCTCTCGAGTGGGTGTGCCAAGCACCTGCAATACACAATTTTATAAAGGTGAATTATAATAACAATGATGGCATGACAAACAAACATATAATACATGTTAACGCCAATTGCACCTTTATAATATGTACCAGCTGGTCTACAGCATTTTCTCCAGGGAATAATGGCTGCAAAAATTCAAGTTGTTTCAGATAACACAAAAGGTAGCGGAAATCAAGAGAACATTTATATCAATCTTGGTAAATTTATATAATAGTATTTAGTAATACCAATTAAAATTAAAGCAAATCAATGACACAGACCTGGCCCAAAAGAAGTTCAGCAAGGACACAGCCAGCTGACCAAATATCAATTGAACTTGTATACTCAGTGGCACCAAATATAAGTTCTGGTGCTCGATAGAACCGTGAACATATGTATGATATATTAGCTTCACCTTTGACCTGATGAGACAAGACTGAAGGTTAGTAAATGATCCTTAATATTGCATTATGAGTAGCAGTCTCACGCTCTCACTAATAATACATAAGTGAAAGCATAAAAACATAAACACAAGCCTTCCAAAAATTTAAAATATGCCGTTCACACAAAAAGCCAAGAAAAATAATGAAAATATTTAATACAATATTAAAGAAATCTTAAAATAAAGCTTCAAAGCTTGCTGTTGAGCTGACCAAGACATGAACACCAGGGACCATCATGAAAAAATGTAAAAACAAGACCCTCTTCATCTAAACTGTCAAAACTTTATGGCAACTGATAGATTACTTGTTGATACTTTGAGTTATGATGGCATCAATATAAAAGATAATAGTGCCTGGAAAAAATGAAAAATTAAGCACATCCAAGCAAAATAAGGAGGTCAACATACTAGAACTTTTGCACTTCCAAAATCACATAGCTTCACCTGGTGTGTAAGAGGATCCACCTGGAATTTACACAGAATGACATCTAAGTCATAAATAATTATTAATTTCAAGAATGAACTGATATATAAACAAACGCATATGTAAATATAAATATAATTAGGGTGTGTACAAGTGAGAGAAACAAATGCTCAACCACATAATTCAAATGAATGATTAAGATAAAAACTAACTAAAACACTCTTAACCATAGATGTATGATTGTATAGCCAAAATGAGCTCCTCTGCCCATATTATATAAAGTGAGAAAACCATTTTTATGAGAGTAAGATTTGAGTGAACAAATTTGAGCTGTACAACGGTAAATGAATGGTAGGATTCACAGTTTTTTAAGTAACATGACCACATAAAATAGTCATGTAACTTTTTTCAAGAACTCAGATGACTTGTGTTTAAATCTCAACACTCATGATAACATCTGATGGTCAATATTTATTTCTCACACTATCATGTATAAAAACGTTCTCATCAGATAAACCCACATACACACACAGGCATAACAACAGCATATCAACAAACCAGTATATTTTGAGGCTTTAAATCTCTGTGGCAAACTTTGGGAACAGCGTGGATATATGCCAACCCCCTGAAAATCTGCATGCATTACACAAACTTTAAATATCAAACACCGAGCAAATAAATCAGAGGTATTTATGAATTGCCCGGGCATGCAGCATACCTGGTACATATAAAGTTTCACATAGATGATGGGCATTCTTTGATTAGCATTGCTATAGTGTTTTAAGACTCTATACATGGACTCTGGAACATATTCCATCACCAAATTAAGAAAAAGTTCATCTGTACTTGTAGTGGAAAAGAAACAATGCTTCAAAGTGATCACATTTGGGTGATCCATCACCCGCATTAACTGTAATTCCCGATTCTTGTATCGCCTGTCTTGTAAAACCTTTTTGATTGCAACTGCCTCCCCAGTTTCCAAGCATTTTGCCTAGGAGAAAAATATCAGCACAAGGAAAAATAGGTGGAGATAGCAAGAGAAACAAATCTAGTATAGCATACCTGGAAGACAATTCCAAATGATCCAGTTCCTACAACACGTTCTGCCATGTAACTAATAGTCTATAAGAAGCATTGTACAAGGCATTAAACTCGCAATCAAGGATAAATATTTTTAACAGCCCAGAAAAAAACCTAAACAAGAGTAATATTATCCGTAAACTGGAGTATACAAAGATAATACCTGTTTAGGCTCCCCATTTTTGCCTCCAATAGTTGTAGATATGATGTGACCAGTGAGAGAATCATTGCCATTGATGACAGAGTTAGACATCTCCTGTTAAAATTGTCATGTTTAAAACAAGTTGTAAAAAAATATTAGTACTTTATCCTTTTTTGCAAAATATTTCAAAATGGGTTCGTTTCAGAAGGAAGCTAAAATTTGGAAAAATAAATTTAACCAATTGGCACACATGTAAAAAATTAAAACATCACGTTTCATCAGCTCATCGAATAACTCAAAAGTAAGTTTCATTAAAAATATAAAATGGGAAAAAAAATCAGGTAAGTAACTTAATGATATAAGCTGCAAAACAAAGTAAATACAAGGAACCAATGACTGTAACATCACTAAGTTCAGAGGACAAACTTCAATTGAAAATGTTGAGAGCAAAAACTTAAGGGAACACAGCGTGTTACGTTGCTAAGGAAAAAAAAAAAAAAAAACAAACAACCTCAAGCAGCAGAGTAAAACAGTGTGGACAAAAATATCATGATCTTGATCAGAATCAGAAAAAAAAATCTGGTGAAAACTGGCAAATGATCAAAAGTACATGACAAACAGAAAACCCAAATCGTTGACACTTGGGAGTCCAACATCAACACAAGATCATAACAAGCGCGATCAGATTCCGATACTACCATCAGCAACAAGCAAATCCCAGAACCTCTCCCCAAAAAATAAAATGAAACCCCACAGAAACCAATGGATCAACGCGAAAATGAACCAGACGGTTCTTCTTCATTCAGCTCAAAGACCTATTTTTTACAAAGAAAATCGAATTCCCCCAAAAATAACAAACCCTAACCTCCCCTTTGTTAGCTGAGCAAACAAGCAAACAAGAAAATCGAGAAACAAAAATCACACATCTCAGACAAAAAAATCTATCCACATCCTCTGCACAACAGAAATCACAAAGACATTTTCAACTCCCCCAGTTCTGGGTCACTCAGTTTTCTCACCAACCAAACAATGAAAAAAAAAATTCCCGGGAAAAAAAAAAAGTACCTTATCCTCAGCCATGGCAGAGGGGAGAGAAGAACGAAAAGGAATCTACTCTAAGAAAGCGAGAAGAACAAAATGAAAGAAGATGAAGAAGAAGCGGAAGAGAAGGGTGAGAGAGAAGGGAGAGAAGAAAATTTTAATGGAGGACCCAGCAAGAGAAAGACAAGTCCATGTGATTCCAGCTCTCCTTTCTTTCCTGTCTTCTTTTTTTCTTTTCTTTTTTTTTTTTGGACTTTTCCCAATTTCCTTGACTAACTTTGCACATTAGGAAGCCCTCACTGTTAATCATAATCATTAGGTGTGCTTAACAAAGACCAGAATTGAAATATAAATGAAATTATTAATAAATAAAAAAGGTAATGAACAATAATAATGATACCTTCTTCTCTTTTTTGAGGAAAAACAATAATCATAATTGAGTTTCATGTTTTTTGCTTTATCATTTAACGTCGGCGGAATTCGTCTCAGAATGATTGTTGCATATACCATATCACTGGGTCCAGCTTCAGACATCAACCTAATCAATCATTTTCGTAATTCTTTTTTTTTTACAGTAAGATAAGATAACCCTTTTGTTTCTAATTAATTATTGTTTTCAAAAAATAAAAAAAGGCAAATTATTGTTAATGGGTTATGTCACTGTAAAAACTCTGATGTAAATAGTTCTTATCAGAAAAAAAGATGTAAATGCATTACTTGACTCATTAAAAGTCTATGACATGATCCAAGTCAATTTTAGACTAATTAATATATCAGAATATCTTTTTAAAAAATATTGAATTAAATCTTTTAGACTTTGAATTTTTCATATAAATACATTTAAATTTAACAAAATGGCTTTTTTAATTAGTAGTAGTCTGCAACTAAATCATGCATTAAATATTTGAAGTTTTAAAGAATCATTCTGATGGAGTAGATTATAAATTGTTTTTAAAATATATTAATCCTAATCTAATTTCTACAAAATAGGCTCTTCGGCTTATCATGTAATTTTACTTCTTTAATTGTCAAATCTACTTCTTATTTTTCATCCAGATTTATATTTTCCATCATTCTCATATGTAAGTAAGAACAAATCTTACTTAGAATGTAAACTCCATACGAATTAAGATAAAAAATATGAAAAAGTTTAGATAAACATTGGTGAAAATCTTTCAAGAATATACGAAGGTTACTATGATAATAGCCATGCCTGAAAATTTTCAAAGCAAAATAGCATGTAAAACATTTTATATAGTTCGTATTTTGGACATGGATTCATTTCACAAACAACGTGAAAAATGCATTAAATGTAGGTGTGGTCATGAGTTGTTGATGTGTTAGGTTTGATTTCGCCGCACGTAATTAAGCGACTCTAAATATTTCTGTTAAGCTTATAATGAGCTTTTCAATCTCGATAACAAATCTTAGCATATTACCACTTTTTTTCCAAAAAAAAAAATCTTTTGTTTTTTAAAAGCTAACAAGTTTTTTTAATAGTTATTTTATTATTATTTTTAATTAAATTAATAAAAAATTATTTTTATTAATAGATATTATCATTTTTATTAATAATTACGTTAAATTACTTATTCTTAGTGTGATAATATTATTTTTATCTTTTTTCCTTAAATAAAATTATTATTTTTTTAATTTATTTAAAAAATTAAAATATTTTTAAATGTTAAAGGATATAATTAAATATTTTTTTAAAATATTATTTTGAAAATTATATTTCAATTATTCAGTAATAATAAAGACATTTATTTGACTTTTTGAAACAGCTAGAATATGACAATTTTCTCGGCCCAATTTCATGTCTTTTTTTTTAAAATAATTTTTTTACCAGAAAATAAATAATATAAAAATATATAATTTTGATATATTTTATACTTAAAAATTTCTCAAATATTAAATATACATTATTTATTTAGAGAGATACCACAATGAAATACAACTATTTTAATTTTAATTTTTATGAGGAAACATTTAGGAAAATGTAGAGAAACCGTAAAAAATTATTGATCATAAATAAACAAGAGGTGTGTGAAGACAATGATCAATTTCTCCATAAAAAAATCACCAATATGATACACAGTTATCACTCTCACACCAACCATATGCAACAACCCTTGTCTGGAAACGATGCTTTTCCTCTTCTAACATTTTTTGATGGCATATATAACTTTCCTACCGAGGAGGGAAAAACCGGTTGAGGTTGAAAGGAAGGGTATAAAACTCTTCATTCCGGCTATCTCCATTAAATGTTCTAAACTTTGCCCACCATGGCATTCCCCTATCTTTGGCACTTTCCTTGTAATCAAGAGTATTGTCCAAGAACACAGCAACAATCAATGCAACAGTTGGAGAAGAGAAGAATATAGTGTTGAGGAAATCATCGAACTGAAAAAACCGAAGGGAAAACAAGACTAGTATCATTTTATTTATTAGTATGATATGTTATAGAAACACAACATGCACAATTGTTCACTTCTATAGGCAGTTTTATGCCATAGTTCATCTCATAATGAGAGATATAGCAGTTCTTATTAGAACTGGTGCATGTTTGGATAACAGTTATGCTCTTTGAAGTGCAGTGCATAAAAGAACATTTAGAATGGTTGCTCAAACAGGCAGTAACAATTGGTTGGAATTTCTGAAGTTTGTATAGATGAATGAAACAATAAACTCACCCATCCAGCCCTTGTATGAGTAGGACCATGAAGGGCCTTTGAAGTGTACTCTCTGAAATACTCAGGAACGGAAAAGCCTAAGAAAAGGGATACACCAGTAATGAAGAGGTTCCTCATTGAGTTCATGTTAGTGAACTGCAAGAATGATAGGCCCACAGAAGCTGCAGATATAAAATTGTCATAAAAGGAGAGAGGAAGGAAGAAAATAAATGCTTAAAAACTAAAACATAGGTGTAGTGATACTCACCCACAAGGCCAAACAGAACACAGTATACAGCTGCAAAAATGGGGAAGGGTATTGATGCAAATAAAGCTCCAAATTTTCCTGAACAAGAAATATGTTAATTGCGCACTGTAAGTGAAAGCTACTGAACAACTAGCGAAAGGAAGTGAATATAGTTAGGATAAATACATTCCATAGTTTGCCACTCACCTAACATTGAGAAGAATATCATAAAACCAGCTGAAATTTGAATGACTCTTCGACTCCCAACACGAGTACTTCCTAGAAGCCCCACGTTCTCTCTGTCAAGGAGAGTCCTATGAGAATAAATTTGTGTCACATAAAAGTGCAAACTATGAAAAATTAAGAATGGCACTTACACAGAAACTGTTGAACCAGTCAGTGTTCCAAAAAGGCCACTCAACAATATTCCAATTCCCTGCCAACCAATACCACGGCTCAGAACATGAGCTGGAGGTGGAGTTGCACTTGCTAGACGTGCTGCAGCTTTGTATGCTCCAGTTGACTGCCACGATTTTGAACTTCCATTAGGACCATCTTTAGAAACCAAAATGATAGTAAAACATTTTTGAACACACTCTTTGTTATTAGTTAAAATTTTATCACTTTCTATCTCGTTACACTCATGATTTTATACTTTTGAATAAATGTAAACCAATAATATAGAATATATTAGAATAAGAATGATAGGAGACTGTGTTGTCAGTACTTTTCTTTCAATGATTAATACCTCAATTAAGGAGACTAAAACAGCAGCCATCATTCCAAAAGCATGACCAGCATCAAATGTTGGAGCACCCCACTCAAGAGGGTATGGGATCTTTACCCTGTGGCAACATGTTCAATAGTCAATGGCAACAGCTCAAATGTGCTGCATGCACCTGAATTGCGATTAAAACATTCAACTATTTTAACAGATTTTTTTGGTACCAACCATGGAGCAGAAGATATGAGGTTGGCCCTGTCTGTTCTGCAATTATGTTGGGTTAATTCAGGACGGTGTTTGTATGCTCCACTTGCTGTTAAAAGATGTGCATATGCCCATATCACTGTGGTTGATATAAGTAGAGCAAATCGCTCTAGTATGGGTAGCTGTCTTGTATGAAAATTTTTCAAGTACTGTAAACAGCAAAAGTCGTAACACAGTTATTAACTATTGTATTATCAATGGAGAAAAATCAGCAATCATTGGACATGCACAATAAATACCCTTCTGAGCATCAAATAATTATCTTGTACGATTTCAAATTCGAAGTCGTGTTACTTAAGAATGTTTCTGTTAAAAAACAACTGCATTTTACACTGGAGCATCAAAACAACACTTAAGATATTTGAAACATTCATTCCCTTCTTGTTGTTACAGGTCAATTCAATTAGCTTACTTCACATAAATGTGAATTTGATTGGTACCTGAGAAAAGGCTACAAACAGAATTAACATGGGAATTCCAATTTCAACGCAATGACCAACCTGAAAAAATAATCCAAGGAGAGATGGATTAAATTTTTTAAGCTACATCAGAGATAAATAGTATGATTAGCACGCGGGTTATTGTTATACCACAGGGAAGCCTCGGTCAAATAACCCAAAACCAACTAATGCAATTACTGGAACCATTCCAAGTGGGCTGAAAAACCTGTTAAATAAAGTAAGAAGTTAGAAAGTAGATTTAAGCCTGATTCAATCCTATATCCATGCATTTCACTTATATGAGCTTACCTAGAGCAAATGGCCCATAATTGACTAAAACCCAAAATAATTTGTATGCTTGATGCCACTATCATTGCCCCTTGTACAGCTCTCATGGTGTTAAGAAATCTCTGCAGAAAAGTAAAGGCATTAGAGTTTAATTTCTTCAATGCTTAAACTCACACTTCTATTAAGTAGGTTACCTTATATTTTGTACAGAAGGATCATACGTAATCAATCTTACAATACAATCAATAGAACTTTTGAGAAGCAAAATTGTTCATGCTGTATTGTCCACAACTAAGAGACTAATTAACTTATAATTGAAATGTGGCAATCAAATATTAGAGAAATGTACAAACCAAATGTGGGTCCTCTATCCCTGTCAATGAGGAATCATGAATTATCGATATAATGGGGACCATAAATGCATAAGACCCTCCTATCACTGTTGGCAACCGGGTTCCAAAGAGTGTCTGCAGAAGTGTATTAATTCCTTCAACAAAAAGCAAGGTCTGCACCACCCTTACTTTATCACCCTGAATCATTGTATCAATATTTGAAATATCAACATCAATTCTCTATATAGGACAATGCAAAGTAAAAACTAAGACCACGAGGAAATTTCACTTTCAGGATCAACAATTTTCTTCTCTGTGGGACCCACCCAGCTCATTTCAGCATATGATTATGATACGCCAAAACAAAATATATAAAACAAAAAAGTGTCAAGGCAAAACAAAAAGTTCCTCCGGTCCTCCTCAGTAGAGATTTGGCAGGCAACATCAAAGGATTTCATCATACATAATATTATTAAAAAAAATGAAGAAGCAAAGCAAAAGGTGTTGTTGAAGATGGTAATGACTTACATCAGTTCCACCCATCAAAGGCACAAGAAATGAAGGAATCATGACTGCAGTTCCTAAGGCCAAAATGTAATGCTGGAAACCCAAAAATATTGACTCCACTGTTAAGAGTTGAAAACAGATACATCACTCTCATGGCACACACATAAAAAGTTCAATCGGTGAATGAAGCTGAAAATGCAGTTCAGGAGTTATGAGACTAAAGGTGACCATACCCCATGAAGGGTTTGAGTCTATGCAGTACTCTAAGCCTTGAAGTTGGTCCATTGGTGGGTGGCTTATCTCCTCTGGCTTCGGAGTTGCCATGAGTCCTTTGCAACTCTACTTTTGCCTCCAAACCTCAACACTTATGAAGGACAACCTTCAGAGGGTGAGAGAAAGAAAGGTAGATAGAAAGATAGAATCTTTGGTCTGGTGTGTGAGAAAACTGAGAGGGTGAGAGTTAGTCAATGTAAGAAGTTGAAAAAGAGAGAGGAAGGGCCAATAGAATGATGGAAGCAAGAGAGAGGCAGAGAAATATATTTTTTCTTAGAGAAAGAAAGAGAGTGTGAGAAAGCACAGTTGAAGACGAGAGACTATAGTAAGAAAATGGTGAGAGAACAGAACTCAACACTGCCTCAATCTTTTTTATTTTGTACTTGCTTTTGATTTATTATTTATACAAGTTAAAGGTGCCGTTAACTTTTCCATATCCCCAGAGTGGCCCTTGAGGAACTTCCAAAATTCTGAATTAAAATGTTACCGTTGCCTTTCAGTTCTTATTAATTTTTACACCTCAGTTTCTGCAGAAGTGAGAGTTTGCAAGTGCATCAGGATCCTCAGAATAACAATTAAAAATGAATGCAGGGTGAAAACGGAGATCAAGTAAAAAGGGGAAGGGTAAACTTAATGTGTCGCAGTCTCAGTGTTGATTTATTACCACAAAGAAACTGAAAATGTTGCTTCTATCTTTCTTTCTTTTCATAAACACAATATTTAATATGCCCCATTTATTTAATATTTTATTAAAGATGTATATGCAAAGTTTTCCACCTATATGGTCTTTTAGAAATAATAAGAAAACAAAAAGATAAAAACAAATATGAAATCCTTATTACTGTATAAAAATTAATCAACGTAACATCGGTTATAGAAAATTAGTGATAATAGACCTTTCACCCTGAAAACAGATAAGAAATCGAAAGCAATTATTTTTAAAAATAGTGTAATTTAATTAATTTAATAAAAATAAATTAGTCCTATAATTTATAATCTATAACTATGGATAAAAAGTATTATTTTGTAATAACTCTTTTGATATTATTAAAGAAAGAAAAATGTAAGTATTATATTTTTTAAAAATTATATTATGATTATTTAAAAATAATAAAACATATAAAAAAAGAAGTTAATATATTTAAAAATAAAAATAAAAATAATAATAATAAATATTTTAAAAAAGATAATTATACTGACAATGTGAGATGACAATAATAATATTTTTTATGTTTTTAATAAATTAAAATATGATTTGAATTAATCTATTACACAAGCTGAATATCAAGGATAAAATGAAAAAAAAATATATGAAAAAATTAATCTATCACACAACAATAATAATTTAATATTAAAGAAATTACAATGTAAAATATGTTTTTTTAAAAGAAATTAAAATGGTCATTCTATTGTGTTATTTCTCCCCATCAATTCCTGATTTTGCCTTACAATCCTTAATGGAAAATGCCAATTAAACCATTTTTCAAGTGATTATTAATAATTTGTTTCAGCAAAAAATAAATATTATATTTTGCAGAATATTCGTCGCTCTCTATATATAGATATAGATATAGATATAGATATAGATTCATTGTATTTTATTCATGGAATTGGAGAAAGAAAGAAATTATAAATATTACATCATCTTATCCAAATTGTAGACATCAAAAGTGAGAAACAATGAAGGAGAAAAATGCTTATAATAAACCTTTTTAAGAGGATATTCAAAGTGTTTTTCTTTTTCTTAAACGTAACTGATTAAAAAAATTCAGTAAGAGACATTACCAAATGCATTCCAATACCACACGATGAAAAGGGTCTGAAAAAGGTGCAGGTAGTTTATCTTTATGACCAGAGAAAGTGAAGAAAAGAAGCAAAAACAATGCTGCAAGGTTTCTCTCAAAGCACAAATTCTAAGCATATCCTATTAACAACCAAAATCATTAGTTAGTCATAAAAAGAGGAGCCTTAGTGCTAGTGCTAGCCTTTGGATGAAAGACAATACTATGTGTATAGGATTACTTGAAGAGTCTTTTTCTTTTCCTTTTACGTTACTTTCTCTTTTTTTCATTCAATGGGTGTGGCTGCATGGGAGAAAAAGAGCAAGGGAATGATGATTTTGAGGTGTTGATGTGTGGATACTGAACAAAGTAAAGTGGTTTAGACTTGATAGTCAAATGGAAAGGAAGCACAAGGTTGTCAGAAAATGTCATAAGAGATTGAAGGTGAAACTGAAGATGAAAAATATTAGATTTTGATGTAAGAACAGATCGGAGGATCCTGCATTGAAGATGCAGCATTGTTTTGTGTTGATGGGATCTTTGGTTGGGTTTCTAATTATTTTGTTGGTCGTGCAATGAATGTGGAACAGGGTAAAAGTAAAAGATGATTTTTGACTTTGAGTTCCCCGCAAAAGCACAGAAAGAAAATGTGAACTTGTTCCACATCGTGACCCACTTCTCTTTCCACCAAACCACACAACCAAAGTTCGTTGGATAATAGGAATTTGTTCAACGTTTGTAAATCAGTAACTATGTGCATTTTTACCAAACTTATTCATACTCAAATATTACATTACACATTCAACTAATTTAATTGAATAGAAAATGTCCATTATATTCAACACAAATGATATCTTTAAATTTTTTAAATAATTTTTATATTTAATAATACTTGGAGAAATGTTTTATTTTTTTATTAGTTAAATATATTAAATATAGTATTAAATTGTTATTAAATTAGAATTCATAAATATCTTGATTTAGTTGCACAAATCAACCCATAGTATATAATTTAAATGGTAACCAATTGCATGATCATATGGAAAATAGATGATTTTTAAGTATGACTAATCAAACTTTAAAAAGTTTTACAAATTCATTTGAATTTTATGTATATATTTATTTTCATTTCAACGTCTTCTTGTTGGTTGGTAAATGACATATTATTCATGTCTAATTATCTTTAAATATTTGTATATCTCATTTCATAGTTGAGTGTTATCTATCAGCTCTTTATTTCAACTGGATTCACATGTTCCCAAAATATTATGAAGAAAACTTTAAAATATTTTTCTAGTTTAAGATATTAATTATTTTGTTGCTATTTTAACAATAAAGTTTATTCTCTATTTTTTTTTTCTTGTAGTCTCACATCTTATAAATCCAAAATTAGTTGGTATGTAGTAAAAAGATGTTAGGTGTGGATGTTTATAGCAGAGTAATATAGAAAAGAAATAGCTGGAAAGCAGAAAGAGAGTGGTACTTTTTGAAGTGAGGAGCACTCCCAACAAATAAATCTTCCACAATGCTACGTACCTTTTGTCTTGCTATGCTAAACCTCGGTTTTTGTAAAATGCCTTTTCCCAGTTTTAGCCATAAATTCCTGCTCAATTACTGTAAACACTTATTCTCTCCAAGGACTACTGTTTTTATTTTTATTTTCCTAAAAGCATTCCAGTCTTGTTTTAAGATTTTTAGAAAGCACAACTACAATTAAGTGGCGTTGCTACATATATATACATTGAATGATGGGACCAAGCTTCATTCCATCTATATATCATTTTAAATACATGTTTATTACTTATTTATTGAAAATTTTCTCCCATCCTATTTAACACATCTATAATGTGATTTCAAATAAGATTTAACTAATTTAAAATACCTTCAAAATGGTGTCTAAAAAAAGTACGTTATTGACATTTGACATTTTTAGTCAATTGATTTTCAGTGATGAAACAGAATATGCTGGAAAAAAACCGTGTTGAATATTTTGTTCTACTTCTTATCATTCTTAGTACAATTTAGCTTGTTAGTTAATGTTATACAAGGGAAGATAATTTGGTTATACAATATGTCCCATTTTAACGTCGATTCAAGCCCACAGTCGAATTACTTTTCAGATGGTGACAGAACTAAAGATTATCATTTCCAGCTGAAATTCTTAAACATATTATTTAATGGAGTAGATAATCAGAAGCCTCGCGCAGGCGCTATTCATTTCATACGCATTCTCATTCACATTCACACATCCTTGAAGAAACGCCATCAACATAAAATAATTTTCTCAAATAGTTTGATCTTTTGTTTTAATAAACGTTTAATAATCCAGACGTGATGGGTATGGGAATAGAATTTGAAACAAACTATTGATTATTGATGAAGTGATTTAACACGTTATGAGAACATGTATGTCCCTTTATCCATTACAACAAGACCATCTTGATGTAAACATGATCTAGGTCAAGAACTATCACAAGGAAAGTAAATGAAGTTCTTAATCAAGCATGGTTGATTGGCCAAATTATATTTTAAATTAATCAATTAATGGACTTTAGTTTGATTTTATTACAAGTTGTAATAAGAACTCAATTAAAAATTTAGTTATCAATATTGACTTTTGATTACCACAATTTCAGTTTCAATCAGCCATTAAGTAATTTTCAATTCCTAGGTTAATAAATCATTATTAACATTTATTTTTCTTTAGTGAATCTTTGTAACTACGATGACAAAACTTCTTTATAAGTTGAACCATTTTTATCGAAATAACAAATTAAATTTTATTTTTAGAAATATTAAAGTTTATTTCTTTTATCTTGATGAGAGTGATTCTCCTAAGTTCTTGAATGATTCAAGAACCCTTGACTGTATCAAAAGATTTTCTCATACTTTGTGAGTTACCTTCCTTGAAAAGAGTGATTCTTTTCTTCCACTTTATCACTAAATTCCTAAATTTCCTACAAGATTCTAACTTTAAAAGATCCTAAAGCACCCCTTATTATTCGTATCAACTCTCATTTTTTTTTTCCAGAAAGAACCCACAATCAATTAATCAATCAACGAGATCATGGGACCAAGTACTGGAATTGGAAGAATTATTCCAGCTAATGGCACAAGTGGAGGAGGAACTTTCTTTTCAAGTTAGAGAATATACAGTGTCTACTAACATTTGCTAAAGTTAATTAAAATACAAAAATGTTTGTAAAAAATCTCATCCACGGCTTACTTGTATGCCATGTTTGTTACAACAGGCCACAATGAATGGCTCACGATCTTCTCTCCAACCTCCTTTCACTAGATCTTTTCTCCTCTGCCTCCCGCCGTTTTTGTTGCCTGATCAATAAAATAAGATTTATTGTATCAAACAAAACAATATCAGCTAATTGCCAGTTGTCATAACTGGTATTCCATCCATTTTGACTCCATTTCACGGAATAAAATCAATCACACAACAATTTTTTATCTCTCCGGGTAAAGATAGCTAAGTGACCATTGGACTAGGTAAAAAACTCAAATGACATTGACCTTAAACAGAAACACATGTTCCTCAAGTATAGATGACTGACTATTCAAAACTAATATTTAATTTTCAACATCTCTGCAAGAGATAAGTTAATTTAGATTCTAGTTTTTTGATATATTTGATTTAACATGTTAACAGTGGAAAAAAGCGAAAATCTAAAAAAAAATTCACAATAGAACGTGTCAAACCAAAATCAAATCTTAGAAATTGACAGCATAAGAAAAAGTTAAAGGTTGTCCGCTAAACAACTTACGCAAATTGCATGTATCCACCACCAGCATTAGCAGCGGATAAAAGTGCTGCATGAGCCCCAATAGCAGATACAGAATCCTGCCCGGCAGAGGGCAGAGGATTTTTTCTATCACCATCCACCTGTCATTAACAAAAATTTCATAAGCACAATGAAGAATGTCTCTTCTCTGATATATTGCATGTTTAGATGAAATACCTTATCCCATTTTGATTTTTTATTCTGTCTACCATCCCGAGCATCAGCTGTAGGAGGCACCAAAGGCAAACCACTTCCAGTCACAGCAGAGGCACCTATGGCAAAAATAATCAAATATAAAACACTAAGAATAAAGATGTGGAAATGACTTCTAAGGAAGAACTTCACAACAACTGCAGAAATAGATTAGGTGGTTTCTGAACCTGCAACAGGCATGCTAATCCTAGGAGCGCTAGCTACAATTCCTGGCTGCGAACCCCCTGGAATAAATTCAACCTTCTGTGCTTTTTTCTTTTCTTGCTCTTTCCTCTCACCTTCACGCCTCATAGCAGCTTCTGCTTTGTCATAGTTAAGAAACATGAGAAAAAAGAGTATATAAAGGAAAAAAATAATAGCAGCTACAACATCACTAACATTCAGCAATAAGCAAATATGGGAGATAGAAAAAGTACTACAAACAACTAATTATATATGGATGCCATAAATGATACTAGATATTGACATGACATACCAAAGATAGGAACTTATATTTAGCAAACACTTCAGTTACTTGGTAAAGACCAACAATTTTGACAGGATACAGGAAAAAACAAAATCAGAGGCATTTTAAACTAGTGTAACAAGAGAAATCACGATAACTTATACAGAGAAAACGCATTCTACAATTGAAGTTTTTTTTTTTTTAATTGTAACATTTAAATCAAAAACATGTAAAAATATGTAGGAGTTAGTAAGTTATCCATTAATGTGAGTTATCAACATCCTTAGTTTGGAGTTTTTTTTTTTAATGTAACATTGAAATCCAAAAAAATATATAGGAGGCTGCAATACACAGAGAAATTACAGTAGAATGAATGATAGAGGAGCAAAGTACACACAAAAACATCAAACAACAATAAAAAAAAAGACAGAGAAACAGCAGTTATGTACCTATTTCATCATAGAAGTCGCTTGGATCATATCCATGAGGGTCAAATACATCTTTACTGAAGCAAGACCCTATCTGATCAATATCTTGGTACCTCACTGCATGCAGTAAGAAGTCTGGGTTACGATAGTCCTTCCTGTTACGAACTTCTGCATTAAAACTTTTTCCAGCCTTCTTGTACTCCAGGAATTTATTTATTTTTCTCTGTCATAACATAAAAGTTAAGACAATGATGCAAAGGGCATACAATATCCGAAAGCTATCAAAGAAAAAACTAGAAAATGAAAATATCCAAGATTCTATCCACTACCTAAACATAAAATTTATCTGGATTAATTAACACAAATGTCTAAAGCTGTAAAAAGGTAGGACAATGTTATTTTATTTTTCTTCTTGTCTCCTCTTCAGAGAATTTGAAAAAATGAACCTTCATGCTAAATAGTAAAATATAATTTAAATTCATAAAGATGACTTTAGTTTGAGGATGTAATCTTCAATGATGAAGATTTTAAAGTAATTTTATTACCATCTATTTAAAGTATAATTCCTGAACATTGACTTTAGGTAATTGGTATACATACATGTTAAAAAACAAAATTATAATTATTAAGAATTGAAACTATCTAGGTGATACATACATATACACAAATAGCTACGGACACAAGACACATGTACATGTGTATGAGCTTCACAAGCTATCAAACCTACAAAACTTAAGCTTGGCTCTTTATTGAGCCCAATTGTAAGGTTGAGCTAATTTGCATAACAAACAAACAAGCTTGAACAAACATTTAATAAGTCGAGACCTGATAATTCACAAAAAGCTCAATTCATTTAATAAATCCCTTTATGCTCTATTTGGTAGAGAGGAGAGAAATAGTTTGGAAGAAAATAAGTTAGTGGAATAGAAATAGATGAAAGATAAAGAAGAATTAAAGGTGGTTGGTTAAAAATAAATGGATAAGAGGTGAGTAGAAATAGGTAAGAAATGTACAATAGGTCCCACTATTTTCAAAAATAAAATTTTCTTTCCTCCCAGCCCAAACATATACATTAATTCCATCCTCTCAACCAAACAGGGTGTAGAAGCAGGAGCAATTGTGGCTAGGTTATTTCCTCTGATATTTTTTTCTTTAAAGGTAAACATCTTTTAAACAAAATTATTATTATACAATCATAGTTATTTAAGTCTTTTTTGAATTAAAAATTCAACCATCAAATGAATTAATCATCCCAAATGCACTAATTAATTAAGCTTGCTGGTCATTCAATTTAAATCATCTTGACTAATCATAGAGATAGTCCTAGTTTAACTGCATACCAGTCTTTTTGTTTATCTAATCACTGGATGGTGTTCCTAAAAAATAAGGAAACCTTGCAACAACTATGCTCTCATCTTCGAGCTTCAGAACTGTAACTCTCTGTCTTACCTGAGTTTAGTACAATTCCAAGTTTTCCAACCTCAGCAAAAGATTGTCACTTTCCATCCAACCTCAAACAAAAATTTGCTATAAAAAACTGTCAAAATCATGTTTTCAACAAGGTCCCATGCCAGAGAAGTTTTTTTTTCTGTGAACGGACATGCTCAAATCACACAATTAACCCTAGATTCACTCTTCTTGCAAACATTAAAGTGATTCTGAGTGCAATTCAATGTAACTATGAATACCTTGCAATCTGAATCAATGGCTATAGAAATTGTATTAAATTGGATATGAATCTTATAATTTTAGTAACTATGATGCCCCCAGAAAAAACAGAGGATAGGACCAAAGTACAGCAGTATAACTTATAAGCAATGCAAGCTACTTTATCATACATCAAAATGGTATTCAATAATTTAATAGTAATTAAACCATCGTAACATAACTTACTTGTAGCTCATCCGAGCATTTAGCTTTTGGTGGGGTAGGGATAAACTTATCCAATGGATCTACATATCTTAGCTCATCTTGATCTGCTTCACCCAGTTCTGCGTCTTCAGATCTGATCACAGCATCATTGTTCATGGTATCAGATTTCAATGGCTCTGAGAACTGGGGAGTGTTAGCTTGATTGCTAGGTGTCAAAACTTGGACTGATCCTAATGGTGTTCTCTCTAGCAAATCACCTGCAACAACATATTTCATTAGGCACTAGGATGCAAAAGAAATACATCTACAACAATAGCAATGTAATTGAATAAATAAAGCATGCTATTATTCTCAATTGTATTTACACACCCATTCTAAAGAATAACAAGTAGTAAAACATATCACCAATGCACTCCTTTTTCTCAACCTCATTCACAAAAACTCAAGTCATCACCAAGGCATGTGGATATTTCAAAAGAAGATAATAATTAAAATAACACAAACCATAATCTGATCCATAAGTGTCAAGGAGGAAATATTATTGCAAATATGCATGAACCAGTTTTAAATCTCAGGTATCAGCACATAGCAGACAGCCCCCAAAATGTTATAGCAGGACAGTAGGATAGCCACTTCTGATATTTTTAAAGCAGTTTATAGCAAGGCTATCAGATCAAGATTTGAATTGTGAACTGCTGAGCTAATTTTTGAGTTGTAAATCATAATTTGTATTGAATTTTAAGATTCAAAGACAATGAAAAATTAATTGAATGTAAAAAATTTCAACTAGAAATAGACTAACTTAACTAGTAGTCTTATAAAACAAATTAATTCTATCCGACTTTGTAAAGCTTTCACTTTAGAATAATGGAAACAATGCAATTGAATTAAATAACTAAAGAGAGTATATTCATTGAATGACTGAGTGATAAGAAGTGGAACAATCAAATAGGAGATGTAAAAAAAAATGTAGCAACTTCATTTCCTTAACAATTTAAGATTATATGACTTTTCCACTGTTTTCAAAAAAATTGATCAAAGAAAAGTTGAAATTAACAAATCGTTAAACTAAGGGATTCGCATGAATGATACAAAATTGCACAAATTCATTTATGTGTAGTACAATACAGTCATTTAATATTTGTCTCATGATCCGGTTAATATGAAGCCAACCTATATCAAATTGTAAGATTCAAATCATGAATAGCAAGATTATGATAAGTGTGAATTATCTAATAATTTATTATACTTGCAGAAATTAATAAAATATCTCAAAAAATAAGGCACGGAATGACGATGAAACCTTCATGACCTCAAGCCACTTCTCATGCATCAGCATATATCATACAAGATCACAGATTTTTGTTATAATAAATCAATTATCTAGCTATAACCATGCATGATTAGCCAGTAGCTTACGCTATAAGGTCATATTCATTACTATTAGCCAAACTGCCAGACCAAGTCATCTATGAATGATAATGATAAGAACAATATAAACCAACGTACCCTGGTGGCAAAAGACTCCTCACTTTATGAAAGTATGAGGGAGGGTCATTTTACTTATTTTTCAGAGGCTATTTCTATATTTGACCCTATGACCAATCGGTCACAAAGGGCAACTTTAACATTGTGACAATACTCGATCTCTTGAAAAGAAAAATATACTAGTGAATTCGTAAATGTCCAAAATTTCATTTGAAATAAGCAGCATGACAAAACTACAAAGCAAGGCAATATCGCTGGACACCAAAAAGAGTACCCTATGATCCCTTTTTACCATCTATTAATAGCACAAACAAAAATACGATGTAAAAGTAAATTGAACATTGCTAATCAGTTAGAAAGTATGATAATATATCAGTGCCGAACAACAATTTAAACTCACCATTGGTAACATGAAGCTGGTCCCCAAACATGACCCGACCGCTGCCATATATCTCCCCTTCCTGCAATCAGAACCAGCAAACACCCACATTTACAATCCAAAATAACCAGTTTAGGACAGTAGACACTGTTGAATTACTTGAACAGAGGAGTACCTCGGGCTCAGGTGACATTGCAACTTCGTCATGCCCATAATCCACTATCGTAAGCGCCCCTTTCCGACCAATCCTAGGTTTCTCAGGCGGTGGCGAAATCAAATTGTTGTTCCGCGGGGTTGAAGCCCCCTCATCAGCGCCCTCCTTACCTGAATCCAGGACTGCTGTTCTATTGACAGAATCTTCCTCCGCCGCAAATCTCGCATCTCCGGTGGCTTCTTCTTCCATACCTATTCTTGCATCATCTTCTTCGTCGTCGTCGACCTCCATTTCGTCGTCTTCCTCGTCATTGTACATGGACAACAAGGCGATGCCCTCTGAGTGCTTCTTCTTGGACGCCATGGAAGCTAGCTAGGGTTTTGTTGGAAGGAAGCACGGGTAAGGTTTTTTTGAAAGCTGTGATTTGGGAAGGAGAAGTAAGCGTGAGGAAGCAACTGAGTGATCAAAAATTGTTGGGGTTTTGGAAAAATTGAAAACGGTAGAGAAGAAATGTTAGAAAATGGGGCATTCTACAAGGTTATTTTCAGAGGTAATGGGTTTTTGGAATAAGAAGGGAGAAAACTATAATATTATACTAGATTTTTAATTAAATTTGTCATTAATCAAAATTTATAAATAAATGTTTTATCTGAATTATTATAATCAAAAATAAAATTTATTTAGTGATTTTAGATAAATGAAAAAAAATAATAATAAATTACTCATTTACATTTATAACATTTTAATATCTTAAACTTATAATTTTATATTTAGTATAAAAAAGAATAAATAACGAAACATAATGGATATAGAAAAAGAATAAGAAATAATGATAGATAAAAAAATGAGGAAAAAAATCTTATTTTGTATAATCGAATTATTATATATAAATAATAAGTAAATTAGTAAAAAAAATATTATTTATATATCAAATTCAAGATATGTAGGTTAAAATAATTTTTTTTTACATTTTCTTTATTAATAAACAAAAAAATACTTTATTTTTTGTTTTTTGCTTTTTTATGATTTCTACTCAACGTCTAGCGTAATTTTAATTATAAATAAGATGATGAATAAATTGTAGAAATTACTTCTTCTTCTCTTTTTTTTTTTTTTTTAAAAAAAAACTTTTTATTAACACAGATCATGCATAAATTGAACCTTTGACAAGGAATCAATACCGAAATGTTTTGAATATTTTTCTTTTTTTATTTTACTTCTATCTCGGGCCTTATCAATTGGACCATGTAAAAAAATCACAATGATATTTGATGAGATAAAGGACCCTATAATATTATGATTGTTATTCTTTTTGTCTGCATTTATAATATGTTAAAAAAATAATTAAATATCTATAATAAAATAAAAATATTAAATATATTTTATATATGCTCAAAAATTGAGTAGTCTGTTTTCAATTTGAAAAAATGTATAATTTAATTTTTTTATTAATTTTATAATAATGAAAGAGATCATTCAACATTGTTTTTTTAACATATAAAAAATATTAAAATCGTATATCACATAAATTTATTTATTACAAATTTAATAAATATATTCTTCTTGTAGAGTATTAAAGGTTATATTGATTAATTAAAATAATTTATTTAAATAACAAATATAGTTTTATTAAATTTATACTAACTATGTATATCTTTAATTGAATCAATATACATTAAATAGAAACTAATTACAACGTATATTTTTTTATAATTATATACACGTATTAAAATATATTTTTTCTATTATTTAATTTTTTTTTGTAAAGTATATTTAAAAATATAAATTTATGTAAGTTAATTTAACATCCATAGATTGATATATACATGAAATTACAATAGCATTTGGATTTCAGTTTAATATTAATTGTGTATTTTAACCCCTAATTGATATATTTCACATACTTGTGACTGAATTTGAAGTTTTAATATTATGGTAATAATAATTTCAAGAAAAAACATATTAGAATTGAAGTTTCTATAGTCGGTTGAAACTTTCAAATTTGTTGGGTGTATGAAGTTTCAAACGGTTGACATGATTTTATATTTGATTAAATGCATGATTTTGGTGATTGGTATTCAATATTACATTATTTTAAATTGTGGAAGAAACTTTTTTAATTAAAAGAATATCAGGAATAACATGTATACATATATTAGGATAAAATTAGGATCAGAATTCAATTTATTTAGCTATTCATTCATAAATAAATTCACCTTATTATTTATATTTGAATGCTTTTAAAAAACAATAATAAATATATTTTTATAATTCGAAACCATACTTCATATGTTGAATTTTTTAAGAACATAATTAATGTTTAGGAAAAATATTATATAAAATGTGGATTGATTTTCGCAGATATATTTTTTCTAAACATAGTTAACTACTAATGAAAACTGCGTCTACTAACTATATATTTTTTTAATAATTGCATGAACAAATTTTTTTGTTCATATTTGATATATCAAAATAATAATAAAAAAAACCGTTGTTTTCAAAAGCATATTCCTATTTTTGTTTTTATATTTTAATACTTAAATTTTATTACAAGAATACATTTTTATAAATCCAGTAAAATTTGTTAATAGATAGATTGAATTAAATTTTAGTTCAACTCAATAGATTATCATATTTTTAATTAAATCTGTCACTAGTCAAAATTCATAAATAAACTTTCTATCTAAATTATTATCATTTAAAATAAAATGTAATAAATCAATACTGTGCTAAAAAAACAGTAATGAATTACTGATTTATAACAGTATAGGTTTAGTCTTTTAATGTAAAAATATATTTATTATTAATAGTATTTTAAAATAAAAGTATAAAATATATTCAAACTATTCTTTTTGTATTAAATATAGTTTACTTTGTTTTTAATAATATTTTAAATTTATATTATAAAAAAGCATTTTAATTATCAACTAAAAAAGGAAAATAGAATAAAAATTATTAATAAAGTGGTCAACAAGTAACAGAAATTTAGACGGTTAAAATAGTAAACATAGCACAGTATTCTTATCTCAAAGCACTAAAGGTATCTTTGACTATTGACAATAAAGAATAAAATTATAATCTGCATAAAATTGTAGCTGAGCATTCGATAATAATAAAAAAACATACATAGTTGAAAACAATATTTATCTTTAATTAGGTAAAAACTTAATTTATTGTAATAAAATATTTAAAATTAATTATTTAACATCATAAATATAATATTCTAATTAGTTCATGTATTATTTAGGGTTTAGGTGTAATTTTTTTTAGATTTTTTTTTTATAAGTTTTATTGTTAATTAAAAAGAAAAAAAATACTTAGTATCTTAAACTTGTTAAATTTAAATTCAATAGTGTGAATCAGAAAATATATTGATGGTATTACTTCAGTACAAGCTCTATTAAGTTAACAATGTCAATCTAACCAGTAACTTATTGATGGAAGAGAGAAAACACGTTCTACAGTTGAAAAAAAAATAATAATAAAATGTAAAGTATAAAAAAAGTAAATTTGAAATCCAAAAAAATATGTACAATGTTACAATTAATTTAAAATGTATAGAAAGCCTGCAATATACTTACTAAGTGGACCAAAATAAACATAAAAACACCAAGTAAAAAAAAAAAAAGACATGAACCTATTTCATAATAAAATTCGCCTGTATCCATGAGATCAAATACATCAGAGGGAAAGTTAGAAAATAGAAACATCCTAGATTCCATCCACTATCTACAACATAAAATTTAACTTAATTAATGAATACAAATGAAAGGTGGAAGATTGTCATTTTCTTCTTCTTTTATCCATCTACTTGGTTAAAATTTTCAAAGCCTATTTTATCTATTGAATTTCTCTTTAAGAAAAATTTGATTATTAATAATTTATTTTCTCTATCGAATTTCTTCTTAAGAAAAATTTGATTCTTAATAATTTATAGTCATAAAGATGATGAAAATTTTAAAGTAAATTTATTACCATCTATTTAAAGTATAACTCCTCAAAATTGACTTGGTAATTGGGATACATACATATATGATGTTAATAAACAAAATTATAATCATTAAGAATTTTTTTTAATAAATAAAATTGAAACTATTGAAGTGATACATATATACAAATAGGTACGGACGGACCCAACACACATGTACATGTGTATGAGCTTCACAAGCTATCAAACCTATAAATCATAAGTTCGGCTCTTTAATGAGGCCAATTGTACGGTTGAGCTTATTTGCATAACAAAGAAACAAGCTTGAACAAAACATTTAATAAGTTGAGACCTGATAATTCACAAAATAGCCCAATTCATTTAATAAGTCCCTTAATGCTGTGTTTGGTAGATAGGAGAGAAATAGTTTGGAAGAAAATAAGTTAGTGAAATAGAAATAGAAATAGATGAGAAATAAAGAAGAAATAAGAGATGAGTAGAAATAGGTGAGAAATAGTACAATAAATCCCACCATTTTCAAAAATAAAATTTTCTTTCCTCCCAGCCCAAACATACTACATTAATTCCATCCACTCACCCAAACTGGGTGTAAAAGCAGGAGCAATTATGACTAGGTTATTTGCTATGATATTTTTCTCCTTAAAGGTAAACATTTTCTAAACAAAATTATTTAATACGATTATATTTTTTGAATTAAAACCTTCAACTATCACATGAATTAATCATCCTAAGTGCACTAATGAATTAATCTTGTTGGTTTAAATCATCTTGACAAATGATAGAAATAGTCCTAACCTGCATACCAGCAAGTTATTAAAATCGAGATTATAAGTGGGATCGTAGGGTCCACAAAATTGTTAATCGTGAGATTATAACTAAGTTAATAGATAATATACAACATATATTAATATAATAATAAAATAAATACCAAGACACATTAAAATAAAAGAAAGAAATCATGTTATGAATCAAGTCTTAAGTCATAAATATAAATCTTGATGATTAAAGCCTGTAAGCGGAAATGATAATAAGGAAAAGAATGACAAGGAAAAGAAAGCAAGCACGACAGGCAGAGTTGTTAACCAGAAAAGAGAGCATAGCTACTTTATTATACATCAAAATGGTATTTAACAATTTGATAGTAATTAAACCTTGTAACCGAACTTACTAGTAGCGCCTCTGACCATTTAGCTTTTGGTGGGGTAGGAAGAAACTTATACAATGGTTCTACATATCTTTGCTTATCATCTGCTTCACCCAGTTCTGCATCTTCGGATCTGATCACAGCATCATTGTTCATGGTATCAGATTTCAATGGCTCAGAGAACTGGGGAGTGTTAGATTGATTGCTAGGTGTCAAAACCTGGACTGATCCTAATGGTGTTCTCTCTAGCAAAACACCTGTAATAACAAATTCCATTAAGTACTAGGATGCAAAAGAAATGCATCTACAACAATAGCAATGTAATTGAATAAACAAGGCATGCTATTTTCTCAATTGTATTTACACACCCATTCCAAAGCATAACTAGTAAAACATAATCATCACTTCTTTTGCTCAACCTCATTCACAAAAACTCAAGTAAGCACCAAGGCATATGGAATATTTCAAAAGAAGAAAATTAGTAAAATAACCCAAACCATAATCTGATCCATAAGTGTCAAGGAAGAAAAATTATTGCAAATATGCATGAACCAGTTTTAATCTCAGGTATCAGCACATGCCAGCCAGTCCCCAAAACGTTATAGCAGGACAGTAGGATAGTCACTATTCTGAAATTTTTAAAGCAGTTTATAACAAGGCTATCAAATCAAGATTTGAATTGTGAATTGCTGAGCTAATTTTTGAATTGTAAATCATTAATTGTAAGATTCAAAGACAATGAAAAATTAACTAAATAAACTGCATAGATGACGTATAGTGTTGAATGTAACAGATTTAAACTAGAAATAGACTAACTTAACTAGTAGTCTTATCAAACAAATTAGTTCTATCCGAGTTTGTAAAGATTTTACTTTAGAAGAATGGAAACAATGCAATTGAATTAAATAACTAAACAGAGTATATGCATTGAATGAGTGAGTGATAAGTAGTGGAATAATCAAATAGGATAAGATAAAAGAAATGTGTCAACTTCTTTTCCTTAACAATTTAAGATTATATGACTTTTCCACTTTTTTCAAGAAAATTAATCAAAGAAAAGTCAAAATAAATTAACATATCGTTAAACTGAGGGATTCGCGTGAATGATACAAAATTGCACAAATTCATTAATTTGTAGTACAATACAATCATTTAAGATTTGTCTTGTGATACTGTTGGTATGAAGCCAACCTATATCAAATTGTAAGATTCAAATCGTGTATAGTAAGATTCTGATAAGTGTGGATTATCTAATAATTTATTCTACTTGCAGAAATTAATAAAATATCTCAAAAAAATGAGGCACGGAATGACAATGAAACCTTCATGACCACAAGCCACTTCTCATGCATCAACATATATGGATTTCACAGATTTTAGTTATAATAAATCAATTATCTAGTTATAACCATGATTACCCAGTAGCTTACGCTATAAGGTCGCATTCATTACTATTGGCCAAACTGCCAGACCAAGTCGTCTATGAATGGTAAGAACAATATAAAACTAACGTACCCTGGTGGCAAAAGGCTCCTCACTTTATGAAAGTATGAGGGAGGGTCATTTTACTTTTTTTTCAGAGGCTATTTCTATATTTGACCCTGTGACCAACCGGTCACAAATGGCAACTTTAACATTGTGTCAAGATTCGATCTCTTGATAAAAAAAAAAACTGTACTAGTGAATTCGTAGAAGTCCAAAATTTCATTTGAAATAAGCAGCATGACAAAACTAAAAAAAAAAAAAAAAAAACAGTATGTATGGACAACAAAAAGACTAGCCTATTGATCCCTTTATACCATCTATTTTAGCACAAACAAAAATACAATATTAAAGTAAATTGAACATTGTTAACTTTAGCAAGTATGATAATATCACAATGCCTAACAACAATTAAACTCATTATTGGTAATATGAAACTGGTCCTCAAACATATGACACGACCGCTACCACATATATATATATATATATATATATATATATATATATATATATATATATATATATATATATATATATATACATATATATATATATATACATATATATATATATATACATATATATATATATATATATCCCTTCCTGCAGTCAGAACCAGCAAACACCCACATTTACAATCCAAAATATCTAGTTTAGGATATTAGACACTGTTCAATTACTTGAACAGAGAAGTACCTCGGGCACAGGTGATATTGCAACCTCGTCATGCCCGTAATCCACTATCGTAAGGGCCCTTTCCGACCAATCCTAGGTTTCTCAGGTGGTGGCGGAATCAAATTGTTATTCTGCGGGATAAAGCCCCCTCATCAGCACCCTCCTTACCTGAAACAAGGACTGATGTTTTATTGACGGAATCTTCCTCCGCCGCAAATCTCGCATCTCCCGCGGATTATTCTTCCATACCTATTCTTGCATCATCTTTTTCGTCGTCGTCGACCTCAATTTCGTCGTCTTCCTCGTCTTTGTAAATGGACAACAAAGCGATGCCCTCTGATTGCTTCTTCTTGGACGTCATGGAAGCTAGCTAGGGTTTTTTGGAAGGAAGCACGGGTAAGGTTTTTTTTTTTTGAAAGGGGTGGAGGGAAGAAGGAGAACTAAGTGTGAGGGAGCAACGAGTGAAGGAAAATGGTTGGGGATTTGGAGAAATTGAGAACCGTAGAGAAGAAAGGTTACAAAAATGAGCAAGGTTACTAGTGAAGCCAACAAAATTTGTATGTAAGCTCACTTTTGTTGATTAACGATGATGAATATAATGTTGTATTTATATTATAATAAAAAAATTTAATTATATCTTATAAAATAAAAATTCTCATCAAATAATAATCATTTAAAATATTATTAATATCAAATATTTTAATAAATTCTTTTTTTATTTAATTTTATCTTACAAAACTCTTAAACTAACTATTTTTTAATTATATTTTAAATTTAATTATATCAAACAAAATCACCTTATCATATATAAATATCATTGTACCATGATTGAAATCAGTTTAACCGATCATTTAACTTTCTAATTTATTAATTATTAATTATTTAGATTTTTGAAATACTTGAGTTTCTTATGTGAAATAAGTTTCACCCACCTTTTAGTATTTTTTAGCAAAATAATGATTATATACTTATTACACTTGAATTATTATATTAGAGCAGTTCATTAACCAATCTTTTCTCCTATTACGTCATCTTTCTCACCCAATTTACTAAACTCATTCCTTCTCGACAACTCACTCACCTTGGTCTCCTCGACCAGATCGTCCACCTCGATCTCGTCCTCTTTCTTTATTATTTCTGTGATGAATCTTCTTTTTTATTCTTTTAGTGTTCACAGGCTTTAAGAAGAAAGATTAACTCTTTTATTTGTAAGCTTAAACAAGTCTTTTGTTTGTTTTATCGTGCACATTATGATCTCTATTTCAATTATTTGTTTTGCAAAAAATGTTATCCATTTTAATAAAGCTATTTCGCCAAGTTTTCAACACACAAGACATATTCTAAAACTCATTCATTTTCACACTCTTTTTCTTGCTACCGAGGCGGATCTTTTGGGAGTCGAAGGGGCCGTGACTCCCAAAAGTTTTATAAATCTCATGTAATTTATGATTTTGGCCTCTAAAACTTAATAAACATTTAATATATTTACTTGTATATTTACAATTCTATCCTCTCATTTCGACCCCTCCTTAATTTTGTAACTCCCATGTAATTTATGACTTTGTCCCCTCAAACTTAATGATAATTTAATATATTTAAATATATATCTACAATTTTATCCTTTTACCCTTTCATCTTCTTTCTTCCTTTTATATTTATTTATTATTTATTAATAATATATTATTTTATATTTATTTATTATTTATTAATAATATTTTATTTTATATTTATTAATAATATTTTATTTTATATTTATTTATTATTTATTAATAATATATTATTTAACCCTCAAAGATCAATAGTCAAGATCCGCCATCTACTTACTACACAATGTTTGTCGTCGAACTCGTGTAACTAGACTATTGATATTTACTATTGTTCTTTTAATCTTTCTTTTTGAAGGTTCCTAAATAATATTGGATTTTGAGGAGAGTTTTCATCTAAAGACTTCATTTATCATAGTTAATAGTAATTCTGATTGTTTAACTTTTTATGATGCTAAAATAAATTCAACTAAAAAAACTTAGTTTTTATACTAATTTAATAAAAAAATATTTTATATTATGATAAAAACCTATAATAATACATTAAGAAATAAAAACTTCTAATATCAAATAATAATTATTATCGTTAACAAAATATTTCAACAAATTATCTTTTTTATTTAATTTTATCTTAATAAATTCTTAAATTAATTATCTCTTTATTATATTTTTAATTTAATTTTACCGAAAGAGAGTGGATTTTAGAATAAGAAGAGAGAAAATTACAATATAAACATCTATAATAAAAATAGATTTTACAAATTCTCTTTATTAACACCATGGAGAATTGGATTAAATTGTTGCTAATCAATCTATACTAAAAATAGATTTTATAAATAAGTCTCTTTATAAAATGTGATTGAAGGGATTAAATTGTTGCTAATTTAAAAATTAGAAGGCTTTTAATAATGTACATTAAATTAAATAAATTATATCATTGTAAAATAAGGTAAATGCTAATAACTAACTATCTAACTATATTTATTATGAAATTAAAAACATATATTCAAAACACATAACATATTTCTATGATTTCTATACATACTATTCTATGATTTTCAATAAAAGCTTTATAATAAACTAAATTGATTATAACAATTATATTTTGGTTAAAATAAAATAATCAAGCTTTGACTGAAATAGTTATTATGATGATTATTTTTTCCAATATTAAACATTAATCCATACGTGAAACTGGAACGTATGTATTATGATAAGATAGACAAATTAAAGTATTAAATTATTGCATGGATTTTGTATTTAATATTATACAATATTCAACAAATTAAATTTAATTAAACGATTTTTTATAATTACGATACCAAGGGATTATAATAACAAATAGACAATAATTTTAGAGTATAAAAATGTTGAATTTATGCATTTTAAATACAAAATTAAATATATTTAAATTATATATGCACGGTTGAGAATTTATCACATGGTGTGGAAATGCATCATCAACTATGAACCTTACTAACAAAAGAGTGACACGTGGAGAATAAAAAAATATTGTTCTTCTAATGGAGGATTTGAAATTTAATAAATGTAAAACAAAATTTAAATTGATTTTAAATTTATAGTTTTGAAGAATATTTAAAATTTGAATGATCATGGAAGATTAAGATTGTAGGGAAAGATTCAACGATAATCATAACAATAATACTACAATTATATATATTTTTAAATTGAATTTAAATTTTTTAAATAAAACTGAGATTAAATTAATTAAGATAAGTTTAAAATTGATATTATTTCATAAAATAACATTATAGTACTGTCGCATAGATACGATGTCTTTACACCAATATAATCATTTCTCATAATGAATGTAATTAATTTTTCTATATTTTTATTTTAATAACATCAATCCCTCTAACAAAAGCATAAAATATATATTATAAATTTATATAATAAGTTTTTAACTTTTTATTTTAATAAAATTAGTGCTGGATAGATTGAAAAGAAAACTGATGCCTGGGATGTACAGAATAGAAAATTGGAGAAATCCCTTTTCAAAAGTGCTTCTACTTAGCCAAGGAAGTATCCTTTAGCGAAAGGAACTCAGATTCAGAAACGACAACACATGACTTGGCAAAGATTAAACACCATCAAACTTTGTTCTCCTGTTGACATGGGGTGCGCCCAATCACAATCCACAATTTCCATTTGCTTGTGCAAATGTTTCAAGCCATCACGTTTTCATTACAAGAAGCAAACAACGAATTAGAAACAAAATAAACCATTTACTTTTACTGAATAAATAAATCATCATTCACAGGATCTTTCTAATAAGGGAGATTACACACTAAATTTAAAGAAAAGTAGAAAAACATCCTATATCCTAAATACTTAGGAAGCATTACACAGATACAGAGAAGCCTACCCTATACATCAAAAACACCTAAAAATCAGTATTACAAAGCAAAGTTTCTAAGGGAAGCAAGACTAATTCTAATTTCAGTACAAGCATGTATGTACGGCAATCTGAAGAAAGTGCTAAACAATCAGAGATTCTTCGCACTCGACCTTCTCGCTGAAAAAATAAGAGTTGATCGAGCACATAATCACCCTAATCACCTACAACCTCCGTCCAAATTTTCGTTCATTCATAACCCGTCACACAAAATCAGGCCGCATCATCTTCCGTAAGTCACGCGTGGCGCCATTCACAGCCGCGATCTTCTTAGTGATAAAAGCAGGTAAAGGAACGGAGCTCGGAGGCGGCGACATCACCAAAATCGAGTATCCCGCATAAAAACCCTCAACTTTCTCCGCTAAAGACGACGTCGGATTAATCTTCTTGGTTTCCGTCGCCGTAGTTACCTCCCTCTCGACGGCTCCCGTCTGCGTACTTAACTCCTTAGCGGCTTCCGTCTGCAGTTGTGGATGCTGCGTGGTTTCAGTAAGTAGCTCACCGCGTTTCAGGATTTTGACCTGGCCCATCAAAAGGTGCTTTTGCGGTATGGTGGGTTGGGCCGGGCCGGGGACCTCTGGTGAGGTTGGATCGGTCCGCTTCTTGCGGCTTCTGGTGCTCCGATGAGACTTAGGGCTAGGGTTAGGGTTTGAGAGTTTTTTGTCGGAAAAGTGAGGGGCTATGGTACGGTAGCGGTTAGGTGGTTTGCAAGTGAGGGAATCGTGGGGATGAAGCACCGCAACGCCCATCTGGAAGAACAATTGAACCACCGAAAGAAGAGAAGAGAAAGAAACAAAATAGAGGAGCAGGAAGAAGTTAACAGAGGTAGATAAGAAGAAGAAGAAGAAGAAGACGAGGAGAGTATTTGAAAATTCAACGACAATCGAAAGTTAGGGTGAAGGAATTTATTATATGATGAAGGGGCGGCTTAAGGGTAGAAGTGGAAAAGTAAAATAGCGGTGCTTTATAGTCTATTACATTACATCTCACTCTCCTCACGTTATGCGTTGGAGTCACGTCCATCTTTTTTTATATAGATAAAATATTTTATGCAATAAGATTTCCTTGTATCGCGCGTGTGATTGGGTTGGGGATTTGGGAGTTGAGGGAGGATCAACGATTCAAATCAAATCCTTCTTTTTTATCTTTTGAGAGTGTAAAAAAATAGAAAAAAGAAAAGCGTGTGGCCTATTTGATAATTTTTAATATAAGAATAATCTGACGGGTGAGATTTATTGTGGGATATGATATAGACGCGTATGTTTTCTTCTTTTATTATTGTTTAATAATGTTTAATTGGTGTTACAGGATGTGGTACACGTGGCAGGCTATGAGAGGGTGAGCGGATGTGGTGAGGGAACGTGAGGTCAGAGCAAACTTAGTGATAACCGACGTTGTCGATGGATTGGACCCCAAGATACTCCATTTTTACAAAGATTTTATATCTAATCTAATCTAATACAATTCAAAATTTGATTTTTTTTTTTACTTGTAAATCTGATATTTGGTTTTATATTTATTTATTTTTATGAAACTTAATCATATATTTGTTTTTATTTATCTTTTTAATATTTTTAGTTCTTATTTATATTTTAATGTTTTTTCAAAAATAATAATAAATTTATTTTTATATATCTATAACATTGTTTCACTTTTTAAAAACATAATTAATTTTAAAGAAAATATATAATATCTGAATTTATTTTCGCATATAACATTAGATATGTTTTCCTAAACATGGTAAACTAATCATGCCAGTTGTGTATACTAACTTTCTGCAAATTGCATGCACAAAGTATTTGTATCCATATCGAATACATCAAAATTTAAAAATTAAAGTTTGTTAAAAGTTTTATTTTTTGACATTTTAAATTTTTTAATATTTAAAACTGTTATTTTAATTGCATACAAATTTTTTATATAAATTAATAGATAGATTGAGTTAAATTTTAGTTAATAGATTAGATTAGATTTTTAATTAAAATTCATAACTAATTTTTTTATCTCAATTATTATAATAAAAAATATTATTTAATGATTTTAGATAATTAAACACCGTTAAAAAATCAAAAGTTAATTACTAATTTATATTTATAATATTTTAATATCTTATACTTCCTAATTTTAAATTTAGTATAAAAAGATAAACCAACGAGATATAATGGAAGGATAAAAATAAAATAAAAATTAATGACAGACACAATTTTTATAATCGAAAATTATATGTACATAATAAGTAAATGTAGTAAAATTTATTTAAGTATACTTCTTGGAAAAATAAATGTTATTTACATGTAAAATTCAGAATATGTAGGTTAATTTTTTTTTTTCACTTCTTTATTAATAAACAATTTTTATGATTCATTCCATACTACATACAACTTAACTTCTAATATTACTTTTTCCTTTTTCTATTTTTTATTATATATAAGACTATCAATAAGTGATATATATTTTTTAAAAATATTTTTGTTAGGACAAATCATTAGTGGACATCTTATAAAGGGCCCAATAAGGAAATGCTTTACCAATTGATCCATATTAAAACTAAAATTACAATAATATTTGAGGAGTAAGGGGCCCTAAAACAGTGTGATTTGCTTACTTGTTTTTTGTGTGCATTTATAATATATGCAAACAAAATAAAATAAAAATATTCCAGAGCTATAATAAAATAAAAATATATATAAATGTAATTTTAATTTTTTTACTTTCCATCCAAATTATTTATATTCTAAAAAATTTAAATGGTTAGTTTTCAAATTTAAAAAATATATAATTAAATGTATAATAATAAAAAATATTTTAAAATATATTAAAATCTTACAACAGATAAATTTATTGATTTACGTATTATACGAATAAATTATTTATTAATTTTATTAATAGATAACTTATATAAACACCTAACTTATTTATATTTATTTTGTAAAATATTAACTAATTAAAATAAAATTTTCAAATAATAAATAGAATAATGTTACATTTATATTAATTATATATTTTTTCAACTTAATCAATATACATTAAATAAAAGTAATTATAACCATGTGTAATGTATACTTATAATTATATACGGTATATGTATTAAAAAATATTTTTCTTATTATTTAATATTTTATTTATGAAGTATGTTTACAAATGTTAAATTTAACACCCATAAATTGATATATAGATGAAATTACAATAACATTTGAAATTCAGTGTAATATTAATTATGCACTTTGACCACCATTTATTTTAGAAATTTGTGACTTAATTTTAAGTAATCATTCTATTGGAATGACTATGAAATTAGAGTTTAATATTATAAAGGGTAGAAAGAAGACCTAATATTGGTGTTATGGTTAAACTTCTAAATCTGTTCAATTAACACATTTAAAGTTCAAAATTGTTGACATGCTTTTATACTCAACAAAGCATGATTTTGGTGTTCAGTGCTTACATGATTTTAATTTGGGAGAAGCTTCACTGTTTAAGAGAATATATTAGGATAAAATTATGATTACAAAAATCAATTTATTTACCTGTTATTCATAAATAATTTCATCCTATTATTATCTATTGTAAAATATAAGAGTAAAATCATAATAAATTCATTTTTTTATCCATAAATAATTATCATTTATTCTCTATTAAGATTAGATGATTTCTTAATTTATATCTAATAGATCAAAATCAATTTAACTCTTTTATTTATGTTTATCATTTAAATAAACTTTCAAAAATATATTTATATATTTTCAAATTTTTAAATTTTTAATATTTTGTATTTATTTTTAAAAAAATAATTTTATTAATTCATTTAAATATTTTGATAGATAAATTTAATTAATATGTAAAAGATAAAAGTTAATTAAGTTATTCTAAATAATATATCATTCAACCATCAACTATTATATATACATATTTGTTGTTCTTTTAATAATATTATAAAATTAAATTATACAACTTATTCTAATTATTATTTAAAATAAAATTATATATATATATATATAATAAAAAAAAATAGTTAAGATAGCGTACGACACTTGTATTTAAACAACTAACTTTTTTTTTCTATTTAAACAAATAGTCAATATAAAATATATTTGACAGGTTGTTGTGTTTAGAATTGCAATAATTTTTTTTTATATATAAAAAAGAAATTGAATAAGAGGGTTATATTGATTAGCATAACTGTAAGGTGGAACGTCTTAATTTAAAGTAATAATAACTAACTAAATAATTAATACCTAGTTTGTTTCTTTTAAATGCTTTCTTTTCATTAAATTTTTTTCAACAACACAAACGGAGGTGTCTTAGTCTCCCAGTTAATTAAGCATCTCAAAAATCTTTCTTTTTTAACCTTAAATTCATCACAAAAATAGTCCTCTTTCTACGTTAAAATTACTCATTCTAACCAGTTTTATATTATTAAATACTTAAAAAAAATTGTACATTTTATTCATTTTTAATATTTATTTGTACCATTATATGGATGTACCAAATGAAATGATTTTCAATGATTTGGTGATTTTTTTCTACCTATGTTAATAGTGTAGATTCATTTGAAATAAAATCTAGTGTTATACTAATTGTCTTGTGACGTATAAAAAAATTCGATTAAAGTATAAAATATACGGTTTTGAATTTTGTGAATTGTAATATTACACTTTTTTAATTAAATTAACTTTGGTCAGTTAAAGTTATTTAATTCTATGAATTACATTTTTATTACATATAAAAGATATTTAACTTTTTTGTTATTTTTTATAATTAAATTCATATATTAATTTTTTATCAGCTATATATAATTGATAATATTGAATAAAAAATATATCTAATAAAAAAATATAAATATCAAAGGTTTAATACGAAAGAAAAAAATAAAAAGATAAACTTGAAAGCATCAAAATTATTGTCTTTATAGTGCAATGTAATTACTAACTCATTAAAATTATTATATATATATATATATATATATATATATATATATATATAAAATGGATCTATTTATATTAAAAAGTATACAATTAAATAGAATACAGTCATTAGACAATTAAAATAAACAGTTAGGTACATTTATTTTTTATTTTATAGTAGTTTAAAATATATTTATCTCTCGTTATATTTAAAAGAATTTGATTTTTTTTTGCCTAATCTACTCATAGTGATTACTTTATGCATTAATATAGTTCATCAAGGTAAAGTTATAATTTCACTTAAAAATAACAAAATTGTATTTAATTATTTTCTGTATAGAAAAATATATATAAAATGTTAAATTTTGTCTCCTACGTACTCACCTACCACCATTGAATTAATATAATTTTAACTCACCCACCGACCATTACATAAAAGTTGTAATTGTTTTTGTCCAATTAGATGAAAAAAAAAACATTTATTAATTTTCTTTTAACCTAAATCAATTCAAACTAACTTCATAATGTGATCTTTAAACACAAAATTAATGATTTTATGATACACAACTAGATAACAAAAGATTTTTTTAGACTGTTTATTTATTAATTAAATTATTTCGTAAAATGTAGTTAAACGCATTTTCTATTTTCATTGAAAACTAAATGAAAAGGTAGAAAAATCAAACAACATTCCAGACGTATAAAATTTTTGTCAACGTTTGATGTGTATAATTTCTTCGATTGTGACGTAGTAGCTACCTTCACCTTTCTAATTATGTTGAAAATCACCTTCATTCGTGATAATCACATTTAGCTTTATTTTTTATTTCGTGGGAATTGTATAAATAAATGGTGTAAAATCTTGAATTATTTTTTTACATATACTAATACAAATTGAATAATTATGATTAAATTAAACATAAATTACAATTATACTCGACTAATAAACCCATAAACTCTAAAACAAACTAATATTTGAATAATTGAGTGATTACAACCTAGATGATCTTATCAAATTCAACGAAATCTCAATTTTGTTAATATTTTTCACAAAAACTCAATTTTAAAAAATGTTACATTGATTTTTTTTTTTATTATATACAAACCTTCTTAAATTTTTTAAATATCACATTCGCATTTTTGGAAAAAATATTGATAAGAAAGATTATTATAAAAAACAAGTGAAAAAGTGTAATTTTATTCTAAATAATTTGATTTACGTGCTTAGTAAGCAAAGTTTGAAACCATCCTTTACCTAACAATCTAACATGTGAAGAGAGTTATTTTTTGTCAATATTCCAACCAAATAATTCTCATCTATTTTCATCCTCTAATGACGCTTTCAGTGTACTAATATTCTTCCTACATAATGTTTTTTTTATAAAAAATTATATATATTATAATGAAACAAATTTATATAGTAACTATATTATTTTACGAATATTTTAACTAGTAAGGACATAACGTATCATTTTTCTTTAAATTAGAAAAATGGGAGTCAAAACACGCATAATAAATTTTGTATTTAACAAAAATGATAAAAAAGGTGTGTGTGTTTTTTTTTTTTTTAAAATAAAAGCAAAATACTCTTATAATTGAAGGACATAAAACTAATATCATTAAAATAGGTTTGGCATCTTTCAATCAATTCTTATTTATACATAGTAGATCATGAAATCTAACACTTGATAGTGTAACAAGTTTCAACTCTACCACTTGTGTAGATTGTAGTGTGATTTATTAACGATAAGAACGTGCATTGTCATTTTTTATTTATGGAAATTGAAAAAACTAGTCATAAAAAATGAAAAAACTGATTGACCCGGTGTCTCGTATAATTTAAGAACCTTACATAGCTGATTCATCATCATCTTCTTCGATTTTGCAGAAGCTTAGAATTTTGACAGAACAAAAAGAAGAAGAAAGAAAATGTTGTTTCATGGTTGCAGCAGAATAGCGCAGTTGACAAGAACAAATGCACGTGCTTGTCGTGCGATTGCCGCTTCACCTCAACATTAAATTTTCTCTCCCCCACTGTTCCTTCTTTTCTCTTCTGCACAGAAAGCGATATAATATGACATACACCAATTTTATATTAATTTCTTTATGTATATATATATATATTTATAAAAGCTATAAAAAGGAGTTTTGTTAGTATAAAAAGAACTTATATAACTGAAATTGAATATTATATTTGGTTGAAGATATCTTTGGTCACCATAAAAAAGGTCTCAAATGAATTAATAAATTAAAAGGAGGAGGAAAAGAGAGAGAGAGACTAGGGAGGTATGAAAAGAAGATTCAAAAGGTGTAACAAAAAAAGAGCATTATTTTTGGAAAACCAAAAAGCAGTTGAAACCTTGGAGATCCAGGAGAGAACAGAACACCCCCATTAACGTTAACTTCCAAAGGCTTCACAGTTCACAACACAAGGCACACTCTCTCCCTGTATGCTTGTGCCTCCAAATATCTCCATCTACATGTATTCTTACATTAAACAATGAAAATGAACCTTCTTTTGGTGCTTATTCTTCTTCTGCACTACGTTGCTGCAGACCCTCCTGCTTCCTCTCCTCAACTTCCTCCTGTTTTCTCTCCGGGTACTCACTCATCTCTTTCTCATCATTGGGATCCTTAATCTTTGTAGAATGATTGGTTTTACTAATGATTATTTTCATTTTTGGATTCTCATTACTGTTAAAGAAGGGAAGGAGCAGCATCACCTGCATAAGAAAGTGCTAATAGCTATTGTCGTAGCCACCACTTCACTTGCAGCACTTATTTTCAGTCTCGTATGTTTCTGGGTTTATCACACCAAGTATCCAACAAAATCCAAATCCAAAAAGGTTCAAACTCCTGGTCCAGGTATTTTCTTATTTTCTAATTTTCTAATGTTCCATTTCTCATATACCTTTTTTGCCTTATAAGAAAAAACTTCAGAATCAAATTGGCTCTATGGTATTGTCTGAGACTACTTTTTGCCTTTTGTTGTGCTTTTGAATGCCAAGATGCAGAGAAGGGGATCACCTTAGCACCGTTTCTGAGTAAATTCAGTTCCATCAAGATTGTTGGTATGAAGGAGTCTGTGCCGATAGTTGATTATAAGCAAATAGAAAAAACGACCAATAATTTTCAGGAAAGTAACATCTTGGGCGAGGGAGGTTTTGGATGTGTTTACAAGGCTCGCTTGGATCATAACCTGGATGTTGCAGTTAAAAAACTACACTGTGAGACTCAATATGCGGAGAGAGAATTCGAGGTAATGATCACATATTACTTATGCGTTTACCGGTTCTCTGTTTTCCATTTTTTTTTTTGTCTTTCCTTTCTATCTGGTATTGAATGGTGTGATGAATTTGCAGAACGAGGTGAATTTGTTAAGTAAAATTCAGCATCCGAACATAATTTCCTTACTGGGTTGCAGCATTGATGGTGTCACGAGGTTTATTGTTTATGAGTTGATGCAAAATGGATCATTGGAAGCTCAATTACATGGTAAAATATTGCATCTCATGCTTAAATGCACAGTAGAGACACTTGGGACCTGATTTTTTTGATCCAAAATGTATAAAATTTTGAAAATCGTTTCTAAGGTATATTTGTTTTAAAAACTTAGGAGATTTTTCTTTTTTTCTTCTGGAGATTCAAAGGATACTATTTCGAAAACACAATCGTGTTCCCGAAGCTAACGCTTTCAAATGTGTTCAAAAGACAACAAAATTTAGAAACACAAAACTTTTCTGGAACAGTAAACAAACAACCCTTTATTCTCAATTACCAAATTCTTACATTGTCATTCTTTTCCAAAATCTTATGGTGAAGGACCTACTCATGGCTCGGCATTGACTTGGCACATGAGGATGAAGATTGCTCTTGACACAGCTAGGTGAAGTTCCTTAAATAAGACTTTGATCTTTCTCATATTTTCTTTATAATTGTATTAACATTCTTCTGGTGCTCTGACAGAGGACTAGAATATCTGCATGAGCACTGCTACCCTGCAGTGATCCATAGGGATATGAAATCTTCCAATATTCTCTTAGATGCAAACTTCAATGCAAAGGTAAGAGAATCAAATTATATTTGCTATAAAAGTTACTCCCTTTTTCCACAACCAATTGTTTTCATCTTTTATTGTATTCACCTAAGCTTGTCATTATTTGTTGGCTTCCACGAACTTATTGGTGGTGGATTCAGCTGTCTGATTTTGGTCTAGCCATAACTGATGGGTCCCAAAGCAAGAAGAGCATTAAACTATCGGGTACCTTAGGATACGTAGCACCGGAGTATCTTCTAGATGGTATGCCAACTAAACTTGTTATCATTATACGCCATATGCACTGGTTTGACAACTTGTATATTTTAATGTATCGTAAGCCTTTAGCGAACCAGATCCAAGAAACTGTTTCCTTGAGTCCTCATTGATTTCAAATATATCACGAGTTTAGGGTGGGTGTGAAACATATGACCTGTGTATTTTGTTCTCATCTTGGACACATAATCATATACCTGCCCTGTTGAAAAGTCATATTTATACCTCATTTAAATTGACCAAATAGAATGATAAAAAATAAAACATTTGTAACAAATTCTGAAGTTAATAACAATCTCATGCTTTTATTTTCTAATCACTGGTTGTTAGCACACTATATTTTGAAGTGTTTGTCTCTCGCTTTACTAATGGAATTGATTCTTGTCTGAAAACTGGGAAGGTTTCAGTTTTACTCAGAGGGGACACCTATAAACTTTCTACTATTCACTTGAAAATTTGAGTGATTTGTGATGGTTCTAATATGTCTTTTGACTGTTTAGAGGGATTTTATTTTAATTGAGGTAGATATTATTCCGTTAGATATGTATAGTTTTTTAATATTATCAAGGAGAAAAATGTCTTGGATTCATACCAAAGCAAGTTCATGTACGAATGTGAAATTTATCTGTACGAAAACTTGTATTATTGAGTAGGCTGCAATTCAATTGTTTTACAGGTAAATTAAGTGACAAAAGTGATGTGTACGCTTTTGGGGTTGTGCTATTGGAGCTCCTGTTAGGAAGGAAGCCGGTGGAAAAACTGGCACCGACTCAATGCCAGTCTATTGTCACATGGGTATAGGCTACTTTTGATCTCATGTAGTCAAATTCAATTGGGTTGCACCCATAAGTATGGAAAGTAATTTAAGGTACATAACATAACTATTTATGATTGCAGGCCATGCCACAGCTCACGGACAGATCCAAGCTTCCAAACATTGTGGATCCAGTGATTAAGAATACAATGGATCCCAAGCACTTGTACCAGGTTTTGTGATCCTGGAATTCAAAACTCAAAACTCATTTCCCACTTTTATTTATATAACCTATGGTGCTGCTAGTGCTAGGTACTTTCCTGAACTAAACAAAAGTATCTCCTTAATGGGTTTTGTACTTTATAGGTTGCTGCTGTAGCTGTGCTGTGCGTGCAACCAGAACCTAGTTATCGTCCACTGATCACAGATGTTCTTCACTCGCTTATCCCCCTTGTTCCCATTGAGCTTGGAGGAACACTGAGAGTTTCACAAGTGAGGCAGCATGCCACTCTTGCTGTGAATTCTCGTCATTGATGGTACCTATCAGGTTTATAGCAGTGAGAATGAAGGACATGACAGGCGATTGTGATGATGCCAAAACATATTGGTTTTACCAAATACTCGATTTTACTGATAGATCCGCGCCAAAATATAAGAACATTCATTGGGGAAGGGGTGTTTAGCTTAAACAGGGGAAAGGAGCATTAGATTGTCAATAACAAATGTAAAGTAGAAATTAGTTTCACTTTTTCTTTTTATTTTTGAGGGGAAGGACGGGGATTGTGTATATATATAGAGTATTGAATTTGTATAAAATTGGATCTGATTGTCTTCCATTCCATACTTTGGGTGTGTGAAATTCAGTACATAAAGCCAAAATATCAATTGCAACCTCTCAAGTCAATCATACATACACACAACACATTGTGTAACAAGAAATTACAAGTCCAAGAAAAGTATGGTTCGGCTTATTACGTGATTCCTTCCCAAGCGCAGGTTCCTGCTCATACTCATACAAGACAAATTAGAGAACTGTATTGAAGTTCTAACATGATAGTCAAAAAATAGGTGGTCAAGAGACTAAGTGACTCACCAATACTGTAGGAACACGTCATTTATTATCCATGTGAGTTTAATTGGTGATAACAAATAAGGCAACACGTACATAGTCCGAATATAGAGTGAAGCCTTTAAAGTACCATTTTCTTTAGACTTTTTAGTTTTACTGATATTTATGTTTTTAAAATGGTTGCACATAAACTTGACAACTTACTCATTTTTTTTTTCTTTTACTCCCATTTTCAGTTATTTTATGAGTTTTTTTTACCATTCTGGGTAAAAAATAAAAGATTTTATGTAAAATTTAAAATTTTTATCCTTATTAGGTAAAATCAATTTTTTTTTCCCAGAAGGGTGAAAAAGCCTATTTTATGTTTAAATACCTCCTTTTCAATCACAGTAGTACATGGCCCGGTTTAAAGAACACGTATCTGTCTACATAAATGATTTGATCATATTACATACAAGGCTAACTGAAAAACTACCGAGTGACAACACAAGCAATTAACACACTTTTCGCTTTTCCAAACATGCCAGTGCGAAATGAAAATAATACTCGTTATTTAATTCACACATCTAGAATAAAATACAACGAGTTTCATATTGAATGGGTTGTGTGATTAAATAAAGGCATAAAATAATCACTGTTATTGCGTCTGTTGCCTTGCGCATGGTCATGAAAACCTTGGAATCAAAATAGAAATAACAAGGGTTTTATGGGATTAGGTTGGGGTGTTTTCTTTTTTCACATTAAGAAATAAAACACAACAATACGTGTAATATTTGACTGACAAGTCATGCTAAAACGTGTGATTTGAGTCCAAATCAATACCAGATCTTCCCCCTAATACATTTCAAATCTGTGAAATGCAATAATAATGCCTTGAAATTTTCAAGGAAGCCAACATAATGTAACACCAAAATCATATGTGGGATAAAAAATGTACACAGCTCAACACCAAATCAAATCTAAATCAAAATCAAAATCCATGATAAAACAAGTAGAAGTCACAAAGATGTCAGTCATTAAAACAAAAAAACGAATTTGCTAGTAGACATTTTATAATTTCTGCACCAACAATATACCTGTTTTGCCTCTCCTCTAACCCAGACACCATCTAATGCATCAGACTAAAAGATTAAAAACAAAAAAAAATGTGACATGTAACTTGGAAAGGGCAAAGGAAAAGAATTCCAAGTTTTCCAAAGTAAAAACTGAACACAAACTTCAACTGTTATAACATTTCCATTCACAAACTAAACTATCACTTAAGCAATGAAAAAATAATATCAATAGCATGCCACAAAATTGGGATCTTACATTTCACAAGTTACTTTATGAAGAAGAAAAGAGAAAGAAAGCTACAACTAAGAAGCGTTATACACAATGTCAAGAACGATTTAAAAACGAAAGCACACCCACCCATTGAATATAGAATTTAAAATCCTAATCCAGTATGTCTCGCATAAATCCAGAACACAACGAATAACATTGAATATAGAATTAAAATCCTAATCCAGTATGTCTCGCATAAATCCAGAACACAACGAATAATTCCAAATTACTTTAAAAAATGCGGTGGTAACAACTACGATTAGTTCCCTTGCATAATATAGTCTTCAACTGAATGAATGCAAAACATAAAATCTCCAAAGCATTGTTTTTACCTCAATAAAAAAAAAAACTAGCCTCAATAAAAAAAACTAATTAATTAGATAAACCGAACCCAGACAGAGCAAACACCTCAAAATCCAAGCTTGGTGCGACGCCAGTGGCGGCGCTTTGCATTGTATCTGAAAGGGAATACAGAATTGTTAGTACAAAAATCAAAACATAACGGAACCGTTATTATAGGGGAGATAGGGAATTCGGTACCTGATGGTGTTGTCGGTTCTCATGCGAATCCAGTAGGGGATGGGCCTGTTCTGTCTCATCTTCTTCGCCAACTTCTTCTTGATTCTGAAAGTTTTGTGCGACGGCTGCAAACAACAACAGCAACCAAAACAAAATCAGACAAACATAAAACGCCGAAAGCACAAAGGAATCGTTATCGCTTCTGCAATAATTACATATTGAAGGTTAGAGATTGTGATTTTCATTGAGAATTACCATTTTTCCTTCTTCGTCTGGATGTCCGAGCCGAGTGTTGAACTGAGACCGATAAGCCGAAACCCTACTAACCAAACCCTAAAAAGGAGATAGTAACTCGCCCACACCTACTCCGTCTAATTGTGGGCTTTATTTCTGTTAACTTTTTATTTCAGATTAAGAAACAAATAATAATTTCATCTGTTAAAAAATAATAATAATAATAATGTAAAAGAGCTTGTATATATATGATTTATGGATAATTATTTGTCTCAAAGTAATCTTATAAGAAAATAATGTGAAAGAGTTTATACATTTAAAGATATTTTATTTATCACGAGTTTTAATTATAAAAAAATAAATGAAGAAAACTTAAGTACTGTGTGTTTACATGCTTATTTAAATATATATTTTACCAACTGCGCCTATTCAATAAAATTTTATTAGATAATTTTGTCTTTAAATTCATTTAATTAAAAAGTTTTATACTGAAATAATAGCTAGAAACTGAAAATAAGAGAAAAGGAATAATAACAGGACTTTTGGGCCGAAGGAAAAAATGGATTGGTTAAGTCGTTTGGACTAAAGGGTGGGGGTTAGAGTTAATAATGAAAAACTAAACAAATTTATTTGTAAAATTTTTATAACACAATAAATATAAACTTCATTTTGACACGAACTTCCCATCGAATTTCTATATCTGCTAATTTTATTATCTTCTGATCCAATTAATTTTGTTTGAACTTCCCATCGAATATAAATGAATTATTCTATAAAATGTAAATTAAGTTTTATTTATGTATGAGACATTTACTTGCCTTTTGATTAAATTTTAATTTATTTTTTATAGAAACTTTTATTTATATTATTTTATTTAAAAATATACATTTACGTGTTTTCATTTTTTTTTAAATCTGATAATATTGTCTGGAATGAGTATTCATCAAACACTATATTGGAAACATAACATAATCGCTCTCTTGATAAGAAAAATGTACTAATAAATTTTCTAAAATTTCATTTGAAATAAGCATGATAAAATTTAAAAAATAAAAAGGCAGTATGACTGAACAATAAAAAGACTAATCAATTGATCCCTTTATACCTTAAGATTTTACTAGTGTTATTTTTACCAGTAAATCTCTTACCAATAAATCTCTCTGGAAAGAACCAATACAATTTATTTATATATTAAAAACTTATAATCATATCTTAAAAAATAAAAGCTTTCAATATCAAATAATAATTATCATCAATATCCAAATGTACTATAGAATTCGTAAATGTCCAAAATTTGTTGAACTCCTTCTCAACCAATCTCCTCTCCGATCACCTCGCTGATTTGTTGAACTCCTTCTTCCTTTTTGTCAACTCGATCACCTTGATCTCCTCGACCTCGTCCTCTGTTATTATGAGAATAGAGAACATTCTCCACTTTTACCTCTTTGGAAGAACAATGACATGGAATGGTTGTCTCCTTTTTTCTTCTTTCAGTATTTATAATAAGCTTTAAGAAAACAGACCAACCCTTTTATTATAAACTCATACAAGTGTTTTGTTTGCTCTATCGCGCATACTATGATCTCTGTTAAGGATCTTAAGATCTTACCAAATACTCGATTTTACTGATAGATCCGCGCCAAAATATAAGAACATTCATCCGGGAAGGGGAAGGGGTGTTTAGCTTAAACAGGGGAAAGGAGCATTAGATTGTCAATAACAAATGTAAAGTAGAAATTAGTTTCACTTTTTCTTTTTATTTTTGAGGGGAAGGACGGGGATTGTGTATATATATAGAGTATTGAATTTGTATAAAATTGGATCTGATTGTCTTCCATTCCATACTTTGGGTGTGTGAAATTCAGTACATAAAGCCAAAATATCAATTGCAACCTCTCAAGTCAATCATACATACACACAACACATTGTGTAACAAGAAATTACAAGTCCAAGAAAAATGTACTTGTGAATTCGTAAATATCCAAAATTTCATTTGAAATAAGCAGCATGACAAAACTACAAAGCAAGGCAATATCGCTGGACACCAAAAAGTGTACTCTATGATCCCTTTTTACCATCTATTACTAGCCCAAACAAAAATACGATGTAAAAGTAAATTGAACATTGCTAATCAGTTAGAAAGTATGATAATTTAACAACAATTTAAACTCACCATTGATAACATGAAGCTGGTCCACAAACATGACCCGACGGCTACCATATATCTCCCCTTCCTGCAATCAAAACCAGCAAACACCCACATTTACAATCCAAAATATCCAGTTTAGGAGAGTAGACACTGTTGAATTACTTGAACAGAAAAGTACCTCGGCCTCAGGTGACATTGCAACTTCGTCATGCCCATAATCCACTATCATAAGCGCCC